GCTATGGACAATATTTAATTAGTTTTTAGCATGTACATGGCTAACAAACAAACGGGTTTCGTGAATTGACAAAGGTTCTACATTTGCTCATTTGATAACGATCTTGGAATTCAACTAAGGAACTGTTCAGTTTGATCTGGTTTGGGCCTTTAATTTTTTCAGACAAGTCATTTCGAAATGAGAGCATGGGAATAGCCACAAATTAATAAATTGACAAAAAGAAACTAGTTTTATAATGTGAAATAATAGCCAAGTTATACGACTTAAAAGCGAATGGAGTGCTGATCATAAGAAATTATTATAGTGTAGCGCTTCTAGAAGTTATAGTTTAATTAAGCAAAAACATTATCAGCTTACAGTTTTCCTCTTAAATGGGGTTTTAATTAATTAAATACCTATTCCCGCAGTTCTACAGAACATCAGATTAGTATTTCTCCAAAGAAGATTGTCGCTGACTACAGTCTCTTATCTTTGGGGTTTAAATGTTTTTGCGCTTTGGAAAGTAGATTTTTATGTAATTTTCGGTTGTAAAATAAAAGTTTGTTATTTGATTTAGGAAAACATTGGCTTATTATCTTTGAGTTACATTATAGCCAATGAAAAATGCAATAAACTCAAAGGTTGTATTCCGCACTTAAGATCCCAGGTGCCAGCCTTCCACCCTTTAGATTCCAATCTTTATGACGGCTACCGTTTGTGATGCAAATGTCTGGACTTTACAACAAGTTCGGGGGGTAATTTTAGTCAATAAAGTGGCGCGAGCGACTAACTGACGTCGCTAGATCTGCCAACGTCGTCATCAGCATCGTTGACTGAATACTATATGGCACTACGGCAGCCGCATCCACATCATGGTTGGCTTCTCTGCGAGATTTGCGTCGCACGGAACGTTTGCCCAGTGTAAACATATACACAACCGGTACCGGTTTGAACCGATTACGACTGCCGTAGTGGCCGGCAAGGGTTCTATCTATATGCTCGCTTGTGTGTGCTAAAATTGTAAATTAATAAAAAGAACGAAGCCAGCACAATGAATGAATGAACGGGCGGAATTCGAATTGAAATCAATCCTCGACACACGGACACACCCAACGATCGATCGATCGGTCGGGCCTCTCCAAGTCGAGTGGTGGTACCGCATTAGAGGGGTTTAGAACTGTACAGAACAAGAAAATAGATGTAACTATAGATTAGTTTTCTGTTGCCATCTTGGTTTTTTTTATATTTCTTTACACATTCTTTTCACTTATCAATTTGTTCTAAATTCTAGTAAGTGGGTTTGTATATTCTTCTGTACTCCTTAATAAACATGCTAAATCATTGTGAGTTATTAAAATAACATTTCTATAAACTTTACTATTTAAAGCTATCGTTTTGTTATGGAACTCAAACTTTTTTCAGATGAAATCGAACAAGATCCCGTATAAATATGTATAACTATTTTCAAAGTATAAATTTATTGACCAAAATCATTACTCATGGTTCCTGGAAGTAAACCCAATTGTGTGACACACTTTGGCGATCTTTTCTCCATGTGTTTGGATTATACCCGGGAACTGGCAGTCAGTCAGCCTCGAACCGGTTGCGACCCAAGTGAATCGGTTGAGGGCCATCTCGAGCCGCCTCTAACTGGTGGCCAGACCACAAAGCCCGACGCCAGATCCCGCTCAGAAGTCAAAGCTCGCAGATCAGATTGCATTTGGGCACTTTCCATCACGCCGTCGCCGGCAAGACATATGTTCGTACCCGTACCCGTACCTGTGCCGGCCAGCACACTTCCACTCCATTGCCGGGCTATCGGCTTTCGTCTTTCGGCTTTCGGCGGAGATTGGAGAACCAGAGGCGGGGCTGCTGCGCAATTTCAGGCGGCGGTAACGGACGAGACTTATCAACAGAGACGCTCGAGTCGACAAATTGAACAAAACCGCGAACGGACTGCGCGTGGCGTTTCGTTCTATAATGAGCATGGGAACATAAAAGCACAGACAGTGGGCCGAGGTGGCCGGGGGCATTGCGAAATCGAAAACCGTTTTATTTTTAAAAATTGCCATTACGTTTGTCGTTTTAATAAGCATTTTATGCAAGCAAAACGCTTATGCAAGCGCACATGCGAGCTGCCAATGGATTCTACAGACGCTTCCCACCGCTTAAAAAATTCGAATTAATGTTATATAAGGAATAGCCGAGTCTAGACAACGGATGACTCAAGCCGTACACGAGATAAGCACAAGAGCGATCAGTTAAGATAATAAAATTGCACGACATCCATCATGATAAGTTGTATAAGTACGGCATGAGTATTCAGGAGAAAGATCAAATCTAATGTGAGTGAGTCACGATGATAAAGCTAGCTAAAGTCCTATAAATAGCTCGGATAAATCGTTTTCAACTGGCTTGATTGACTGGAAATTCTCTGATTCATTTAAAATCTTACAACACAAACGTGAACTGAAACTGTGTAACTTTGGCAGACGAAGCTGATTGCAAATAGTCTGATGCAATATGCTAATCATTCGCAAATATGCGAGCTAAGCTGAACAGTTTGTAAGGGGCAAACGTTCGAATGCTGCTTTAACTTTCTCTTCCTTCAAGCTGAAAATGTAGTCCCTCAAATATGTATAAGAAATACAAATTTTAGTTGGGGTAGTTAAAGTACAGTTAAAAGCTAAATACAATAAAATAATGTAATTAAAAAGCAGTCATATCATGAGAACATAAAATCCAAACAAAGTAGTTCCACCAGTTGACAGAAAAGTTTTCCTTTCTATAACTGGCCCACTTAAGACCGGAAAAGGGACATAGTTTGCAACACTCATGGTTGGTTCACACGCAATATTCATCGGTGGCTTGTTTACCCCGACTCCATAAGCCCTACTCCGTAGAAGCCTTTGACGAGCGACACGTGCCGAGCCGCTTAAACAAATTGCATGCAAAAACAGCTCACGCTAGCCATAAACAGCCACTGTTATTGTTGACCGAAAATTGAGAAAAATTCCACTCACTTTGTTGGGCCATCGGACATATTTGCACACTCTTTTGGCACCCATTTCTCTGCCGGTGAGTCGGAGGAGAAGCATGATCGATCGCAGAGACCGGCCCGCTTCGATCCGGAGTCACATGACAAACGCGTGAGTTAGCCCGCTGAATTCTGGGTGACAAGCGAAACGTGTGAATAGGCGGCTCGCACGACTTGGTTGTTTGGCTAATCAGATCGCAGATAAACGGACGGGCAAAACAATTAACCAAGAGAGCGTACACCCACATCCATTGGACACAGTTTCAAAAGGTTATTGATGGATCGCCCAATTGCGAGGGATATACGTTCTAAAAACAGCACGGAATTCGCCTAATTTTAAATGGAACTCTTTTGGGAAGACAGAGTGTGTTTATTCCTGTATTGTATAATTGATGGCCCTTGTTTATATACGGCCATTATCAACGGCACTCGAAGATAAAGCCGAAGTATTGGCATTAATAAAAGTGTACGGCAGTTTCCGCCCGATCAGACAAAAGCCGGGACTCAAAAGACTGGGAAAACCGAAGCGCGATAAGCCACTGCAGCTGGTACAAAGGTGCGAAGCGTTTTCCGCCTCTTAATTGGAGGGGTTCTCCACGGCTAATCGTAAATAACATAGATTACTTCTGATGTCTAGACTATAAATATAATCGGTGGGGCTAATTATATGCCTTCATATGTAGTCACCTATGAAGTTCATCTTGTCGGCGGCCAGATTACAAAAGTCGGGATCATCCACATCGAAGATGATGCCATCCTCCCACTCGGTGACAATATGGGATGAGCCGATGGCCACGCCGGAAACGGATACGGAAGTGGAGGAGCGGGCATTATGTTGTTGTTGTTGTTGCACCAAGGAGTTGTTGTTGTTGCTGCTGCTGCTGGCGGAGATGTGGTTGTTGTTGCTGCCCGTTTTCATCTGTTTTGGGAAAAGTATAGAGACGCAATTATAGAAGGGTTTCGGATTATATATGCATACGTGCTGCTATGCAAATAGCAAACTACACACGTGGCTCAAAGTGCCATTTGTGGTGATTAACGAGGTTAATGGATAAACCCGATAAAAAGGGGATTTTCGAAATAACTAAGGGAAGGAAGTAGGGTCAGGATTCCAGCTGTTGCACACTCACACAAACACACCTCATATTTTGCAACACCTTAAATGCAATATGCAAAATCAATAGATGCAAGATGCATTTTATTTGGGTGAAGGCTATTTGTGCATTTGTATATGAGAATGTGCAACTGCATTCGCTTAATGTTGTTATTTTTGTTATTGCCTTTGCATTTGCAAATTTTGTTTGGCCCCCAAGTGCATGTGTGTTTGTTTGAAAAGATATCTAATGGATATTACCTGTATTACCCCACCAGTTTTACTCACTTTTAACTAATCCAGCACCCTCAGTTGACCAGCACAAATGTATATTGCCAAATTTAAGCCCCAACGGCTGGATTTTAAGTTTAATTTGGATAAAATTACTGCAAAACAAAACTTTGCTTGCTAAATCGCTGGCAACTAGAGGTGGCCAACTATCGATTTCGGCAGTTGGCAACACTAATCGATAAGATGCCGGGACGTTAAATAGTTTAAAATTGTATAACAAACTATTTTAAAAATGGAATTATTTAATTATTATAAATTAGATTCAGAAACCTGAGTTATAATAAATGTAGTTTTAATTAATATTTTAAAAATTAGACTCTCGCGGATAGAGTCCTTTAAATGTATGTCACTGACGCTGTCAGTCAGCGTTCTCAGTTGATTATTTCAGAGGCAAGTAAAACTTAATAATAGCTTATACTGCATTTGAGGAGGTATAAGTTATTTACCCAACTCTTCCATTATTAATTTGGTTTTTAATAAAACTTATTTTCTGTTAACCCAAATGTATTATTAACTGTTAAGTACGCGCGCAATGCTTTCACAGAGTGTAACATTTCTAACGTTCGCAATGTTAAACGTAACGACTTGCCATCTCTAGAAACGTAACCATCTCCCGTTTCAAAAAACGTAACCAAAATTCGATCAAAATAAATTTGGAATATCACAAAAATCATTATTCGCATTTGAAATATAAAGAAAATGCACCTGCCTGGCCAGCCTCAGCTTAAGAGAGTGCATTAAACACAGCATTTGGAAACGGAAACGAATGAATTAGCCAAAAACGCAGTCATGGAGGAGAATATGTGGTAAATAATAAACATTGGGTTGGGGCTACGTCAACAATTAAGGTTAGTGTGGGGCACAATTGGCTCCAGCATCCAGTTGGTTGCTGCTCTGAAAAGCCTGTTTGTAGGTTTCCAACACAGCCTTGAGTTTTCTCGAACAAACGTCCATTTGTTTCGGTGATTGAGTCAGCAGTTTGGGGCAGGGTCAGCGGGGGGAGCGGAGCACCTGGGGGAGGTAGTGGGTGCTCCGCCTTATCAGCAGCTGTTATTTAGACACGTTGACGTCGCCTTCACCCTTCTACATGACTAAAACAAGCGACTGATTGTGATGGATCTTTGCTCCCTCTTCTCTGTAGGATCATTGAGCTGGAATCGGCGCTACTCGACGACTGCAATGTGAACGATATCTATGGAATTTGTCAGGGCAAAGCTGTGCCGGAGGCTCTGCGGCCGGACGTGTGGCAGGTGTGCCTGGACGTGCGCCACAAATCGGACCAGATGTCGCTCTTCAACGAGATCTACGACCTGCCCTTCCAGAGCCAACTGCGCGAGGATTGCCAACGGCACGTCGACCGAATGGGCAACGATGAGGAGGATAAGGTCTCTGTGGTGTCCGACCTGGAGTCCATTATCACGTTCTACTGCAAGAACCGAAATCTTCAATACGAGCCGGAGAACGGTTGGATAGAGCTTTTGCTCCCACTCTTCGCTTTGAAACTGAACCGCTCGGATACCTTCAACCTGTTCGAGTCCATAAGGGATACCTATATACCCAAGGGCTGCCGGCCCAAGGGCAACGTCTTCCATGTTTTCCGGCTGCTCCTGCTCTACCACGATCCCGAGCTGTGCACCCTGCTGGACACCAAGAAGATCACGCCCGATTTGTACTCGCTGACCTGGTTCCAGTCACTGTTCGCCTCCTGCAGCAGCCTGTCGGTGATCATTGCCATGTGGGACCTGTACTTCCAAAACGCTGACCCATTCATGGTCTTCTTCCTCGCGCTGATTATCCTGATCAACGGAAGGGAGCAGATCCTGCAGATGCGGAGCTCGTCCAAGGAGGAGATCATCAAGTTCCTGGCCCTAATGCCGTGCGCCCTGGAATTTGACGATGTCCCCGACTTTTGCTCTTTGTCCCAGTACTATGCGCTCAAGACACCCACTTCTTTCAAGACGGATTACCTGAAGGCGCTGTACGGCAAACAAAACGATACGCCGCGCAGCCAGGAGGAGGCGAACAAGGTGTCTCAGGCCCTGTGTTTGCCCGTCTCCGTTTATGAGCTGGTGGAGAACTCTGCCACAGAATTCCCCGTGCCGGATGCAGTGCGTTTCTTTCTCGTCGACTGCCGACCGGCAGAGCAGTACAACGCCGGCCATCTGTCCACGGCATTCCACCTGGACTGCAACCTGATGCTCCAGGAACCGGTCGCCTTCGCCACCGCCGTCCAGGGCTTGCTCACCGCCCAGCGGCAGGCCATCGAGGCCAACTCGAATGCCGGCGGCGAGCATTTGTGCTTCATGGGCAGCGGTCGTGTCGAAGAGGACCAATATACGCACATGGTGGTGGCCTCATTCCTGCAGAAGAACACCCACTACGTGTCGCTGCTGACCGGCGGCTACGCCTCCATCCACGACTACTTTGGCGACCACATGGCCGACTGTCTGGAGGATCACAATGTGCGCAAGTGCCTCGTCTGCCAGCAGCACAACGTCCAGCAGGTGAGTTGAACTTGAGCTATGAGGGCTGGAGTTAAATTGAATATAATACTGAACCACTTTATCCTCTTGCAGACAAAATCAGCGCCGCTAAAGGCCTCGACGCCCTCGTCCACGGACCTGTTCAGCAAGTTCTCCGCCGCCATGAAGTCAAAGTCGGCGGAGGTCAAAGGCAAACTGCTGGACATCATTGTGAATCCCAGTGCCAACGGCGGAGCCTCGGCCAGCGGCTCAAATGGAGTGCAGGCGACACCGGCCCAGGAACGTCATGTGAGTGCCAAGGAGAGAAACGGAAAGCGCTACCGCAATGTGGCGCCTGTCTTCAGCATTGACGACGAGAACGAAGAACCGTTCGACGGGGCGGGGGAGCGGGATGATCAACCGCTGGCCGGCGACGGCAAGGAAATCGTGAATCTGAATCAGTACTTCAAGACGGCGGACATCATCAACGCTTTCAAGTGCCAGGAGGTGCACATGAGCGGCTACATGTACGACAGTCACTTGATAATCACGCCCGGCCAACTGGTGGTGCTAAGGGAGCTGGGACGTGGCCAGGCCCAGATCATGGTGCGCCGACCGCTGGCGAGCATCGTGAAGATCACGGCCAAGAAACGGCACCGCGACCTGATCACCTTCAAATACGGATTCCCCGACGGAGACGGCCTGCTCATCACGGACATGGACCGCTTCCTCATCCCGAATGCCGCCGAGGCAACGGCCCTGGTCTCCAGTCACATAATGAAGGTGCTGGACAACGCCAAGTAGGATATATTGAACAACCTCCACGTGCTTTTCTGGTTTCCCCCTTCACCACACTAAGCTTTATTTCATACACAATCACAAATGGACAGAAACTGAATCGAAAATCAGAGACACGAAGTGCAATGCGCTGTTGAGAGCGCTGTAACTAGTTTGTAATTGGCAATGTTTTCCTTGTAGTAGCTGACAAATTGTAGTTCTTATTGTAAAAGAAGGCCTGGATGCAATTGTAACATAGAGCACTCGGTGCACAGTCCGGAAAGGGAGAAAATAGAGGAACGTAGTCCCGATCACATCGCCAGCATGCCCTGCCCCTGGCCCCGATTTTCTAAATTTCTAAGTGCAAAGAAAGGAAACCCTAACTGAAGCCTTGAGACTTACAACGTGTAAATGAAGAGAGTAACTAATATTTATTGCAATTAAACCAAACAAATAAACCTGTATTATAATCGACACAATAAGTACATAGTTCAAACAATTATGGTTAATTTATTGTTTTTGAGTTCGGGAAAAGAAACACACATGTAGTGTATGAAATGATCCCCTATCATTTGGAGTACTTAGACATAAGAAGCCGCTCCAAGATGAATGTCGACCAATCAGGCAGCTACGATGATATAAGGATATGAATGCTCCGATCAAGCAGAGATGTCTCTTTTGTCTGTGGTCTAAAATAATGCGTAGAAAAATTTCTAGGTTTGAAATTGCAAATTTTTATCTCCACCTTTTTTTATATTTCTCGTTTTTCCAGAAGCGGAAGATTACTGGACTGGTTTTCATTTTTTGGGTCTTGCAGTACATTGACTTCCTTGAGTGAATTTTGTGCCTCTGTCAGCTGTCTTCTACGGTGGACGCGATATAAGTATACCAACGAAATTATAACGACAATCAGCACAATTATGGGGCAAACTGCGATGACGGCTATCGGATAATCCTCGATGGCTTTCAGTTTTTCCAGATCCAACCTCAGTTGGGTTACGATCTCAAGTAGTTGATTGACCCTCCTTCGAGGGGATTTGTTGATCCGTCGCAGGGATGCGTAACCCTTTTTCGAAGGAGTACTTTTTGGGGATTTTCCTTGGAGTGTGACAGCTGAAGTCCGGACGACGCAATCGCTGCGAATGTTCAGGATTCCAGTGCCATTTATCCGCAGTTCCTGACTCTCACCAGAGCACACACCCATCAATGAAAGCTCCTTGGTGAGGGCCACCATCCATGAGTTCGGTGCCACCAGCTGTGTCCACATGATGCTCTCCTCCACTTGACGAAAAATGCAGGCTTCAGAGGATTGATTCTTTATGGCCGCCAAAGAACAGGCCAAACTGTCACCAGCATTTCCATAGGTGATTTGGTTGTTCCTACACAGGAATCGTTCCCCTGCCAATTCAATGCAGCCATCCAAGTTCTGGAGCGGGAAATACCGGTCCTGATGATCATTGATACACAGGTACGGTGTTTCGGTGTCCATCATCTGGATTTTGCCATCATCCAGCCGTGGAATGGGTGTCAGGCGGTACATATTAAACTGATCCACATCGATCAAGGGCACTTTGATTTGGAAGACCACTTGGTTGTCCATCTGCTGAGGGAATACAGTGGCTACGCGATAAATATTGGACATTGTCGATTGATCGAAGGGCAGTCGCCGCCCTGGTGGAAGGTCTGCCTGAATTTTTACCATCTCCCCCTTTAACTGATTGATGGAAAGGACTAGCGGACTAAGACGACCCTGTTGGGCGGATACTATGGCTTCAACTATGGCATCCCGTGTCCTTTTTAAGTGGGTGCCCAGATGATTTAGTTTATTGGTCAGGCCGTAGATATACCGGTACGGACTCTCGGTGCCTTCATTGCTATCGCGTTCGAGTACAATTTGGTGTACGTTTCTTGTGCTGTCGATGATGATAGATTCATTCATATCTTCGAACAATGATTTTCCTTTAAAAAACATCGAAAGGTCCGTCACAATCATGCCATCTTTTATAAAAGTGTCTTCGAACGTTATGAGATCGAAGAATTTTGGGCACATATTTGGGTTGTCCATGCAAATACCGGAAAGAGTTTCATAGTCTTTTTTCAAGGTCTGGATATCCAGGAGAAGTGACTTAAAATTAAAGCTGGCATATATGGTCAAATCTTCGAAGGCCAAATCTGCACGTCCGGTGTATTCCACAAAGGTGCCGAGAGTATTGTTGAACCCCTTCATCGTCATTGGAGTTCCACCATCGTCCTGATCAGTTGATGGATCAGCCTCATGGGAGAGCCCTATCAAGATGGTTATGAGGCTAAAACCAAAACTTTGCGTTATCATTTTCCGAGCTTATGGCCTTCTTATCCAAAATACCGTGGCAAACTGAAAGCAAGCTCCAGAGAAGTGAATATGTAGGGTTTCGAATATACCTTTAACTTGCTGATTTAGCTATATGATAGCAAGTTCAGCTTGTTGGGATTTTAGGTACTAAAAATTCCTTATAAGTATTCGTTTACACAACAAATATTTTTATTGTTGTATAATTGGAAGTGTAGTTTTGTAGCTATCGTGTTTTATGTATAAATGTGTAAGAATTACGCTGACACTTTATTAATTTGTATTTATAGCTTTCAAAATATATTGTCTGCCCATTTACATTCTTATTCTTATTTGTATTTACTTATATTTATAATGAAATAAAAAATAACAAGAAAGGAAGCTTACTTTGGCCATCCGAAGTATATATACTCTTTTAGCTTTAACAACAATGCTTATTTTATGGATATAATTTTCTAAAGATCCTATGACAGCAATACTAAATGTTAGAAAACAAAGTTATGTTGATTTTTTTTTAAATATTCAAAATTAAAATTTTTATTTTATATTTTGTGTTATTAGGAGTAAGCTAATATATGTAAATTATGTAATTAAATAATTATTTTACGTAATAACCAGTGTCATAGCCGCACATATTGGCCACTATAGAAGCACACAGATATGACCGAGCTGTAAGGCAGCTCTTTGCAGAATCGACGCAGGCGCAGGGGAGCATTACGAAACTGGACGGCCAGGGAACTACGTAAGCAGGCTCCTCAGAGGCCCGCAGTTCTTTATCAATGAGAGTGACGTAGGTTGTGTGCAGACTGAACGGATGGGGGATGAGTGGGTGGGCCGACCACCGGGACTGGGTGTCTGCACACGGAATCGGGGCCAGTACGTTAAAAACTGTTGCACTGCGTCGCTGGGACGTCAGTTCATTCAGAACAGTCGAAGTGTGCAGACCACTGGAAGAGGCCAAACACGGAGCCACCAGTCAGGAGTCGAAGTCGACCTCCGCCATACCTCCAGCTCCAGATCCGAGATTCCTATTTGGGACACCGTTGTGCGAAGTGCAAAGTGCGAAGTGCCCGTTTGAGCCATGAAGATGCCACACCTGACGCTGCACCGGAGCAGTCCTTTGCTCGTCCTGGCACTGATCCTGTGCCTCAGTCCGCTGATCCAGGCTGTGCCCGCCTCCGTGCTCGCCCAGGACACGGAGCTTTCCACCAGCGCCAGCCATAAGCTCCAGCAGCAACAGCAGCTGGAAAAGCAGCAACAGCCGGCAGCAGGTGAGTGCCAAAGTTCAGGTGGAACAGCTCCGCCCACAATCGCCACAGCCCGTTAATGCTAAAGGTCATTGGGAAATTTCGTTTCGAGTTTTTGAAAATGAAAAATACTTCGCCCCTAGGCGAAATCTGCTTGTCGGCTGCGTGGGTGGCTTCCTCATTTGGAGGAGGTCTCCCCTTTCCGGGGATCCGAGCATCCGAGCTTCCATCTTGGAGCTCATCTCATTTAGTATTTTCCATTTCCCATTTCCCGCTCGTCGTCGTCCGCCGTTCGAAGTTTTTGCCAGGAAATTGCGTAGGTGTTTTGCGCCAGGACGACAGCTGTCGCCTTCGCCAGCGATGTCCTCGTCCTCCTGCCCCTCCTCCTGCCCCTTTCTGCATGTTTTCACAAATTTCCATCCTGCGGTTGTTGTTCTTACACTGGCTTAGTGAATCATTACTATCCCTACACTGCGAAAAATCAAATTTGTGTTGTTCAAATGCCTTTATATTTGTGAAACAAATAAATATTTTGTGAAATAAGTTAGGAAGCGTTAATTTACAGAATTTCTTTGTGGCAAACATTTAACATTTAACTTTAGTGAAGTTTAACCTTAAAAATGTTCAACTTATTTTAAGGACTTTTAAAAGACTTTTGGCTTGTTCGTTTTCTTAATTGCACTTAAAATCATTAAAAATTTGGGAGTTAGCTTGGACTTGTTGTTTGCATTTGTTTTTTTTTCTTAAATCAAATAAATTTCTTAAATTAATAACTTATAACATATGAATGAGCTAATTTCTATTCTGAACTTATACTTTTGTGTGGTATTTACACCATTGAAGTAATTATTAAAAGCAAACTAATAACAGAGATGTATATAATATTAAGAATGATTTTACATTTTATAAATTTTGACTTTTAAATTACAAATTGTTTAAGTATATAGGATTTTTCAAGTGTTTAAAATTCTGAACCTCAACAGAACAGATGGCCCCTACTTTTTCCAGTGCATTTACACTGTACATACATGTGGCTCAAATCCCACCAACACAAGCGCACGGGAACCTATAGCGCAGTTAAACATCGCGTAGGCGTTCGCCACACAAAATGGCGGCCAGCCTCCTTTGTGCACACACACTCGTGCACCAAAAATACACGTATTATGTGTGTGCGTGTGTGTGTGTGTGCTGGCCCTCCTCGCTGTTAAAGTGTGCGTACGTGCGCGCGATTTCATTTCTATTTTTAGAAAGCGAGTTAGGCGAAAGTTTTACAGCCCCCTTCTGCGTTTTCAGCATTTCTTTTCTGCTTGCCTAGCATCGCCATTCACCACATCTTGGGTAGAAAGTGCCACCCCCCACCCCTCAGCTAACCCATCCACCCACTCTCACCGCAGGACCCTTGAGCCTTTAAGCAGACAGCCAGCTCAAGCTGTTAAGCCTTTTCAATCCCATTGCCCCGATTTGCGACCGTATACGTTATATTTATATGCAACACGCTCGTTAGCGGCTCCAACCGCAGAAACGCAGAGAGCGGGGCCAAAACGCTGGTGGGGGGCTCTGGTCAAATGTCAATCGCCTAAAGCCAACGGCAGCCACATCAAAATGTCAAAAGCTGGTCCTGAAAAAATGGTATAAATTGAATTGGGGTGGACAATTCGTCCTGGCGACTGGGAACTTTAGGCCAATTAAAATGTAAATTTAATCATAAACAAATCAAAACACTTTAACAAGTACAAGAAAAACAAAATTATGAATGAAGTTTTACTTTTCAAAATGTTTCGAACCAGTTTTTCCAGCTAAAACGCTTGCCAATTTTCTCTAGCTGCCAAAAATCTTTAAATGTTTAAAAAAATTAAAAAACCAAAAAAATAAAAAAGTTTGTTAAGTTATGATAACTTTAAATTTAGAAGACAGATTTTCCTTTATTCCCCAAGACACTATTTCGAGTGATTTATAATCTTAAGAAGTTAATGTGTCACTCTTTAAAATAACTTTGAAAATTAACTGAAATCTCTAGAAAAAAGAAAGTTGTTGGGACTTGAAAGTTATTCACACATCTTCAAAGAGATTCTTTCCTGGAATTTGGTTAAACAATATATTTGTGACACCACTTAAAATGCTAGACACTTTCGACATTTCCATCACCTACACATTTTTCATGGCATACTTCAAGGTCCATAGTTCCTAGGAACTCACTAATAGATTTCGCCCCCACAACGGTTCGTCCTAAATAGATTTATGAAATCCCTGGGTGGGCGGAACTAGGGCCCCCAGCGTGTTTATTAAATTACATATGGCAGCTTAACGACAAAGGCAAACAGGATCAGCCTTCAAGTGTCCAGCTGTTGGCACTCCTGACACTCTTTAAAATGCAAAGCGAAACAGGGTCCACCCCAGCGCTTAAATTACGCACCAACAGCGTCGGCAGTCAAGTGTGCACATTAAATATTTATAAAAGCAATGGCTGCTGGCCGTTCCTGTCACTCATCGACAGGCTATAAAATATTCAGAGAAAGGACTCAGTCCCGGTTGCGATCCCAATCCGAATCCCAATCCCGAAACCGCAGGCTCCCAATCGCATTTCCAGGCGTTCGACAACATTTTTCCATATGCCAGGTTATTATTAAGTTATTTCTGGAGGGGAGAAAAGAAACGCCCAAGGACTTAGCCCTGGCGTTAATTGTGCTCATGTTCATGTCGTGTGTCTGTGGTGGCCCGACTTTTCGAACAGCTGCTAGATCCAGGACCCACCCACATCCAGGACCTCCCGCCCAAGCACCCAAGCACTCAACCACCCACCACCCCAATCTCTGCGCATGTATGTATGCAGAGAGCAAACAACTTGTTGATACTTTCACAGTTCAGTGAACACTCTGGTGGAAAAAGAAAAGTAACGACGAGGCCGACGTCAGCAAACGTCAGAGCTGGGCCAGCTTTTTCTTTCTTTTTCTTTATTTATTTATGTAAGCACCCCCCACACACACACACACACTCAAGAGCCCCTCCCAATTTGATGGACATCCGAGGAGCAGGACATTTGCCACATATAAACATATTTAACGGGGGCGAAATGAAAGCGAAACACGAGCATTGTTGGTATTAAATGACTGCGGATTCTTGGAATCATTTAGCCGGAGGGTTTCAGGAATTGTTCGCTGTCACCAAGGACTCTCGGGCATTGCAAACTGGGTTACGTGTAGTCCGCAAATTAAAGAATGTACATTTCAATAACTTAGCTAGAATTTTATATGGCAGGAGTGTAGTTTCTTGGAAGGAACTAATATTTCAATGTAAATGAGTCATCTTAAAATTAAGACTTAAAGCATTCTGTTTAAAAGTGTCTTGGCTTACATTATATAAAATATGTTTTGGGAATTAAATAGATATTTTTTTAGTGCTTTACAAATTCTAAAATTTTTTTCGAAGGTTGGCCAACAACTGGTGGTTGATAATAAAGCTAAAAATATTTCAATGAGTTCTTTTATGTAACAAAAATCTATCAGATTTTATTTTTATTTCACAACAAGTTGTTTAAAGATTATTGTGCAGAAATCTATATAATCTATGGATAAATAAGTACCTTTTAAAACGTGCATTTGATGTAAGCCGCTTATCATTTTATTGATTACCATTTCCTGATAGCCAGCCGGATATATTACCACCTGGCGGAGTCAATTGTCACAAACCAATAACACATTAATCATTGGGGTCGTAATAATCATGGCTATTTAGGTATCATTCCCACTCCACTCGATTCGATATCTCTGTTCTCAATAATCCACTATCAAAGGTGCAAAAGATAAGCCATATATAGAGTCCAAAGAGAAAGCGTCAAAGTCCCCACTTAAATATAGCACTAGGTATAGCTAAATCCTCTGCTGGGGAGTTTAACGAGTTTCTGTCACGCTCCAGGTGGCTGCTCCACCTGCTCTTGGATTGGACTTGGAGTTGGAATAACCGCACATGTGGAGGCCTCATGTCAAGTGTTAAATGAGTCTTAATTGGCGGCAGCCAGCGCTCGATTATCATTTGATGTGATCCCGAGTTTTCAGAAAAAGTTTGGTATGATTTGATAATTTTTCATAGTTTTTTGGACCAGTCAAACATGTCTTTAAAAGCAAAGTAAAATATATTAGTCTAATGAATTATGAAAATAATATGATTATAATCAGGTTTCCCAAAGCTACTACTTTAAAATTTAAAATGTACATGTCTTAGATATTATTCAGTCATCAAAAAGATATGATAACCAAATTAAAATTGAGATATATTTGTATTAACCTTTATGTGACTAAGGAAGAATTAAATCCAGCCAATTAGCAGGCCAACTGTTGCGCGGAGAACCCTTTTAGATTGGATGCCATCCGAGCAGCAGGAACGGTGGGCAATGTGATTAGGATTAATAAGGTCAATCCTGGGGACCCATCTGCGGGTGGGGGCCTTCCATTGGGATTACATAAACATAAGCCCGCTGTCAGGGCGCTAAAAGCAATTAGTGCCGACCGAGAAATATGTTCGAGTGTATAAAACAATTATGGTACTCGTTTGGTGGACGGCGGCTAATTGGTTTTGCGGTCACTTGGCTGCGGGGGCGGCGAATTTATTGAATCAGCCCGGGGAAATGGGAAATGGAAAATTGGAGTGCCCCCAGTGAGCAGGCAATGGAAAATTTCAATTGCAATTTCAATTTGTGTCCTCTCTCTCTTTCGCCACTTAGCGAAACGTTCCGAGGAGGCGAACGTTGTGCCCTCGGCGGACAAGAAGTCGAGTCCGGAAATTGTGCCCGCTTCCTTCAGCAATGCTCCCTCGGCCAGGAACAATCCCATTCTCCCGATCTCCAGCCAGCCGCAACAGGTGCCATCCGGTGTGTACGCCCTGCCCAGCAACGATGAGATCCTGGCCGCCGTGGCAGCCGCCGCCCAAAACAGCCAGCAGCAGCTGCAGGAGGAGCCCACCGCTCTGGAGGAGGCGGTGGCCAGCTCCACGATGCGCAAGCGGGGCGTCAACTACGAGTACAACCCGTACCTGTCGGCGCCCAGCGACTACGGCAGTGATGTCCCAAATGGCGTCTGGTCTGATGACTACGAAGCCGCCGTTCCCGTCAGTTACGGAGAGCGGGATCTCCAGGAAATCGAGGACTACGTTCCGGAGCGAAGAGGTGGGTGATGTTAACATTTAAGGTTCTATACAGCATTTAAACTTTGTGTTTCAATGGCATTAGTTTTACTTAATATTCAAATTATCAACTTTTCATAGTTGTTATAAAATCAAAGCAAATCTAAGAAAGTATTGTGGCATTTCTGATAAAACACAAACGGTCTTATCGTAATCCATCTTGTTATAAACGATGAGTACTTTTTGGCTTCTATAGATTGTAAACACTAAACTTTAATTTCATTTTGTTTAAATAAAGTTAAGCCATTTAAATTAAAGATTATAATACACATTGTTCATCCCTTCAAATACCATTTTAAAGCCTACTTAAGTTTCAATAAGTTTTACTTCATAATTTTCTCATGTTTGCAGTGAGTGGCTCGAATGCGCGAAACAAGGCCTACGACAATCTGCAAAACCTCCTGAATGCCGAGGCCTATTTGGAAAGCATTCCACTTTCGGTTCCACTGGCCTATGCCAACCGGAACTACAACTTGGATGACCGGAACAAGCGCGGCATTTACTATAATATGGGCAGTAATGGTGGCAATGGAGCGAGTAGCCTTGGCAGTGATAGTGGCTATAACAGCGAAAATATTAACCTCAGCAAATACCGCCGCTTCAATGATATGCGGTAATTGATTAAAAATATTAAATATAAGGCAACACTGCGTATGAGTAATAAGTTTAAATTTCATCCTGCTAACAAAGGCTGACTATAATTAAAAATGTCTTTTAAGCCAAAATTTACTTATAACAACGAATATATTAAGAGTATTATTAGGGCAACACTGCGTATGAGTAATAAGTTTGAAAAGCCTTTCATGTTATTAAACTAAAAGAGATAGTTTTCTGATCAATTCTGGAATATATATTTTTTGCCAACTTAAACATATAATATTTTGAATAGTAGGTAAAGGGTATGTGAATTAAAACCTTTTGAGCTTTTTATGAGTTGATAAAAGCTAAATCGCTAAATGCAAATATTTAAGACAAAATCTATTCCAACAAAAATAGTCTCATAAAAATTGATCTATTTATTCTGCAATTTCAGTCTGAAACGTGACACCCAGTTGAATCCCGCCGACATGTTGGCCCTGGTTGCCTTGGTGGAGGCAGGAGAACGGGCGCGCAAGGAGGGCGATGTGGAGAGCTCCGGACCCGTGCCCATGATCGCCTCCGATGACCTGGACTACGTCCCTGCGGGCAGTTGGATGGATGTGCCCGTACAGGCGCAACCCACTCTGGTGGACTACTACGGAATGCCGCTGGATAACCAAGTGAACCAGGTGATGCCCAAGTACGAGTACGTGCCGCGACAGCACAAGTACAGTGGAGTGAATAGCCGTGAGTTTGGGTCGATATAAAATACCAAACATATATTCAAAATTGGAGTATAATTCCTTAGGCTTTGGTTCCTCGAAACAGCGATATATGGTGGCCAAGAAGAAGCGTTCGATTAGCCAAAGCCAATTCATGAACGAACCCGTGGCCGAACGTGGATCCAGCTATAATGGCGAGAAGTACTTCTAAGGATCCCAACGCATCGATAGTCTCTAGTATTTAATGATAGCCACAGGCCCCACGGAAAGTATTTCTCGTTTTTTTGAACATTGAACATAACATAATCCAAGGAAAGAATCCGCAAATTTTCAATTCAATTATAGTAATGAGCTAGTGTCAAGGTCAACTCGTGTGCAATTTTTGTGTAGAATTTGAATTTTAAACCAACTAACAAGAATTAAATTATTGTTATATGCATATGAACACTAATATTGTACGTCAAGAACATAATCAAATCAATGTTTTCGGATATCGGACAGGGTTTAACGACCTTGTCCCACGAAAACTAATCTTTAGTCTAACCGAAATGGAACTAAACCGAATCTAAGCCAATCTTAATCCCTGTAAGAAATCAATGTCTATGGCAACTAAATGTACAATTACTGAAATCCAGAGAAACCGCAACTATCTGTATCTACTTGTGTAATACTTATCGAACTAGAGGCTTCCCGACTAGTACAAAAAAATGAGAGGAGAACGTTCAAATATATATATATATATATCGGATAGCAACAATCGCCAAAATTCGGCTAGTTATCAACTTTAATCGAGCTCAGAAGCGACAATGGTCCTCTTAACCGCTTTAATTTATATAACCAAATATTTTTGAAGACGTATGAAGCCACCACATTGCGAACTAAACTTTTATATTGACACTCGCCGACTTGGGGACAAACCGATCTGACAATTGATGAGAATTTTAATCGTATATACTGAATATCCGCAGCTAAATATATTGCTAAAAATATATAACTATATGTATACAATATGCAAACTATTTGTCAAAATTATAGAAGTGGCTCAGGGCATAAATATTTTAAATATTCCATGCCGACGATGAAGAGGCGTATTTTTAATTTGAATGAAATTGTCTGACTGTTTTTGGTAATAATCAAATATACATACATATAAAAATTAATTATATTACTTATACAGAGTATTTAAAATGCATTAATAGCGTATATGTGTGTGTGTATACAATACAATACAAAATATATATATATATATGAACACTCAACTAACTATAATATTGTATATTTTTCCTTACACTTATTGGGTCTCTGAATATTTGGCCTTTAATTTACGCCTTAAGTTCTTTGCGCGAGCTTAATTTGAGAATACATTTATTTACAAGCAACTGATTTACGATTAATAAAAATACGTTTTTGGTTTGGAAACCAATGAAAACTTGGACAAATGGGGGGTTTTTTCAACCAGGGGGGCTACGAGTCTATTGATCAGGAAATCAATACAATATGCTGTTGTCAACGCCAAATATTTGAATAAAATGGGAAACTAAAAGCCCTTATCCCCAGCCATTTCATTCGGGAATCAAATAATGGAAATGTGTCAATTTGGGCGCTTACAACAATCATCAGTTACAATTAGATGAATGGAATTTGTATTTTCAGCTGCGCAGTAACAGCTTCTCAATGAAAAAGTCATAAAAATCATTTTCTTTTTCTACGTTTTGGAAGGAAAAGTTAAATAATTGAAAATTGGGAGACAATTCAATGAAAGCCAATTAACAACTAGGCACAGCAAGTGGAAAAAAGTGGGCACACTGTGGACTTTCAAACGAAGTGTGTGCCAAAAATTAAATAAAAACCAATTGGCCTTCGCACACGCGTTGACATCAATCGGAATTCAGAGGGGTTTCATCATCAGCAGAACCCCAGTACTTTGTTTCTGGGACAGGGAACACCACGCGTTGTACTTCTTTAATGTTCCATGGCACTACCAAATGACACGGAGAACCAAGCAGCCATGAAGCCATCTATTGTGGCCACTGCAAATTCAAAGCAAAGTTCTGCTCCGGACGCTTTTGATGAGGTCCAACATTATGCAAACAGAAAAGTTCTCTTGTCGGCCATAAACAATACCATAAACAGTTGGGCAAATAAACAAAACACTGTGAATTACAAAGCTGAGGTCCAGATACTTAAATGCATTTCAACTCGTACTCTGTTTTTATTTACTTGAGGGGGGATATGTAACACGTCGTTGCTATTATGACTATGGGTTACCCTTTATTTTAGGCTAACCAATTGGGAAAGAAAACTCGTTTGAAACATCTCTATATCTCACACAAATTTAGAAAATTCATAGCATACGCAGAGTAGTCAGATTTAGGTCCAATGTTATATCTTATCACTAGGGATTTGCAGAGTGTAACACACATTAAAAATCCCCAGCTGTATCCCAAATTGTTACCATATGGCCAAGGAAAACTAACTAAATACAAACAACAGGGAAAATGGCAGAAAAGCCGGCATTAATATGTATGGAGTGTGTATGGATGGATAACGAGTGCATAAGCATTGGAGCCTGAAGTTGGTGGGGGAAAACCGAGATGCGGGTTTGAATGGGAACCTAAAAAAGTGGGAAACTGGAGGGACATTTGCATATCTCATCAGCAAATGAGCAATGACCAGAAAGAAAAACATTCTACCCAAAGAGGCAAAGAAAAGTTGTTTGACAATCTCTTAAATTCGTTTATATTAACTATATAAAACCAAAAATGTAAAACCCTAATGATAACTAATAGATCTGACTTTGTTAAATGCTCACGGGTCTTTCTCAATAGGAAGCATTTGTTTTAGCGATTCCCCCCACGGGCATCACGATTTCGCACCTCTTATCATGAGATCAATCTGCTGAAAACTTATAAGATCGGCGTTAATTAACTTGCCAAATAAGAAATTCATTTAAATTAATAAATTCTCGGTGGAAAATACTAAAAGTAAAAGCCATAAAAAAGCCACAAATTATAAGAACACTCTTGATACATTTGATTGGGCTTTTTGGATGGGTTATTGGGTCTAGATCTGCTCGGCGTATTTATACTAATTTCATGCACGCGTTTTGCATATTTAATAACCGCTTTATAGGCGGTTTGCTTCTTTTTACCACCTGTAGACGAATTTTTATTTTTCTCGTTTTATATTTGTGTTGAGTAAGGCGAGCTAATAAACGATTCCCCTTACTTATATAACAATTGTTTGAATTAAATAGCGGACATAAAGAAAGTTCATCCGCCTTCTGTATTTCTATCAACAACAAAAAATTATTAATTCCGTTTCGATTGAAATAATTTTAATTTTTTTTTTGCTTAATGGGAATTTAAAATAAAACAGTTTTGTAAAGGCATTATATTATGATCTAAAAAGCTCGCAGCCTTTTTGAATGAATTTCCAAACAAACCATCGTCTTTGCCCCACAAATGTGATCGAAATTAAATTAAAATTCACGCGCGATGTCTCATAAATAAAGAGCTTAAATGGTTATTATGTCTTCATTCATGAAGTATTTCGAAATTGGCCTAAACTCTGGTATATATCATTGATATGCTAGCCAAATTAAAATGCGTGACGTGTTTGTAAAAGCCAACTTATCGGGGAAAACCACCTAGTAAAGAAACGAACCACAAGAGTCTAAAAAGTAACGATGCAATCGAATGAAAAGAAAATGAAATTAAATGGGAGGCGGGGAGTGACGTTTGTTGAATGAGGCACACTACTATGAGGCATAGGAAAACGGGTATTTTAGATATCGGGCAGTATGACAATCAATTTCCGAACCCCAACAAATACGAAGCCAACGAATACGCGCCAAACGACAGGCAAACCACTCAGAACCAGAGAACAAGATCCCAAAACTCGAGACCCACCACCACTACTACAAAGTCCACCCGACACACAGATACACACCTATACCAATGAGTGAACGAGAATTTATTTTTGGGGGACGACGCACAAAATCAAAGAGTATTCCAGCTATTCGCTTCAGTTGGTGAGCAACTTTCGCAGGCAACGCACGTGAATTTCGTATTCGGATTCGGATTCGGTCTTTCGGTTTCGACGCGTGAGAATATATCTCAAACTGTTTGAATAAACTATTAGCATTTCCCGGGTCGCGTAAGCCACATTCGAAATCCTCAAGATGCCGGACGAAGTGCCCGCCAAAGGCAGCATATTGGGCAGTAAGTCATGGGGTCAAGGGTCTCAAATCGGAACCATCTGTTTCGAGATTGCACCCGTGGAATGCATCATGCGGTGATGCACAAGTGCAACAAGTGGGTGGGCAAAAGACTTAACCAAGGCCCATATAAAAAAACGACTTTGACCTTAAAACCGGCACAAAGGTCGTTCGTGTGCGTGAGCTCCAGAAATCTTCCTTATTCTCCGTTTCCCTGTAAATGTGTTTGTGTGTGTGTGTGTGTGTGTGTGCCATATCCTTTATGTTAGGTTGCTGTGGCTTTTTTTAGATTACTGCCCACGCGGCATATTTGATTTGTTTTTGGCGTTTTTATACCCAGGGAATGATGTCCGGGCAAGGTCAAATGGAAGTCATAGAAATAAACAATATTGGCATACAAATATATAGCCAATTTGTATACGTACCACCCGAAAACAAACGCGACATTCTTGAAATTCGTCTACCTATCCCAACAAAAAAGCGACAGTTTGTGCAAGCTTTTGAATGGGGTAAATAATACTGTTTACTTTAATCAAACTTTGCGAGATTTTCAAGCGGCTTTTGCAAACAATTTTGAGTTTTATGATAAACGCCAAGCAAATTATAAAAGGGTTGCTCGAAAAATGTCTTATCAGCTACTTTTTCGTTTTTATATTAAAAGCAACCAGGAGAATTTTAAGCTTCATATAAAATGTTCAAATATTACAACTTATCAAACTGTTGTGAAATTGTGAAGTTTATTTTTATAAACAATTGATTGACAGCTGGTCTGGGTTTGAATATTTAAAGACCAACTTAAGGAGAAACAATGAGGCTATTTCAAAAACTGTAAACATATTGCAAGTCGTAATCATTTTTCCCCTGATTTTAAATATGTTATGAAAAACTGAAAAATAAATTTTTAGATAGTACGTATAATTTTACAACTTTATTGGTTTATTTAAGGCCTGGTATTTAATTAAGCAAATATGAAATATTTCACACAATTAGCAGCTAGGTCAGCATATGCCATTTAATAAAAAAATTATCCAGGATCAGTCGTTCTTATTTTAGCACTTGAAAGATTACCCTTAGCACTTGAGCTTTACCTTCACGCCCCACCCAATCAAACAAGCAAATAAGTCTGGGGGATTTATGAATACTTAGCGACGTAAAGGTATTGGTGCTTCCCCGTAATAAACACAAAGCAAATATAGATTAAGTAATAAAGTATTGAGAAATAAATGCCCTACAAAGAAAGGATACTCTTCTGAGATATTTTAAAGATATAAGAAAATACTATACACCCATTAGATATATTGAAATACAGGAATATTACTATATATAATCAAGATTTTTCTAAACCCAAAGAGTAACTAAATTATAATAATAAATCCTACAATATAAAGTAATTAAATGGAAGGTACAAGCCCATTAAGATCTTAAAAGAAAGGGTACATCTTAAGGCATTGATGGAATAATACTCCCAGTATCGATGGAGCAATTAGCAAGTATAAATAATCGGGTTGCCAGCTCGGAAGGCCCACTTCTGACAGCCATGAAAGTGAAATTGAAAACAAAGACCACAAATTTATACCCATTCTTATCGCAACGTGCGTTCATAATTGCCAGACATGATTGCCCCCTTTCCTACTTCAAAACCAGGTGGATTATAATCGGGTAGTTTCGATATCGATGCGCGTGCGGTGGTTCTATACACTGACCCTACCCAACTGTCAGTAATCTGTGGCCAGCTCCATTTAGAACTCGTGGGTCACCAGGTGATTGGGTTCCGAGTATCCAAATTGTGTCCATATCGGACCCTAAAAATACTTCCATGGTAATGTTAACTTTCTTTAACTTCAGATATTTTCCTTTTCTCGTTTTGGGTTGAGAAGTAGCAGCAAAACAAACCCAGAACTAATTCCTTAATTTGCCTAAATGATATTATTTAGCATTCATATCGATGCTAATTGAAACGCGGCGAGCAGCAATTCAATTGGCCAATACGAATATCGTTGGCATTAATCAAATGGACTTGCCTCACACTGCTGAGAAAATATTTAATTGCTTATGCAATATTGCTCTTCAAAAGAAATTTTAGATAGATTGTTGTAAGCTGGTCTTTTACTTTGAAAAAGGATTAAAAAGATTTTAAAATTTCTGTCAATCTTAAAAATTGTTTTACGGTTAGACCCCTATATTAAAGATTTTTTATAATTATAAAGTAAACCATTTTGTTTTGAATGAATTAGTTTAAACTAAAGTCAATGTTGGGTAACCGCCTTGTTATTAAGTTGAAAACTTGATAACCTTTATTTTTAGAAATCATTTAGAAATTAATATCTCTGGATTCGACTCTTTCTAGAACTTAAAATTATTGTACTTCGGCTCCACTTTAGATAATAAATAAATAAAAAATAAATAAATAAAAAATAAATAATAAACTAATATATTTAAAATTAAAAACCCCTTTTCCATTTGCAGAACTCGTGCCCGCTCGCTATGTGTTGGCTCTGCTGGGCTCCATCGGCATGGCCATTGTCTACGGACTGAAAGTGAATCTCAGCGTGGCCATGGTGGCCATGTTGAATCACTCGGCCATTAAGGCGCTCAGCGATGAATCCGGAAAATCGTCGCTATCGAATGTCACTAAAGAGTCCTTGGAGCTGGAGTGCTCCCCGCCGGGAGGAGCCAGCAACGTGACGGCGAAGGTGGAGGACGGACCCTTTATCTGGAGCGAACCCCTGCAGGGCATCCTGCTGAGTTGCTACTTCTGGGGCTATTTGGTGTCCCAGATCCCACTCGCTCATGTCGCTGAGAACTTTTCCGCCAAGTGGGTGATGCTCTTCTCGGTGGCCATTAATGTGGTGTGCACCCTATTGACTCCCGTGTTTACCAATCTGCATTACGGAGGTCTAATCCTGATGCGAGTGCTGGAGGGCATCGGCGGAGGAGCCTCCTTCCCGGCCATGCACGTGATGATCGCCTCCTGGGCCCCGCCCACCGAGCGCATGGTCATGTCCACCATCATCTATGTGGGCACCTCGGCGGGAACGGCTCTCTCCATCCTCCTGGCCGGCGTTTGCTCCGCCCAATGGGGCTGGGAGTCGGTGTTCTATGTGATGGGCGCCCTGAGCTGCATCTGGATGCTGCTCTGGGTCATCCTGGTGCAGGACAGTCCCAACAAGCAGCGCTTCATCAGCCCGGAGGAGCGGCAGATGATCAACAGCTCGCTGGGCACGGAGCAGAAGGTGGATCACCACCCATCGGTGCCGTGGATCAAGATCTTGAAGTCCGTTCCCTTCTGGGCCATCCTCATCGCACACACCTGCAGCAACTTCGGCTGGTACATGTTCCTCATCGAGATTCCCTTCTACATGAAGCAAGTGCTCAAGTTCAACGTGGCCAGCAATGCGGCACTCAGTGCCCTGCCCTACTTCCCCATGATCATCTTCAGTATCTGTCTCGGCAAGTTGTTGGACAGTCTGCAGGCTAAGGGTGAGTTTGGATAGCTATCCTATATCTTTACCTATATACCATGATCTTTGTGTTAGCCTAAATTAAGTTATCTCACAATTTAATGGGCTATGTCTCGATCTTAAAGAGTTTTTGCCTTGCAAATGAGAATTCCTTCATTTCGAATTTGAATGGTTATAAATATCTTCTATCTTATCTTATCTTTTTACACTTATTAAGTGTAGATCAACATCAAATCAAGCTGTTATTGATAGATTATTTTAATATAAAAAACTCTTCTCTTTCCTTATAAATTACAAAGAAACGATTTATTTAGATAGTATTTTTTTAGAAACCTAATAAGATAAAACACAAATACTTTATATAATCTCCTTTCTTCTGCAGGTAAAATCAGCACTACCTTTGCCCGCAAGACGGCCACCTCCATTTGCACTCTGATCCCTGGTGCTTGTCTGCTGGCTCTCTGCTACATTGGATGTCAGCATTATGAGGCCGTGACCATCATGTCCGTTGGCATTGTGGCCATGGGATCCATGTTCTCCGGCTTCCTGTCCAACCACATCGACATTGCCCCCAATTTCGCCGGCACTCTGGTGGCGCTGACCAACACGGCGGCTACTTTGCCTGGAATCGTGGTGCCACTCTTCGTGGGATTCGTCACCAAGGGAAATGTAAGTGCATGATCCTTAGATTATCCCCATTTTCTTTCTAATCGTTAATGGTTGTTTTAATTTTTCAGCAAACCATTGGAGCCTGGCGCATTATCTTCGGAGTGACCATCGTCCTGTTCGCTTTGGAATTCCTGGTATTTGTCTTTTTGGGTTCTGGTAAGGAGCAGCCATGGAACAAGTCAGGATTGCCCAGGGCTCCGGAGGCCAAGGACGAAAAGACTCCGTTGAAGGAGCTCTCACCAACCAAACCCTAAATCTATAATCTCTCTTCGATTGCCCTGCCTCAATTACTCGATGAAACGCTGCTTGATCAAGATCTGAATCCTGAATGAAATAAAGCGAGCACCAAATGAAATGGTCGACACTGGACTGTAAATACCAATTACAAATTATGCAATGCCCACCCAAAATGGGGAACGCCTAAAAATCAAAATTTAAAATGAATCTTGGCGTTTCATATTGAAATAAGAAACAAAAGAAACACCAATATGAAATACCGAATATGTTTAAATCGTTTTGAAATTGCATTTTTATGAGTTCTCTTTTTAGAGAGTGCACTGTAGTTTTTAGATCGCTGTAACCCTATAGTTAGTAGCCGTACACCATTACGGATAAACACTTCAGCCCGCCTAATGTACTTAACACTCTTGATTTCAAAAGTTGTCTACAAATAAAGCGCCGTCTCAGTGGATGCATTGAGTTTTTTTTACAAATTGGAGGGGAAAATTGGTTTCACCTTCAGTTTTGATGGAAATAGCAGGTCAATAGCCGCATTTTATTTGTTTATTTTTATTTTTAAACCAAACAATATGCATTTTTGAAGTCTTTAATCAACTTAGTGGCTTTCTGGTAATGGAAAAACAACATTTTCGCCGAAAGAACTTTTATGAATATTTAATAAAAGTTAGATTCTACTGCATATTACATAAAAATTATAAAATGGTTGGCTTGACCAAATACCATATTCCTCTGACCATAACTTAGCTAAACCTAGTTCGAGAAGAACTATAATCATCTATTTTATAAACATTGAAAGGGATATTTAAAAAAGGTACATTATGATATCTTCCTTATTGGAAGTACAACAACTTGCCTTCTTTTTTAACTAATTTTACTGAGACTTATCTTATCACTTTTCGAATTCCGATAACTTAAAGCGCCAAAAGTCAGCCCGATAAGACATCCACATCTATCGATACTCCGGATGAAACATATGATTATATGTAACAGTTTGCCGGTTTCATCGCAGATTGTGTAAAATGTTGAAAGTTCGCAGCATTGTCCTGCTGCCAAGGAGATGGAAGAGCGGGGCCAAGAAGCGATGGAATGTCCTGCAGAACAAGAAGAACAATTGCGACCGGGCCATGGACAACTTCGACGACTTCTACGGAAGTGTTTACGGCAGCCGGTGGAAGAACATGCGGGCGGCGCTCCTCACGAGGCACAAATACGTCGCCATGGTGAACAATTTCGGGGACACGGAGCAGACATGCAGCATGCTGGAAACAGACGGAGCCATCAACATGAAGTCCCTGATTAACCTGGCACAGGATCGCCTGAAGGACAGCACGGAAACGGTGCCGGAGCAGGGAAAATCCCGCCATGAAATAGAAGGCAAACTGGATGCACTATTCCGAAAGCAGCAGGAACGCGAAGTGGCTTCTATTTATCCAAGTTCAGGAGAGGATGGGTCATCTAATTCACTCCCACAACAACTGAAGTTCGACAACACAGAGGAAAAGCATCCAGCGGAAGAGGAATTCAATAATCCCTTCAAACAGAGCCTTACAAAGGCCCTGGAGGAAGATGTGAAGCTGGACGAGCATCGCTTGGTGGATCCTCAGTTCGGCACTGGCGGACTGTATGAATACATGCCCGCCCACAGCATCAAGGGCATGGAGGATTGGGTGGCGGAGTCGGAGCACTATAAGTACTACCAAACCAGCGCCGATTTTCCACTCACCATTGAACCAGAGGCTTCATTTCACTATCCCGAGCATCTCTCCCTGTACACCTATGAAATGGGCAATTGCTCCGACTTTAAGGGACCGAAAAAATGCCTCACTGGCGTCCTCTCCCACTTCATGATGGATGGCGCCTCCACTTTGCCACCGCTTTTCCTGCAGGTGAAGCCAGGTGAGCGGGTGCTCGACGCCTGTGCCTCTCCTGGCGGCAAGTCACTGCTAATGCTGCAGACCCTTCACTTGGATCGCCTCGTCTGCAATGACATCCAAGAATCCCGCCTGAATAAGCTGCGCAAAGTCATGCAGGAGTACCTGTTCGACTTCAAGGAGCGCTGGGCGAGCAAGCGACTCATCTTCAATCAGAGCGATGCCCGCAACCTGGACCAGTATGAGCAGTTCGACAAGATCCTGGTGGACGTGCCCTGCACCACGGATCGCCATGTGCTCAACGAGCAAGACAATAACATCTTCAAGCCTACGCGCATAAAGGAACGCCTGCGGATTCCCGAACTCCAAGCTGGTATCCTAGCCAATTGTCTGCGCTTGCTGCGACCAGGAGGAAGCTTGGTTTACTCCACCTGCTCACTGTCGCCCATCCAAAACGATGGTGTGGTGCACATGGCACTGCAGAAAGTGTTCACGGAATACGGCATCACAGCCACCATCAAGGATCTGAGCCAGCATACGGCGCTCTTCAGCGATGTCTTCAAGTTTGAGCACCCAAAGGGTCTAAAGTACGGACAAATGGTGGTTCCCTACCTACCAGCCAACTTTGGGCCAATGTATTTCAGTAAAATAACCAGAAATGTGTGATTAATTGATGTGAAAAGTACATTAAAGATAATTTTTAAAGCTCGAAATCTTCTATCTCGGTATTTGATTTGAATGGGAGAATATATTCAAAGATATAACTATTTTCTAAATAAATCAATTCAGTTGTAAAATTAAAAAGTACCTTTTTATTTACTTCTGCTTGAGTTACATTTGTTTGTCCGTTTTCTTTTTCTTTTTAGCCTTAACGGGCAAAGGTCCGGGGTTCTTGAAAATTGTGCTGGAAAACAAAAATGCCATTCATAACTATTAAAGGCAATTTAATTAACCATACTCACTGGCAAGTGGTGCAAATTGGACTGTATTTGCAGAACACCGACAGGCAAACCGAGCAGACATAGCCAATGTCGATGAGCTCACGATGGCAGAAACAGGAGGCCCGGTAGTCCACCTTGGGCGGCGGAGGCAAGACCAGTTTGTGACGAATTTGCGGGGCGGGCAGGAAGACCCAAAGAAGGTACTGCAGCAAGCCATCCAACTGAGTGACCTTTAGGAACTGTCCGGAGGTAATATCACAGCCCTGCTGGAGCAAACTGAGTGTCTTGTCCAAGGCGCAGGTATCGATCACAATTCCCAGTTTCTGGGCGGTAAAGAAGACATTCATGAAGGTCATGTACTGGGAGGCGCACTCATTGCTGCCCGTCAGGACCAGGATGCGGGAGTGCATCTTCACGCCAGGCGCAACGCTCCTTTGCAGCTGTAGAGGATCAACTTGGGGTTAGTATCAAATTTAGAAAGGTAATCCATAGTAGTATCTTTACCCTGGATATATAGCACAGTGCCATGGACATGCTGCCAGCTAGGAGACTCTCACAAGGAGCACTTAGGCGTGGGGCATTCATTAGAATGCTGCCCAGCTGCTGTTTCACCGTCTTCTCCACGAGACTGAAGGCCTCATATTGACCGTCAACCTGGCGCAATTCCACTTGACGCCTAGGCAAAGGATACAGGAAGTTTCTGCAAGGAAGAAAATCAGTTTACATAAATAATAAACGCCTAAGGAGCCCACTTACGTGGCATGATGGGAGCAGGATAACACAGCCAGTTTGTTTTGGGCCTTTTGCATGAGGTGCGCATTACCGAAGGCAATCACCGCCTCCAGGATTTGGGTGAGGTTCTGTGGGTTCTGGCGCACTATGTGCTGTGAAGGATTCGTGTCCAGCACGATGACCAAGAGGTCAATGCACGACTCGGCTGTAATTAAGGTATATAAGCAATTGTTTAGAGGTATTAAACGCGGTTTAAATACGCACCTTCTTTGCTAGCTGCTTGATCCGCTTCCATTTTCGCCGGCAATGTTATCGGTAGAGATGGGCAATTCTTGTTTTCAGTAGGGTACTTCAATCATCATTTAAATTAAGAAGTGCCACCACTGTCGATAGACAGACTGCACTTGATATTGCTGCCTATCGTACATTTGCTGGGCGTTTCACAATTTTTTTAAGAAACAAAACAAAGCTCCACAAAGGACACGATGCTCGTTCTGGTACTCGGCGATCTGCACATTCCCCACCGGTGTAGCAGCCTGCCGGCCAAGTTCAAGAAGCTGCTGGTGCCGGGCCGGATCCACCACATCCTGGCCACCGGAAACATTTGCACCAAGGAGTCGTACGACTATCTGAAGTCCCTGGCCAATGACGTGCACATAGTGCGCGGGGACTTCGACGAGAACCTCACGTATCCGGAGCAGAAGGTGGTCACGGTGGGCCAGTTCCGGATTGGACTGTGCCACGGCCACCAGGTGGTTCCCCGCGGCGATCCGGAGGCCCTGGCCCTCATCCAGCGGCAACTGGACGTGGACATCCTGATCACGGGGCACACGTACAAGTTTGAGGCCTACGAGCACGGAAACAAGTTCTACATCAATCCGGGCTCGGCCACGGGTGCCTTCAATCCGCTGGACAGCAATGTGGTGCCCTCGTTCGTTCTGATGGACATCCAGAGCACCACGGTGGTCACATACGTTTACCAACTCATTGGCGACGAGGTCAAGGTGGAACGCATCGAGTACAAGAAGATCTAGGGTCATAGTATTAGACACCAGCCATTCCCAATCCAACATCCCTGATCCCCCGAGCTTGGCTTTATTAAAGAAATTGTAAATGTATGTAGCAATAAATCAAGTTCTCATTTTTTTATCTGATAAAAAATGCTGACATTTTATTTAAATAGAAAATAAAATTATGATCGAATGAAAACCACTTTGAAGATTTTGTGTTTAGTTGGGTTTAATAAAGAAAAATAAAACCATTTAGTTTTGAGTTTTCAAGCACATACCCAAGTATGTAGCTCCCCATCCCATATAAATCGGAAATGCCCCATATTTATCTGATAAAAAATGTTTAAATTTTATTTAAATAGAATATAAAAAGAGTTACATCTGATGATCGGGTAAAGAGTCTGCTTCAAAAGATCGAATTAGGTGCTCAGTTTCATTACACACACTCTCGATATAAATACATTGGGTTCGGTTGTTTTGTGGCCATCGCTTTTCCATTGAAATAAATTATATAAATACTTTCCACTAGCCAGGATAGCAAAGTTTGGCAACATCATCATTACGAAAAGTTTGATCTTAAAATCTCAGAATTACGACAACTTTGCGCTTATATTTAAATACAATTATGATTGCTGACTGGCTAATTTTGCTGATGATAGTTGGAAAAGCAACGGATCGGATCCCTGAAAGGGAAACCACATTAGCCGAGGCTGTCCACGCAAACAGTCTTGAGGGTCTTGCCAGCAATGGTGGTCTTATACTGCTCCGGTAGAGCCAACTCGGTCTGGAGGAAAAATGCAAAACAATTACTAATGGAAATGGATTGGTTAAAGTCTTAACTCACATAATCGCCGGAAGCGTCGGGCAAAAGGATGTTCATCTCCGAGGACTTGGAGTTGACAATCTCCACTCCAAGAGAGTCTTTGGACAGATACATCTGGCATCCGTCGGTCTTGTCGATCGAAACCGTCGGAACCGAGCCGAGCACCTGCATCTGAACGCTCTGGCAGTTGACAAACTCCACGGAGGCCACCACCGAGTCAAAGAGCAGGGAGCACTTCTTGCAAGAGTCGAACACGATGTTGTTCACCTTGCCCTTGACGGTCAGCGTGGATCCCTCGCAGCGGAACACATACACCACGTTGTTCATCTCGGCGTTCTCCACCAGCAGTCCGGTGTTGTTCTTCTGGTACTCGATGATCCACTTCTTGCCATCGCGCTCAAAAACGGGCGCCTTGGCAGCCGCACTCGATGGAGCAGCAGCGGCTTGTTTTCCGCCCACTTGGGCTGGCGATTTGAACGGAGCCGGTCCTGTACGCAGAGATGGATTTTTGTGGGTCTGCATGTCACCAGTGACCTTCTTCAAGCCTTAAAGATTAACCAAACAAAAATGTTAGGAAGGTGCTATATGGTTTTTCAGTTACAACTTACTCTTGGTGATGTCGGCACCCTGGTTGATCTGGGCGAAGAGGGCGCTGCGATCATCCCCTGCGCTGTCCAGCTTAAGAGCACTCAGATCCAGCATCGGTGGCGGTGGGGGCAGACCACCAGGTGGTGGTGGCGGCGGGGCACCGCCAGCGGGAGCAGCTCCCTTGCCGGACCAAACCAGACCCGTGGTGTGATACTGCTTGATGTAGGCCTGCAGCTCGGTGAGGGTCTGCACCCAGGCGCGGGCCCACTCCACATGCGTGACATCCTTCTCCTTCCACTCCTTGAGCACACGGTTCGTGTAGAACTGGCCGGCGTCATTCATCTCCTTGACATACGGACCCGGAGTCTTCTCCACGCACACCCATCCCAAAGCGGGAATACTCTCGCTGATGGCCGACAGGTGGTTGAACAAGGCCGAAGAGCGGTGCTTCTCGCGGAAGTCCTGAATGGCACTGATCTGGGTCGAGGTCGGTTTTAGGAGCTCCGCCTGCTTGGGCTGTGCCGGCTGGGCAACCTGAGTGGCCAGCGTCACGTACTGCAGTTGGAAGCTGTTGGGGGAGTATATGATTAGATTATTTCATACTTGGATGACTCATACAGGCTGACTCACCCAAAGGCGCTCTTTACGAGCTCCGCATGCTGGGCAACATCGCCGCCAATTTTGGCGGAGAGGGATAGATACTGGCTCAGCGGGCCCGCCACAATGTCCTCAAATCCGGCGACACTCATGTTGTTGCTGGGCGGTGAAGGAGGTGGTGGTGGTGTTTCTGCTTTCTCTGCAACTGGAAGAGCTTCTTCAACTTCTTCTTCGGTTGGCGGGGGCGGGAGTGTGGGTGTGGGCAGTTCAATCGGCTGTGGCGCTGTTAGAGTCCGTTCCAATCGGTCGACGAGGGTCTCCAGTCGCTCGCAAATGCTCTCCAAGTGCTGAACAGCAGCCGTGGGCTTGGCTTCCGGCTCGTTATCTGAACCAGAATGACGCGTAAAGAAAAGGGAAAATAATTAAAACTTGTTTGACAACTAATATTTAAATAACATTGATTTAAAAAAAGAGATAAGTACATAGTGAGGTGAAGTTTCAGCTTGATAAAACCCCCATTAATCGTGCACTCACAATATTTGGCAAAAAGGCCATATCAACTTAAGCTTCCCGAGAAGAATCTCTCATCATGAGTTTGTGGATGATGATGAAGGACAAACGAAAAGGTCCATGAATGGTGCACTTAACACTTATTAACTTAAGATGCAATAAGAGCTAATCCCAACGAGTGAAGGTGATAAACTGCATGCAAAAACGTCACAAAAGGAAAAAAGACTAAATTGAAACTTTGAACAAAGTTACTCGACAGGGTTCTTTTTTTCGCTCATTAGAAGATAGGCGAATCGCCAGATTCACACAGCTTCTATAAAGTGAACATTTAAAAACCCAAGCCAAGTAACCCTTTAAATATCTGAGAGCGAAAATAACAAAGGAATCGGACTCTATCGAAGCTCGCATACCCCGCACGGCCACGCTGTGCTCCACAGCCGCGTGAGCTGCCCGCAGGAGCTCCGTGTAGAGACGCTGGCGCTTGAGCTCCAGCTCGTCGCGTCCCACCGGCGTGACCGGTGGCTCGATGCAGCCGCTGGACATGGAACGAGGTCAGAAGACGCCAAATTCAAACAAAATCAAGGGAATGCAATACAGGAGGGGAATTCAATCTGTTCTGGTTTAAGCCAATGTTGTTTGTTTTTTCCTGTGGTTTTTTAATTAGGTATACTGCTCCTTTAAGTATTAAAGAATTTCAGTAAATTATCTAGTTAAAAAACCACAGAAAACCTATAAAACCAAACAAGTATTGTGAAACCACAACAGGAACTTAAGCATACATCTCATTGAGTCGTTCGTCGTCGAACCAGGAGGGTAGTCCGTGGGCAAAGAACAGTGTCTCCGAAACGACATCCCCCTCGATGTACGGCGCACACATGCTCTCCCGTTTCGGTGGAGGCAGTGAATCGGAGAACACCTCGTCGTCGTCCAGCAGGGAATTCTGGTTCTGGCTGGCCAGCAGGAGCAGGGGCAGCGGATCATCCGGCTCAATAATCTCCGCCCTGTTGCTGATGTTAACCTTCTTTTTGATTGACTGATGTGTGGAGTTGTGTCTGGACAGGCAGCTCTTGGTGGGCGGTGGTTGGGGTGGCGGTGTGGTCGGAGTAACTGCAGCCACCACCACATCACCCGATTCCTCCGCATCGGCGCTGGTCATCGAAGCAGGTGGTGCCGTTGATGTGGAAGAGTGCGTCGAGCGGGCAATCGCCTCCGATTCTTTGGGTGCGGGAACTGTCTTTGAAGCTGTAACTTGTGCTGGTGCTGAAGTTGGTGGTGATTTGTTAGCTGCTTCAGCCAGAGTTGGTTGGGCTGTGGAAGTGTTGCTTAAGATTACTCTACATGAAGCTTGAATTAAACAGACGGTCATCAAGAAAAGCGCCGATACTTAAGTTGATTACTTCACTTTAGTCTTTGCCTACATCACTTCCTGGTTTCATTATTGTCATTTATCGCTTTTAAAAAGCATTTTCAATTACAACCATGATGTCATGGTCAGTGGTAGTTATTTATTGCTTTATCTTGAATAGAAACTCGTAAGCAAACAGCTGCGATTAAGACAATAGTAGTGAAAATATGATATTTTAAATCATGAAATAATTCATTTTTATCTAGAATAGAAATTTTAGTTAAAAACGTTTTTGTAAAAATCAAAATTGACAACATTTATCGTTTAAATTATTTTTAATGGTTGAAAGAAAACATTAGCTATGTATTTAATAATATCTCTTGATCTGTGTATCTATAAATTAGGAGAATATTATAACCTTCAGATCGTTTTCTATATTTATACCCGTTACTCGTAGAGTAAAAGGGTATATTGTATTCGTGCAAAAGTATGTAACAGCTAGAAGGAAGCGTTTCCGACCCTATAAAGTATATATATTCTTGATCAGGGTCACTAGCCGAGTCGATATAGCCATGTCCGTCTGTCCGTCTGTCCGTCTGTCTGTCCGTCCGTATGAACGCTGAGATCTCGGAAACTATAAAAGCTAGAAGATTTGCATTTTGCATGCAGATTCTAGGAGTTCCTACGCAGCGCAAGTTTGTTTCAAAAAGGTGCCACGCCCCCTTTAACGCCCACAATCGCTTATATACGATACATTTAAATATTTCGGAAAAGTAAAAATGCAGTTTTATTGTGTTTATCAATACCTATCGAAATGTAGAAGAAATTTTTCAAATCGGACCATTCGTTAAAAAGTTATGCGTGATCAAAGTTTCTATCTCCATCTCCCTCGCACTCCCTTTACCTGAGTAACGGGTATCTGATAGTCGGGGCACCCGACTATAGCGTTCTCTCTTGTTTTAACCTCAACTGTATATACATGCATTATACTATATCATACTCATAGGTACACTTTGATCGATGTGCACGATTTTAATGTTCAACACAAATATGTATAGTAGGCAATGTCATTAGCTATACCTCATTAATCAACTACGTATCGGTGCTATTCCTTGATATATCTCTAATATAAAATTCACAGAAATAAACCCAAGAAAAAGCACAGAGGGAAAACTTAAAAGTGAACTAGGAAGGGCACTTAAAGTCCTTTAAAGTAGTTTAAAATGAAAAGTTTGAAGTAGTGGTCAGCTGCAGTAATAACGCAGTGACGGAAAACCGGCCGGATGCGGTGATTCGTTCCGGAGAATACACGAAAGCCGACACAGCTGTTGAGCTTAAAAGCCGGAGAGTACATAGAGTGGTGTATATAATACTTAGGGTTGTGTCAATACCAGTGAGGTTTGCCTGGGTGCCTTCATCTACAGGATTATCCGCTTCTGTTGTGCCCTTTTCTGGTTTGAGAGGCTCCTCTTTTGGTGAATCCTTCTGGCTATCCTCCCGAATCTCCGGTTTCCCATTCAGCTGCGTTTCCCCCTTTTCGGTGGCCTTTTCTCCATCCTCCTCGGTCTTTTTATCCTTTTCCTTCTTGCCCACCTTGGGATTCGATCGGCAGCAGGAGAACATTTTTGCAGGCGGTTTCCTTTTTGCGGGATTCAAACACTCTAAATACGAATCAAGCACATTATGTAATTTCCGTTTCAGGATTCCGGATTCCCCGTTTTGCTCAAGCGGCAGTCACAACACTGGCATCACATTATATTAGCAGCAGTCATTTAAGTTTTAGTGGCTTCGAAAGGTGACAGGGGCCACTCCTTGCTCATTTGGCTATGTGTATATGCTTCGCCCGAATAGATTGGCACATTAAAATGAAGGCAAGGTTGGTCCACGAAATGCTCCGCACCTGGACCTCCAACTGGGTCAAGTGACTACCAAACACAGGACTAAATGACACACAAATGCGATTACACACAGAGAACACACCCTAAACGAAGCGCACGCCCACGCACTCGGATTCCGATTGGGATTCGGTTTTGGTTTCGGTTTCGAATTCGAAGTTTTGATTCGGTTTAAAGAGGACTCTGTTAACTGCTGAGATAACCCCTCTGTTAACTATCGACTTTGGTTGCCTTTTTTGGTGCAAAGCGCTGCTTTTGACCATTTCAGGCCAGTCATCGGATTGGCAATGAAAATGTGTTTCATTCAATAACCACTTTTGGCCAGGCATGCAGGATTTTATGCAAGCTTTGAAATCTTGCACATTTTGCAGCGGAGAAAGCTTCAAACTCAAGGCGGAAAATGAGAAAACTCTCTGAGAGTTGCGCAGACATTACTTTGATTTTTGGTATACCCTTGCTGCGGGTATTTCAGCTCTTATCAGTGAACAAAACATTACCAAGCCTATAGTTTTATTGATAATGGGAAGGCCTCTTCTTATAATCAAATTATTCAACTTGAATTATCTATTTATCGACATTTTGTATGGGAGAGTTTTACAGCTGATTAATTTGAAATTTTCCAAGGAAAATAGTTGATAATGAAAAAATGTCTTAGAATTACTTGCTTCACCTTAAAATATAGCCATTGATTAAGATTTTTATTTTCAATCCCCTATATCGAGAGTTATTTTAATCTACATAAATTTGAAAAAAATTCACGATTACATATTCCAGGTGCAAGGGTATAAAAACTTCGACTATCTTAAGATTTATCTTTCATTATTGCGTGTTTTTGTTTTAAGCCTTGGTTGCAATGAGTTTATTGCACTGGCAATAGTTGTTTTTGCCTATAAGTAGCTTTAAACAAATGTCTGGCAATTAGAGTGGGAAATGCATTAGTGTCGTATCTTAAAGAGGAAGAGGGGCTTACGAGTGAAGTAAACCGAGATTCAACTTTCGCCTGGCGATACTAGTTCTTGTAGTTGTTTTTGCGGCAGATGCGTTTGTTGCGTGCAAAAATAAAAACAGAAAAAGGAAAAAAAAACTAGAAATCAAGAAGATTAAATGTCTGCAGCTGAAGAACCGTTATTTAAACCGCCTAAGTATGTGTGAGCGAGCTCGAATTACAAGTAAATGGAAAATGGTAAAAGGAAAACTTAAACCGCCGCCTTATAAGGCCTGGCATTTATTTATTCACCGGAATCAAATAACTCTGGTAATCTCACTTCTCTATTTTCGACCGCCATTCGCTGATAGCGTATTTTGGCCAACTTTTTTTGAGTCATCCGCATGCCAACACAAACAAATGGGTTCGGTCTTGCGTAAACTTTATATTTTATATATATTTTTTCCCGTGTATGAGTCAGCAAAAACAAAAACAAAAAATGGCCGAAACAGCTGAGTAGTTATTTCTTGTCGAGGGGGTTAACAAACCAGGGGGTTAATTTGCATACACTTGCTGGCAATTAATTAGTGGTGGTGGTGGTATACAAATTTTGGAATCGGATATGAAATCATCGTTAAAAATACATCACATAGAATTTAATTTTACAAACAAAATGAATCACACAAAAATAGCCATCGCACAGCTGTCTCTTGTCTCTTCTTTGCTCTCCTTTTTATTTATTTGTTGTACATGAATAAACACCCACGGCCTGCAAGCACACACACACACATGCACAGGGGTTAAACCTTCCCCTCCCCCTGAGAATTCAGTAGACAATTGGGCCGGCGAATTAGAAAAATGGCTTACAACAAACAAAGCCCCGCTTAATTAAACGCTGTGCGACAGAGAAAGCGAATAGCTGGCGTTACTCACCTTTGTTTTTGCTGTTGAATTGGCAATAAATTGCAGTTTTTACTTTTATAGAACCGACGAGAAGGGAAGACGAATTCACAAACCGGCAAAGGCGAAAATAATAGCAAACTTGGCGTGGCTTTCGGTGTGACCAGAGCAGGGTTGACTTAAAATATCAATGGATTTAACCACTGCTGTCCGTTTAGCTTTTTTCCGTAAAATCTGGCTTTTTTTAAAGCTAATTGCTAAAAAATGCAGTCTTAGTTAAAAAAATATTGAACAAATTGAATTGAATTGAAATCTTACAACTATTCTGGTGTCAAGAACACATCTGCAGAGCTGTATAGTCTATGGCTATTTAATATGGCATTGATATTTAAAAGTTGTTCTTGTAGTTTTCAGTAAAACTGTTCTATACATTAAACATACAATATGTTTAAAATATTAAGTTTCTAAAGTTAAGTTTTAAAAATCCAAATAGTAACGAATAGCCCATCAAAATGAGCGAACAATGAGCTAACTAAGATATTGCTTCAATCGCCGCCTGGTCACACTCTAGAACACGTACTTCATTATTCTGGGAGAGCGCATCGGTTAAAACTTGGATAACACGATGACCCCGCGCCCCAAGTGACTGAGTAGGTAGCCAAGTGACCCTGGATAACCGTGGGTACGTCGCCGGCTCTCTAGTAAACCCCTAATCCCCAAGATCCGCACTCCATTTGCAGGTTATGTTCGCTTGTGTACACTGCGAAGGGGATTCGAAGAAGCAACAGGAGCGGATTCCGAGTGGAAGAGTAAACCCGCTGGTCGACAAACCGGCCCTGGACCCACCAACATGATCGAGGTGCTGTGCTTGCTGCTGGGCAGGATTCTGCTGCTGCTGATCGGCGGCTACGAGCTGATTTGGCGGCTCCGAGAGCGACTGAATGCACTGGTGGTCAGGCTGTCATATGACCTGTGGCGCAGCGCAGCGGCACGTGAGCTGCACGAACGGCGCGTGCTCACCGATTGCCGCTCCCAGTTGACCAAGACGCCGCAGCATCTGGTCCTGGTCATCTCACCCACGGACGCCGGCGTGGATGCAGTGCTCCTGCGGAGGATCTTTGACTTTGCCCTGGATGTGGGCATCAAGCATGTCAGCTTGTATGACAGGCGGACAAAAGACAAGGGCTATGTGGATTTAGCTGATATTTGTCGGTCGAGCAGCGAGGAACAAGGTGGCTCCTTTAAGTGGCCACCGACTTCGAGTCCCAGCAAAGCAGAGAATCCGCCCAAGAACGGAGAAAAGACAAATGGTTATGTGAACGGGGCAAACGGCTCACATTCCACCCAACTGCAGGTAAGTGGCGGGAACTGATAAGCGGGCTGAAGGTTTGGATTCAGGGAACGAAGTTCGCTGTGTTCTTTATGTAGCTTTACAATTCCTATCTACATTTCTCAAAATTGTTCAAAACAAAATTTAGAACAAATTTGGGTTTTCTATACTTCTTCTTTTTAGATTAATAATATAAATTTACTACACTGTCTTTCTAGTTTTACATTATAGAACGTGTAGATATGTGAATTAAAAGATAATGCACTTATTTATACAAGGTATTTAAGTCAAACTCCTTGAATGATTTTATCCAAAATAAAACCAAGTAAATATTTACAAACTTAAAAAGATAAGGCCAATTTCATTTAGTTATAAATCAAACCACAATACATTCCATTACCATTACCGAATGGTTTCTTTCCTGAACAGTAAAATCAACAAACGCTTAGCAAGGGTATCTCAAGCGATTCCCGGAACTAATCGTTCTCTTATCATTTATTGATTGAGTTTTTTGACTTCTTCGTCTTGCAGCTATATCAAATCAGCGCCGCCGACGGCCATGCCCTAATCGCCGATGTCTGCCGAGAGCTGTACGAAGGCAGGGAGACGCCAGTGGTGCAAAATCTACTCAAGCAAAAGCGCGAGGCGCTCACGGAGCAGATCAGCGACATGCTGAACAAGCGACTCGGATTCGTGGCCCCGGAACCGGAGTTGGGCATCGTGTTCGCCCGGCAGACCTGCACCTACGGCCTGCTGCCCTGGCATGTGCGCTTCACCGAGTTCCACACTCATCCCAGTGGACGCCACTTCAACGTGGAGACGTTCGCCAACATCCTGTCCAAGTACTCGAGATGCGAACAACGATGGGGCACGTAGACGCCCGGTTTTGAGTGGGAAACGAAACCCTTATATTAACTAGTTACCTTAACTATATGTAAATTATCGCCAGGAATTCCTCTAGCTCGTAAGAATAAAACCGCAAAAGTGTATTGTTCGTAATGAAGTGTATTCGGGGCAGGGTTTAAGGTTTTCAGACCGATTTGCATAAATATCTACAGTTGCGATTAAGTCAATAACACTATTTTGAAGTATTACTACATTGTTATTGTTATGTTTAAGAGATTTTATTTGGATATCTTGGTAAATATTGAGTTTTCCATACCTAATCCAATTTGTATTGATCTAAAAATGCTATTTACTTAAGCGCAACTAAATGTTTATTTATTAAGTGGGCCGACTTATACGCTATGGTTAGGAGTATTGTATTTTGTCAATTCTTGGATAAATCTCATGTTCCCATCTATTCCCTTTCAGGTTCAGCATGGCGCTTGGACAGCAGATTGACATCGGTCTGATACTTGTTCTTATCGGTGTTATGGGGACCGGGACCCGTAGGCATCCGCTCATGGATGTCATGGAAGGAGTTGCGAAGATCCTCGAGGGACTCGGCCAAGCCCCTCTTAATATTGGCGAACTCGCTGGACATCAGGGACAGCTTGCCCAGGAGGAAGTTGAGGTTCTCGTCCATGGCGATCATGTGCTTCTTGGTCTCCTCCACCCGGCTGCCCAGTCCCATCATAGTGGCTAGAGTGCCGTTGATGTATCCATCGGATGCGGACTGCATCATCGCAAGCATATCCCTGCTCTGACTGATCTCGCCGGCCATGATCTCAATGCGGTGCCACACCTGGTTCAGCTCCGTCTCCAGCAGTCCACTCATGTTCTTGTTCGCCTCCTGTTGGGTATTCACCACCGTTCCGTTCAGCGATGAGAAGCGCTCCTTCAGCAGTTCGCTCAGCTTGCCCACCTCCTCCTCCAATAACTTGCCCACCCGCTGCACCACATTCAGCGTTCCGAACTCGACCTTGCGCTGTGTGTCCAGCACCACCTCGGAGTTGGTCATGATGATGTTGTTAAACCTGCCCAGAGCCTCCAATCCGTCGTTCAGCTTGGCACTGCTCTCATTGGCCGAGGCGAAGTATTTGTTGAGGATGCCCACGTCCGTGGAGAGCTGACGAACATCCGCCTGGATGTTCGCCTCCGTCTGCTGCAGTCGCTCCGTGGTCTGCGTCAAGGCTGCGATAATTAAAAGGTTGATTTTAAATTAATTATAAATTGGTAAAAAATTTGATCAGCGTTAAATCTATAAATTTGAATGCAGTTTTTTTGAGAATCAAAGCACAAGTCTTTAGAGGTATGCCACTTTAAAATCGGTTTGAATTTGATAAAGTTATGGACCCTGGAAGTCCAATTATGGGTCACCTATTTTACAAGACATCGGAAACTTACAAATAACTAACATGAAAATGGGTCAAAAATTTGATCAGCGTTAAATCGAAAAATTTAAATGCAGTTTTTTTGAGAATCAAATCACAAGTCTTTAGAGGTATGTCACTTTGAAATCGGTTTGAATTTGATAAAGTTATGCACTCTGGCAGTCCAATTGTGGGTTCATTTTTGTACCCACCTGATTTTTGTACGGCGGAGGACTCGGTCTTTAGCTGCGCCAAAGCGTTGAGGGTGTCGTTATTCAGCTCCTGGATGTAGGCCCGATCCTTTTCGGTGAGGCCGACTGGAGCAGCAGGACGTTGGACAGTTTCACTCAACTCGGACACCTGTCCGCCCAGCGAAGTCAGACGCCCCAGGAGTTGGGCCTCGAATTCATTGTTCTTGGGCGGAGCGGCGGTGGTTACACTGGCGGAGTGCTCCTGCAGTTTGGCCTCGATCTGGGACAGCAATTCCGGTCCCTTGGGCAGCTTCTCCAAATTCTGTTGGGTCTGGACAGCTGCCTTCTGGCTGCTTTCTATCAGCAAGGCCACGCTGGCAGTAAGGTCCTGAATCTGCTTTTGCAAATTGGCATTGGACCGCCTTTGCTCCTCCAGGAACTCCTTAGGGATGGAAGGTGCGGGGGAGCGGGCGGAGGAGCAACCAGGTTGGCACTGACCGGCGGTCTCTTGAAGCACTCGTCGTTCTCCCTCATCCACTTGAACATGTGCTCCGTGGCCTGGTTGAAGCGGTCCGACTGCCCATTGTACTTCTCCTCTTGCTGAAGATCAGATGGCCGATATGGAATGTTAAAGGTTCACATATAAGATGATATATTCCAGATGAATAATGTTATATTTTTATAATTTTCTACCATTGGCTTATAGCCAACTTAACATTTGTATTTACAAATAGTTTATAAAGCCATATTTAAAAGATAGTTATCATAGGGATCTAAAACTAGATATTTTGAGGCAGTTTGAACCCATATTGATAACGTTTGGTAATGTTTTAAAAACCATTTGAAGATTTGTTTTAAAGGAGTTAATTTCAGGTCAGTGAGATGGCCTTGGTTTCTATTTTTACACTTTTCTATCTCTTTTCTATTTTATAGTAGTGGGGGAAACTGAAATAACTTAAATTAATAGTACATAATCCCTGACTCACCGTAATCAACATGGTCTCTATTTGGCTGACCCTTTCGTCCAGTCTTCCGAATATGCCATTAATTGGCTCCAGGCTCTTTTGTCCCTTTTGCAGGGATTGCAGGGCCTTCTTCAGCAATTCGCCCAAGGCCCGTTCCCGATGCTCGTGTCGCTCCAACTTGTTGTCCAGTTGGTTGTAGGAGTAGATCAGCGACTGGATGGTTCCGCGCAGCTCCTCGTTGCTAGAAAGAGTGGGGGGACAAGGGGATTGCTTAAAATTAGCCCCGCTTTAGGCCATTAATCATCGGAGTGGGGGTGGCGATGCAGAGTGGATGGGACCACCACCAACCCGCAGTCATGTGCATGTGCATCTATAAATATTGAGGGGCGCGATCGTGGATATGGATAAGTGGTGAGTGCCTGATGGCCGGGATCTCAGGGTCAGAAACCCTGTTCCTCGATTCTAAAAGCTATGTGCCTGTGTGAAACGCATTGATGCTGATGGATAGAGCATAGATATAGAACACATGCTACTCCATCCCCAGTCAGTGAGAAGTGGGCACTAAAAACATATTCGTCCCATCCAAAGTCCGAAAATAAACAAACAAATAAGCGGAGCAGGGAAAACATCTTGGTTTCCCTTTGAAGACATTAGTCATTAGTGGTTGTGCATGGGATGCATTCATTCCATCTCCCAGGCGCCGACAACTCCTCTTGGTTTTGAAGTCTTTCAGAGTGGAGGAAACATACCATATAGGATGGCATAGGAACCAATACGGAGTGCGAACGAATGTGTGACATGTGTCAGAACCATTAAAAGGGAGAGCTAGAAATGGTAGTTCCTTTGAATCCACCAGATTGGGAATGGGGATTCCTAAGATTGAGCATCCAATTACCGCCCCTTGCATGAGATATGATCGCATAGTAATTGTTTTCAAGAGAGCTCTCTCATTCTAAGTGTCGTAATTGGGCTCTTAAAACTGGGAATTCATAATGGTTTACGAGTTTTTATCTTTTATTATCACTTTAAATTGAAGTTTTTCTAACAAAATTGAACCAATTATAAAGAAAAATAAATTTTTGGTTTGAAAGTCAATTGTTTTGGGTTATATTTTCTTTGACTTTAAGAACAAAGGCCTTTTAAATCTTTAACTTAATAGTTAAAGGGACACGCAGAGTTTACATTTGGTTGGAATTAGATTAAAAGAGATTTGTGGGACACCCCTAAATAAAATTAATTTCGAATAGCTACTAACGGCTAAATTTTAAATATAAATTTCCACCATATTGATATAATATTGTTTTACTAACTGAAAATATTGCTAAACTCTAAACTTTTACATGCCTAAAGGAAGGTTATCGCTCCTAATTGTGGTCCTAAATCGATCGGTCTTATTACTTACGAGACTGGCACTGCAGCAATCGTCTGCCATTGAGCGATTGCAATTAGAGCTATGAAGACCAATTGAAGAGTCCGACTTCTTCCTCCCATGGTTTATGGTTTATAGTGCGTTTCGCCTTTGGAGGTCTGATCTGATCCGATCTTTAATTGAAATGCTGCTCTATGCAAATCCGCGGAACGATCCACTGCGTGACCTGGGGAAAAATCGAACGGATACTGAATTATTGGCTATGGAAAAGTAAAATATAAATTGCAATTGCGTGGGCTTTGACTTAAATATTTCCTTACGAGTTACATCAGGAAATGTTTATCGCAAATAACTGTGGCATAAACAAATATAGCAAATTTATGTGCAATATTTATGGGGGCTGCAAACAAATAATAAAGACTTGCTGGTGATTTGCAGCTGAAACAACTGCAAACAAAGCGAATTGGTTCCTTGTCCATTGTGCGGATATATATGTATATATAGAGCGCCATATAATCGGCGATATTGTTCTTGCGGCGATAAACAAATGACGCAAAAATATCCACTGGACTGCATGTGCCAGATTCTCCTTCAAAAGGGAGGAGGAAATGATGCATTGGGGAAATTGGGTCAGAAATTAACGAGCGTTGAAAAAGCCACCGTTAATGAGTACAAAATTGAAAATGTCTCAAGATAGGTTCTGTCTATCATGTATTCATGTTGATAAGAACTCTGGCTTGGATTAAAGGTTGACAAATAATATATATTAATTAATACCTAGTATGTTGCGTGTTTTCAATATTTAATAATATTCTGTGGACTAGAATAATTAACCAAAATACTCACTCTTGTATGTGGGTATTTGCCTAAAACGACGTCGAGAATTACTTAAAAGGGTTGCACTTGGATCAGTTTAATTTCTAATCGGAGCACTAAAATTGGACCTCCTCACAGCTCGAGTTGAGTACTCTGAATGATGCTGGACTGCCGACTATTCCGGAGTAGCAGTGGATCCGTATTCCTCCCCGATATTGGTTCTCTCTGCTCTCCGCTTTTCTCAACTGCAAGAGCGCGAGACAATTCAGATGTTTCGAATAGAATGTAAATGTAAAGCGGGAAGCTAATCAAAATTCAATTTATTCTAATACAAAACCATTGAGTACAATTCAAACAAATGACATGGGTTATGCTCTTTATATGCTTTTGCGGCAAAATCAAGACAATTAAAATCCAGCATACAAAATCGATGGATGGGGATGCCTATGAGCTCAAAAATAATTTAATTCTGATGGCGCCAAATTGAGAGTTAAAGTATTGCCCAAACAATTTAATATATGAGATTCCAATTAATAAGTCAATAATATTTCTACAAATTATTTACTCTTCATTTTTGTGAAATCAATATAGAATATGAATTAATATTCATAAATGGTTAATTAGATTGTTAATAAAAATATATGCATTTTTTGATATTTTTGTTAATTTAAATAAGACAACTCAGGAATCATATAGCAAAGGTAACAATTACACTTTTGCGTAGATTTTAAACGAATTTTATTAAATTTCTTTTTTGAATTCCTAATTGGCGCCAATTCATGGACAACAAACATTCACAAGGAATATGATGGGTGATTTCCGTTTGAATGGCATTTCAGCTGGAGCGAAAGAAGAAGATGCATAAACAACCAAATTTGCCGGAAACATTAATAATTTGTATTTATTAAAAAAGATGCCCACCTTAATAGCGCTGGATGCATCGCTATCGATGCTTCGTCCTGTTCCAGGACGAAATGAGCACACCTACCAATCGCTGGCCATTAAGGGGATTCAGCATCTGCTGGACAATCTCACGGCAGCCGGAAAACTGGAGCACCTTGCTCTGCTTTCCTACACAACTACGTCGGAGCTCAAAGTGGACTTCACTCGGGACTACGACCAGATCCGGCAGGCGGTCAAGAAAGTGGAGCCGGTGGACAAGGCCTGTCTGATGAGCATGCTCAAGGCTGTGGTGTCCATAATGTCGCCATGGGGCAACCAAAACATCCTCCAAGTGGTGGTCTTTACGGACTGTGGTCTCGGCTTCGGCCATACCTCCATCACTGGCTTCCTGGAAGCCTATTCCGGCAAGGATACAGAGCCGGAGTTTAGTTTTCTAAAGACCCTAGCCAACTACAATCTTAACTTCATTTGTTTGGGCCTGCATGGCGATCACTATTTCACCAGGGGATTGGCGGTGTACCAGCAGCTTCTGGACAAGGTTTCACTAAAGGGTAACGTGTTAAATTAATGGATATGCCAATTCCTAATCATTTAATTCCCCTTCCAGGACAGCTATTCATGACTAAGCCTACGAAAACCCCAGAGACAGTGGAAGGTAATCCCAATCCCAACCCGAATCCAAGCCACAAAAGCGAACTAGGACGTACTACGGTCTTCGAGCTGATTGAGCGTCTGTGTGAGACGAGCTATAAGTCCTCTGAGGTGACCCTAAAGTGTGGCAGCTATTTCCGCATGGAAGCACCTGTTTTGCTATGGCCACCCACAGCACCTTATGAGCAAAAATCGCCGGTGTTTGGCCGAGAGCCCACCATCCGCCACATAGATCAGAGGATTGAGGTGTGTGGTTTCCTAGCCCTCTCTGATATTGGTTCGCCGGCAACTTGGAGTCGTCATTGGGTGCTTCCAAAAGTAGAGCGGGAAAAGAGTGCCGGGAGCCGAAGGTCTGGCAGTTTGCCGGCAGCCGCCAAGCCACCGAAACTCAATCTGGACATCAGCAATCCCAACTATGAGCTGGAAAAGCTGGAAACCGATATCAGAGACTTTTACGCCAAGGACCCAAAAGACACCGAGGAGAGTGGCGATGACGATGTAACCATTGTTCTAAAACCCGGCCCGCAAACGGAACAACAGAAGGAAAACCTTTGCGTCCTTCTTCATGGTGCCCTAAAAATGGAGAACATGGCCGCTTTGGTAAAAGTGGGCGACAAGTGGTATGGATTCATATATGCGTTCACCGATGGCAAAAAGAAGTCAAATCTGATGTTGAACATACTGCCACCTGGCACAAATGTTATACCTTGGGTTGGAGATTTGGAACTGCTAGGATTCCCCGAGGATCTGGCACCGGGAGAGACAGCCAGTTTTCCGGTGCGTGCCGATCGGAGATCCTATTCCCAGAGCAGTGTTGTGTGGATTCGGCAGGCAAGCCTTCAGTCAGATGTCCAGAAAGTTTTGCGACATGCCAAGAAGATGCCGGATAAGACGCAGCATTTCTACAAGGAGCTCAATCGAATTCGACGGGCTGCTTTGGCCCTGGGATTTGTGGAGTTGCTGGAGGCCTTGGCCATGCTACTCGAGAAGGAGTGCGCACATCTCAGTCTGAATGGTGCCAGCAACGAGTGCACGTTGCAGTTGCAACATGCGGCAACGGAACTACGAAAGACCTCGAATAGAGATATTAAGTCCACGATTATACCACTGCAGAAAGTGGGGGCTTCCGATGCTAGTAGCACAGCTGCCACCGCTCCTGCTCCTCCATATATGTACTAAAATATATATTGTGTCTTTTATGTAAGAGTTGATGGATTTATTTTTGGATCTGATATTGGTATCTGCAGTTTAACGAAAGGATGTTTTCAATTTCCTTTTATTCTTATTTCAAATAGATAGATACTTTAGAATACTTTCTGACATAAAAAAACCATTTTAAAAGTATGGCATTTGTCTTTATAATGATAAATAATAGCATTATAAAGAATGTTAAAAAATAATTTAAGTTTTGAAATAGGGCACTTCTGACAATAAATTTTCAAATTGGAATATAACGGTATTCTTGCGTTGTTACAAGCACTACATATTTTTTAATTTTACAGCACTTGTTGTGTTGCCTATCGTTATCGATGACAAAACTTTATTATTATTTTGAGCAAAATGGGAAGTCCGGAATTACCTACAGATCCTGGCCAAGAGGTATTTCCAACGCCAGCGGTGGATCATCCGCGAAATGGCGTGGAGAGCGAGGATGACGATGATTCAGATGCCTACGATGGGTACCAACCACTTGCATTGGATGATGATGATGGAATGGACACTGAGGATAATCCCCCAGAACCGGAGGCTCCATCTGCGGATAACGACGAGGACATTGATTTGATGACAGCTCCAGTCACTCATGGTGATCCTAACATGCCGTCAATCGAGCCAGCGGACGTGGAAATTGAGCGTCAAGTGTGGAGTGAGCCAAGACCAAGGGAACTTCAAATAGATCTGGATAAAACGCGAACAGAACAGGTACCCATAGTTTAACTAATAATTACTAAGATACTCTACTAATCCCCATCCTTCCACTCCAGATCCTTAAAGCCATGTCCACAATAACATTGCCCAACATCACGGTTCCAGATTGGGCCAAAGGAGTGCCCGAAGAACGCTGGAAACATGAACTCCTAGACCGGATAAGCAACCGTCAACATGGACCAGAACCTTCCTCGTCCGCGGAGAATCCACAGCATTCCAAGTCCAAAAAAGATTAGCGTGTATACTGTGTATTTAGAAAAAACGTTCTCCAATATATGTTTAATTTAGAATGATCATAAGTGAACGAGGCTGGCAGCGATCCTAAAACGCAGCCAGCAGGGCCTGACCCACCAAGTTCACCTTGTTGAAGTTCTCGCTCTGCGGAGTGTTGGTCAGTTCCCGCAACTTGTCCATCACATAGTCCACAGATACAACCTGGGCGATGGTCTCCTGGCCGCAGGAAGTGGTGGTCAGGTTGCCGATGGCCTGCATGGAACGGTAGCAGGCCTCCAGATCCTTCGCCCACTTGAGCAGCTCCACCACTCCGGAGGTGACCACATGACAGACCTCCGACTTGGCCACGTTCACAGTCTGGGCGATAGTAAGGTTTAAATAGAACGTGGCCACTGCAATTTGCAGGTTGGCACTGCCCGTCTTGATGACTCCCACTAGCTCGATGATCTCCGGCAGATGGGACTCCACCTGCTGCCGTCCGGTGGTGTGGCTCAAGCTATTGGCCAGGCAGCGAACTACCATGAGCTGATTGGCTGCCGATCCAGTCAATTGGGGGATCACGATATCCAGGAAGTTGTGGCTATTATTTAGGACACTGAAGATGGGCTCATTCCTCACGGCCAGGCGAAGAATGTCCACCACTGGAAAGAGCATAGCCGCTGGCCACTTCAGCAGGATAATCAGGGCTTCCAGAGAGGTCAGATCCAGCTCGGGTGATTGGTCAGTTAGCTTAATGACAGCCAACAAGACTTCGTCTCCAACTTTGCCTTCGGCAGGAGTCAGTTTACTATTGAACTCCCTGGAAAAAATAAGGTATCAGTGGCTTTTAAAACGAAGATGATCTGTATCCACCCACTTCATTTTTTCCAACACCTTCTTGGCATCACACGTGTCGAAGGTGCGGTAGCTGCTAACCGGAAAGTGCTTGTCACCGGCTCGCACAAAGTTCACATCCACCTGCGACTGGGCATTGCTTGCTGTTGTGGAGTAGCTAGAGGCACCCGTGAAGGGATCCACATTGCCACCACTTCTCACATTGGTGTTGCTCGAGCCAGGAACATAGCGGGAGCCTCCAGTAAAAGGATCCTGATAGCCAGTGGGTGCTTGATCCACCACCACAGACGCACTCTGCGAGTTCTTCACAATAAAGTTGGCAACCTGGTCGAGGTAGGCCTGTGGAAGGTTATTGCGATGGATAAATGTCTGGGCCGCCTGCCAGGGGTCCTCGCCCCGGTTGTAAGGCAGCTTGATTGGTGGCTCCGTGTCGGAGATGTCCACGTTGAACACAAAGTCGTACTCCTTGCCCTCATGCAGTTTTTTGCCAGAGCTCGCCTGTGTGCCTCCAGATGCTCCTGTCACATCGCCGACAAGATTCCAGTTACCCAACTCCCAACTATAGCACTTGACGGAACCATCGGGATGTCGCACCATCTTCGTTTGCCCCTCGCGAGTTCCGTTGGACAAGAGGGCCTCGGGACCAGGAAGACTGTAAAAGAATGTTGTTTAGAGGAAGAAAAATAAATTTTCCTATAAAGCTCACTCAGTTTTCTTCACCCCACCGATCTCCTCGTTCATCTGAGATTTTCTGGTGGCCACAGCCAAATCGAAGGCTCTTTGAATTCCTTCGCTCGCCTGCCGAGCAGGAACCTGGCTGAATACCCTGACCACACCATCGCTGCAGCCGGTGACTATGTCACCGTTCTTCAAGCAGGCCACAGACCACACCGAAATGGCGGGATGTAGGATGGGTTCGCCCAGTTCATCGCCAGTGATCACATTCCACATGCGGAGCGTGCTGTCCTCGCCGCAGGAGACCACCACTTGATCGCCCAGAGCTTGATTTCGGTCCATAGAATATATGTAGTTGGTGTGCCCGCTCAACTGGCGGACGCACTCGCCATCCTCGTTCCAGAAGCGGAGTACTGCATCATTGCCGCACGAGAGCAGAGTGTTGGCCTCCAGGCCGATGAGACCCCTCACGCAATCCGTGTGTCCCTTAAGCAGGCGCAGCTTTTCGCCCTTGGCGTTCCAGTAGTAGATGTTCTTGTCAGCTCCACCGGTCACATATTTCTGCTGGTCCTTCAGCGTAGCCACTGCCCAAACGGCCGCCTTGTGTCCTTCCAGCGTAATAAAGGTCACGTCGCCCGCCTCGCTGATGGACCACACCCGTGCGGTCTTGTCCCAACTCCCGCTGATCAGGCTCCGTGGCGCCAATCCTTCCGAGAGCGTACACACCGTTGACCCGTGACCCTTGAGGGAAAGCAAAGGCACAAACCCGTCCTGCTTGTAAATGCAAATGGTGGCATCGTTGCTGGCCGTGCAGATCCACTGCTCTGGCTCCAAGTAGTAGATGTAGGATATGAAGTTCTTGTGATCCTGCAGGGTCAGGCTCTCCAAGTACTCGTTTCTGGCGGGGAGTAACAACGGACAGGTATTAAGGATGGGGATTAGGAAAGATTACCACTGCTCTTCTCACCCAGTGGGCCGCCAGAGCTTTGTGCTCTTGTCCCTCGAACCGGACAGAATAGTCTGCCCACCTTCCGGAGCAGCGCCACCCACTGCCACCGCACGCACGTCCATGCTGTGACCCAGGAGCTCACAGCTCAGCTTGTAGTTGTCCAACGATGGCTCCATATCTGGCCTAATGTCCTGATTATCCTAGTTTCCAAATTCCGCTTAAAAAGTTTTACTTTGTTCGCCGGCTGTCAGCGACTTTGCCATTCACTGCGAAAAAATCTGCACACTCAGATAACGGTGAGACTATCGCATTCGGTTCAAGGTCAATAAACCGAGTCCGATAGTTTCGCAAACTATAATTTTGAGATTTAAAAAACAAGTTAATAATTCTTAAAATTACTATATTTAAGTCATATCGTAATACCTTATTGTGCAGAGCAAAATATTTTTTGTAGCAATGTAGCTTGTGAAAAACATAACAGGTACATCCGTAATACTGAATTTCTTCGAAATTTTACTTGTTTTTGCTATATGATGGATAATTTAAATACTTAAACAACCAAATAAGAATAAAATTTGCAAGCAAAAGATACCCAATTTTTTTAAACTTCTATATTTAAAAAATATCGATATTTACCCATTCTGCCGAAACAGGCTTGAATCCTGTCTTCCATCTCTATGCTAAAAAGTATTGTTTTGAGTTGTTTATATTTTTAGCAATGGGCGGAAAAAGTTACTTTTGTGATTACTGTTGTTGTTTTATGAAAAACGATTTAAATGTGCGAAAACTGCACAATGATGGCATCTCCCACACAATTGCAAAAACAAATTATATGCGGCGTTATGATGGTAAGGATTTACCATTTTCAATAACTAAATAAATAATTTAAAATTCGAAAATCTTTAGATCCCAAAAAGATATTGACCGAAGAGCGGCGAAAAATACCTTGTAATCGTTACTTAGCTGGCTACTGTAAATTCGATCTGTTTTGCAAGTACTGTCATTATAGTGAAAAGGAGTTAAAGGAACTGGAAAAAATAGGTATGAGATTTAATGTTGTCTTTGAAGAAATAAGATTTTAATGATATAACCTTTAGTTCTGACAAAAAAGAAGTCACGCTCCCGAAAGAGAGGTAAATCTAATCAATGGCCCTGGAAAACTCATTCGCAGACAGGATTACCTCCTTCTTTACAGAACATAAATTTAGCCAAGCTCAGAGAAACTAATTTTGAGCTAAACTGGGGTTAATTAGTCATTAGATGTATTTACAATTAACACAATTTTCATTAATTATTCAATATGGTAGCCACCTTTTCCATAACTCGGGCCACTTTCAGGTTAATTCGTAATGTGCGAGCGTATTCGTAATGAAACGATTTCGGGGAATGCCTGCTTAAGTTCTCCTCATCGGGATCGGCAAGATGTGCTAGCAGGAAATAGCAAAGGTGTTCTGTAATAAGATAAGATAAAATAAATATTTGTTTCTATGGAACTGTTCAAACATTAATGCTGATTCAGTCGAACTGTTCCAGCTCGAAGTTCGGCAATGAATCATTATTCAATCTTACGAAATTGTATAAAATGAAAAGAAATGGTGTATTATAAACCTACCTTGCTCTCCTTCGACGGCATAAAAAAGGGGCGGATTGCCGCCCTTAACGTCGGAGGCGTTGATCACATCTAGTTTATGTCGGCGGTTCTTCAACTTCGGTTTACTTAGCTCCAGTCTTTCGCAGGCACGATCATAGTACTTTCCGAATGCCTTCTCGTCCCTTTCGTTCGCATTTGGAGCCTCCATGGTCCTTCTGTACACTGCATCTCCCAAATCCCGCTCGTCTATAATATCCATAATTGCTTCTGCAACCAGAAACTGATTGTTACGCACTGCCAGGTGCAAAACCGTGTAACCATCATCGTTGGTCAGCAGTAGAAGATTCAAGTCGATGCGACGCATCAGTAGCCTAAAGGACTCAATATTTATATTGTTTATAACCGCTAGGTGGAGAACTGTGTTTGAGTTCTCATAGAGCTGATCGGTCAGGCAACCAGCCCTTAAAATCATCGACATAATCTCCGAACCCGTGTCGTTCTCCAAGGCAAGTTGCAGGCAATCCTCGCCATCGGAGGTTAGTAGCTCATTGATGTCCATGTTGGCGTGACTGCACACAAACATCTGACGCTTCACCCCGTGAACATCACCGTGCAGTATTTCATCGTGAATGGGCCTAAAATAAACACATATGTAATAATAAGATGATGTCATTTGGAGTCTTCAATGATGTAATTGATGTTTAATGTCTGTTTTCAATTACTCACAGCAATCCTTCTTCGGACATTATATGAGCCTTTTTAAATTCAAGAGCCATTATGCGTAGAATCCGATCTTTACTGGAGCCGTTAATATAATCTTCCACATAGCCATCCACTCGGTTGAGCATATCCATGTTGAAAGATATTTCAGACTCGTTCGATTGGCGACGCTGAGGAGTCGCTTTTGTAAAGCTAAATTCCCCTGAATTTGCGGTGTCCTGTACAAATTATAATTATAATAAATGTCAGAGTAATCTTAGTCAGATAAGGTCGTTGAACATGCTGGGGAAAGTTTCATAATTCTGACGAATTTTTTTTATAGAAACAGCAGAGTAATTTATTATCAAGTTTCACTTCCTTTTAGGGGAGAAAAATCGAGTCATGGACTTGTAATATTTCTAGGAAGAACATATATTTCATTACAAACAACTGTTTATAAGAGGTTTTAAATTACTGGTTTTTGGTGAATTTAATACCAATCATATTGGACTTACCACAACCTCCTGTTTTTTCTTCTTGGTGACCACGGGCGTCAGTTGCTTTTCCTCTCGCTCCTGGAGCGCCATTTCAGCTGCCGATCTCTTGACCACCTTTGGCACACATGTGTTTCGCTTTCTCCCCCGCTTTTTAGGAACTTTTCCAGTTGGTATAGGTGTTTCGGGTCCAGTGGAAGTTGGACTGGCCATGTGGCTATTTGTAGATTGATTGATTGATTCTAATAATTCATTCTTTATGGCTGGCTTTTCCTGGGATTTTATAGTCCTAGGATCGGGTTCAGTTTCCGTCTGCGTAGAAGCATTAACTTTTTGGGCCCCACAAGAACATTGTTTACCTTGATGGGAGATAGCGGCCTTATCACTACTATTACGCCCATTAATCGCGTCGATCACCCGTTGGGTGAGAGCTTTATCAGGAATGCGCATGAGTAATTTGAAAATATCCTCGTAAACAGGCTGGAAGGACTTCCTCTGATTGTACGTGGTGGTCCCCAGTTGGGCAGGCATTGAAATAACACGAACTGGAGCTGGTTGCTTGGACGGCAGAAGATCCGATCCGACTGCGACGACTGGCTGGATGAGCTGGGATTTCGTTAATAGCACTTTCTTCATCGTGACTGTCTTGCAATAAACTACTCGGGTGTACACAATCTCCCTGCGATAAGATGTAAGTACTTGTGCTCGATATTCGGGGGAAGTCTATCTTTACACAGATCCTAAATAAATTAAGTTGGTTTTTCCCCAAGACACGCTGCACGGAATGGCACTCAGTGGTGGCACTTGTGCCCTTTCCAACACTCTTATCGAGATGGACAATAGTCAGCTAACTAATCGAACTTTTCTACGATGTTTTTGCCTTTAATTTTTAACGGTTAATTGTGTATATAATAAGAGCGCAAATTATTTTACCTGTCCAAATAATGACTGCTCAATTTGTTTGGCGAAATGAAACAAATTCACTCGATCCCTAACGCATCTCTTCTGAAACTTTAAAAATTTGATTTAAAGTAATGTTATTATTGTCACATGTTCTAATTAATTAAAAAAACATTTTAAATCAGCTTCACGACTATATTTGATGAATTTATTATTTTATTTGCATACATTTAAAAACATTTAGTATTGTCTCATCTTAAGATTCTCTGAGCTTATCGATATGTCGCTCGCAGTGAATGGCAAAACAGGGACCAAAGTGTTCTTGAGAAAAAAAAATATACGGTCTGTTATAAGGTCGCCGGGATAAAAGAGCAAAATTAGTTAATAATAGAGAAAAAAGAGAGCTCTTAGTTAGGAGCTCTCGTTCAACTATACCCCGGCAAAAGGATAAACCAATCAAAGTCGGTCATGGACTCGCGTAATCGGCGCAGTTTCTCTGGAGGCAGTGGAAATGAGGGGGGTCGGGGCAACAATTTCTACAGATCCAGGCCGGGTTCTCGATACAGCCGATCCCGGTCGCGCTCACGGTATAAATCACTTCCCAATCAATATTAAGCTATATGTAAGCTATATTAATAAATAAAAACCAATTCCAGTGAGCGTAATCGCGGTTTTGGAGGCTTCAGGCATCGCAGTTCTCGTTCTCGGAGTCGCGATCGTTCCCCCACGTTCAGAAACGATCATCGTGGTGGTCGAGGAGGAGGAGGCGGAGCGGGTGGTGACCCCGATTTGTACCACAATCTGATTAACGATGACTACAGGGAGGAACAGCGCAACTACAACCCCCGGAATAACTTTGATAGTCGCCAGTTCCGTAGAGAAGATAGCTTCGATCGTCGGAATCGGGATAAAGATGGTGGTGATAGTGACCGCGAGCTGAATGACTATGAGTATGAACAGCGCTGCCGGGACCTCGATTCCCGGGAGCGTAACTCCTTGGAAAGGGGCGACAGGTACCAAGACAGGGGTCCAAGCAGGGAGCAGAATAGACCCTGGAACAGGAACTTGAGCCACGACGACCGAGGCAGAAGCAACGAAAGCAACACGTGAGTTAAAGAAATAAAATGAAGATAAACATATTAAATTTTCTACTTACACTTTAAGTTCAACCTATGAAGTTTTGCTTAAAACTATAATAACGTGTTTAATTAATGAATGTATCTGTATTATAGACGCTCCAGAGAACACCGTTTTCAGAACGGCGGCGGAAACAATATGCCCAGAGAAAGAGAACGGGATTGGGAACAAGATCGTGATCGTAATCGGGAGCGTGATCGGGAAAGAAGAGGTTCATCGGATTATGACAGTGACGAGGGTCATATGAGGAGGAACAAATACCGAGGCACCACCGAAGCCCTCAACATAATCATTATCTTCGGTCTCACCAAGGAAATGACTAGGGCAGATGTGGGTTGAAAATGAATCTGAAATACATCTGCTAATTACTCATGTACCTTTTCCAGATCATGAGCGAGCTGATTAAGGTGAACATGGAGCCAGCCTGCATTCGCATAATCCGGAAACATGGCACAGGTGGGTTACGAAATCATTGACTTTGCACTTACAGCATAGAAGTGAGTAAGTCCAAAAAGTATGTGCGACTATGCAAATAATGGAGACGAATGTACCAAAACGAATTTAACCGGCCATATAAGAAACGAAAAGAATACAATTTCCCACAAAAATGTTACAAACCTATCGAAACATTCAACATTTTTTGACGAAAACATTTTGTATCTGCTTCTATCCGAATATTTAGATTCATCACGCGGTATAGCGTTTGTCGAGTTTAACACCGTTGAGGAGGCGAAGCAATGGATGGATATTACACAGGTATCAGCGCAATCAACCAGAAACCCTTTGAACCTTTCAACATCAGCAAATAAGGTTCTTCTTTGTGCAATGATAACAAAATGTGTTTCTCTGTTCAATGACCTTATCCCAACCAAAAGTTAGCTTGTTATTGCACAATCTGAATTTCTCATAATCCTAGAAACATGGAAACTGAACGCGAAACTAATTTTTTATTGTTATTGCCCAAGGAAGCGCTGTGAGGAGATCGCCAGCAGTTAAAACTTCGCGTTACGAAACACAGAAGCAACTGGTGACTGTGTAGAGTGTGAAAGAGGGAATCCTTTCGATGGGTTACTAATCCTGAACCTTTCTTTTTCCTATTTCCATGTCTGGCGCTCCAGGGCGTACTGAAGTTGAACGATCAGCGGGTGACCATGCAGTATAGTCACAAGCGGATACAGGATTGGAATTGCAACAAGGTGGGTGGATTGAATAAATCAATTTTGATGTGTTGATTACTATGTTTCGTGCCTTCCAGTGTGGCGTTTGCAACTTCAAGTTTAGATTCTATTGCTTCGTTTGCAAAACATCCCGGGAAGATAGCGAAACCACCTTCTCCTCCGGCAGCGAGGGCGTGGACGAAGTCAGCAGCATTCTCACCAAAAGTATACAAACTACATATACTCACTTGCCATCTCGTTTTGTAGCGTCGAACGCATTGAAAATGAACACACCACTGACAGCCACGATTTCTCTACCACTTCCCCATTCCATGCAGAGATCATGCTGCGCAACCTGGACGCCCTGACCAACGAGGAGGGTGTTCTCACTGCCCTCCAGGAGCACCTGCCGGAATTGAGCAAGACGGTCAGCAAGGTGCTGATCAGTCGGGACACCTTAACTCAGGCATCGCGAGGCATCTGTTACCTTCACTTTGACACCCTCGTCGACTCCATGAATGTGCACAACGCCTTGACATCGCTGGATCCTCCACTTACTCTGGATGACCGACCCGGTAACTGGCCCTTGTGTACTCCTAAAATCTTGTGCATAACTCTCCTCTTCCTTTCAGTTGCCGTTACCTATTGCAATGACTTGGAGGATCGGCAAGCGAAGCCCAAAGACTCGAAAGCAACAGCAGTGAAAGCCAACGAACCAGGCGGTCAAAGTGGGGACATTGCAGCGGTGCCACCCTCAGGATTGGGTGGAAACTACACCCTGGCCGATGTGCCGCGCCTTGCTGAATACAGTGCCTCTTTGTATGCTTCGAATCCCGCGGAGCATGCCCACTACGTCCAGTACTACACAGATTATTACACGACGGATATTAGCAAGAAGAACAGTGATCCTCAGGTGACGGAGGCCAACTCCGGAGCAGCGGTGGCCCTCTCGGCCATTCAGCGCAAGCAGAAGAAGATGAACAGCATCGAGACCACAATCACGGCAGCGGCCACAGCGGCCGCACAGGCAGCGGCGGAAGTGAAGGCCACATTGGCTGCCCAGGGCGTTACTGCGCCCAGGGGCAATGATGGGAAGACCTACCGTAAGTGCAACCACACATATGTTCTGAAGTACTGGATCTATTTCCATTTATCCTTGCAGCCACTCCCGATGTGACCCAGTACCAGTACGATGAGACCTCTGGCTACTATTACGACCGCACCACGGGCCTCTACTACGATGCCCACTCGCAGTACTACTACAACAACGAGACGGGTGCGTATCTCTACTGGGATCAGCGAAGGAGCACGTACGTGCTGGCCACGCCCGCTTCCACTCAAGCGGCCCTCAAGGAAGTGCTCGCTGAGGCCGAGCAGAAAGAGGATGATGCCAAGAAGGTCAAGGAAAAGGACAAGGACAAGGAGGGCGGCAACAAGCACGACAAAGTGAAGGTGGCCAAGAAGATTGTCAAGGACATGGAGAAGTGGGCCAAGCAGCTGAACCAGAAAAAGGACTACACGGCAGTGGCCACGCCGCAACCAATATTGGCAACCGACGGCCCCAGCTCTTCACGAGGCAATCAAGGAGGATATGCTGATGTGGGATTCTCCATTCTCGAAAAGAAGGAGCGGGGCAAGCTGAACGACTATGTGCCTCCTTCGGGTCCTGGTCCGATGAACAAGCTTGTAAATGCCTATGGTGGAGCCTCGGACTCTGAAGAGGAAAGTGCATCCACATCGCAGAACGCGCAGAGTTTTTCGGAATCAGGAAGTGTATCTGGAGGTGGTGGCGCCGAGGAATCGGATTATGTGGACTTCCAGAAGCTAACTTGCCTGCTCTGCAAGCGAGCCTTCCAATCGCTGGACATCTTACAAAAGCACTTGAAGATGTCCACCCTGCACAAAGAGAATCTGGCTAAGCTTAATCAAAATTCTGGAAGAAACAGCATTGATGAGGCACTATCGTAAGTGTTTTGTTGTTCAAGTGGTGTAAATTTAATTCATTTAATTATAATCCCTCAGTTACCGTGACCGAGCCAAGGAGCGCAGGCTAAAATACGGCGAGAGCGATCCTCCTCCGCCAAATCGAAGCCGGGAGCGATTCGAGCAGGAAATCAAGACGTTACAGACGCGACAGAAGGAGTCCTCTGGGGCGACTCCAGCCATGCCTATCAGTTCGAGTAATGTGGGCAGTCGCCTGTTGCAAAAGATGGGCTGGTCGGAGGGCCAGGGATTGGGCAGGAAGAACCAGGGCCGGACTCAGATCATAGAGGTAAGCAGCAGAGATTTTAACCATAAAAATTATCATATTAACTGACATAATTCGTATTCCAGGCAGAGGGTCGCACCAACAATGTGGGCTTGGGCAACAAATCGGGACACATGATTCCGGGCAACGACTACAAATCGTACATCAAGAAGATGATGAAGCAGCGTTATGAAAACGCTTGAGGTTAGGCTATGCCTAAAATCATTTACAACTTAAAGCCGATTTTATATGTCCCATTTAAACTAAAAGGGGCCGTTAAATTTTAATACTTAAGCTGCAAAGCACAAAAAGCTAATTGAAATAATATGGTTAAACATGAAATTTATTACCCATTTTCTGTTGCGAATTTAAACTAAGTAAAAACTTATTTCTCATTTGACACTGCGCAGCTTACTTTAAAATTAATAGGGAAATGTGAAACCGGCATTCTAGATAATACATTTATAGTTTGAGTTATGATTAAGCCAATTTCTTACGCTAATTGTACACAAATAAATTTAAATAACGTTTAAAAGTTTAAATATTTTTGTATTGGAAAACAGCTGATTGCGGGCGCTTTACAGCACTGGCATTCAAATAGTTATCGATTACTAATAGTCGGTATTTCTGGGTGAACGGCAAAGGAGGCCGAGATTTTTCTATTCGTGTTTTTTTGTGGCCGGGGAACTCTATTGTTTTTCTGTTTAAATGAACAGAGACCACCAGACTGGAAACTCGTTTGACCAGAATTCACATCCTAATCCTGTTAAAAACGTGGTAAACAAGTAAGATGTGTAAATTAACGCGGCTCAACTAAATGGCAAAAGGCGAAAAATGCAGGCAAACTGAATATAATTACCATCGATTCGCATTAGATACGCGTAGAATGGATTCCCGATACGGTCGCAGTTTTTCGGGAGGCAATGGAAATGGCAACGATTCGGGCTACAGACGGTACACTCGCTCCCGTTCCAGGTAAGGTACACACATATACCACTTGGGATAATGCTAATAGACCACTAATATTCCAGGGAGCGCAGTCGGGATCGTAATGACTACAGACGCCGCAATTCCCGTTCCCGAAGTCGCGAGAGATCCTCGCATTATAGACACGATCGCAGTACAGACCGTGATCTCTACCGGGATCTGATTAATGATGATTACGAGGATCAGGGAAGCTATAACTCGCGGCATAACTTCGATCACCGTCAACATCGTAGCGAAGACAACTATGATCGGCGGGATCAGGATAATCACGGTCGCCGCGATCACGATAACTATAATAACCATGATCGTCATGATCAGAATAACTATGATAAGCGCAGTCGGGATAAATACGATAATGAACGCGATCACCGCTGGAAGGATTACGATCGTGAGTCGAAGGAGCGCAACTATGATGAGTTTGATAAAGGATCAGAACGCAGCAGGTGAGCGAGTATATATGTTTGTAGTATATTAGTTAGTGATATTTACTCCAATATCTTGATCACAAATCCAAATACGCACTTCTAGACATAGTTACAGGTCGTGTCGTACTTATTCCTCTTGAACTTACATGTCGTTTTCCTTGTTATCTCGACGGTGGCCTAAAAACCACACTTCTTAAGGGTAGAGTAAAAACTTAAACCACAAAATGTATATATATACGTATTTATTTTTTCAAGATACAGCCTTTTTTTTAAAATACCTAATTTCTGATATGTATACTGTTAACTAAACGGTACGATTTAAAAATGGAATTTCATTTTCAACCGTTTTCTTCACTTATAACAAATAGTCCTCAATAAATCAAAACCTTATATAAACATTTACATATTGCCCGACTGTGTTGTACATAGAACTTCGCATGAATGCATACAAATTTCCAAATGAATCATTCATGCTCAGTTTAATGAGTTAAATATAGTGTATACATTATTTAAGTGAATAACAAATGTTATTTCAATTGATTGCTTACGCAATAAATGTAAGAAATGCAAATAGAATTCCATAATTAACAAAATAATTCTATAGAACAAGTTTAACAAATCCATTTACGTTGCAGTCGCAGTGGTGACCATCGGCAGTATAATAATAATAATAATGGCAATGGCTCGACCAACACTAATAGGGATCGTGAGCGCGACAGACAGTATTCCTCGGATGAGGACAGCGACATGGCCAATGAATTTAAACAGCGCGGCGGTCATTACAGTGGCAGCACCGTCGAGCCGCTTAACAATATTATCCTCTTTGGTCTGAAGAAGCACGTCACGGAAGCAGACGTAATATTTTATATATAAGCAATGCAAATATGGAAATAACATGGCAATTTCCCACAGATTATGGGGGAGCTGATCAAAGCCGACATGGAACCCAGTTCCATTCGCGTGATGAGGAAACAGCCAACAGGTGGGTTGCATTTTCGTGTATGATATTCGATTTAAAGTAAAAAAAAAACACAGCGTGAGTATTGAGTGCCCAGCTAAATGTTCGGAAAAGGATTTATTATAAATTAAATTATACTTGGCTTACGACATCTGCAACAAAATTCCACAAAAACTATATATATAGATAAAAACAAACTGAAACCAAAATACAATCCCCAAAAATGTTACAATGCTATTAAAACAACCAACAACATTTTTTGACAAAAACATTTTCGTATCTGCTTCTATCTAAAATTTAGGTGCCTCACGCTGTTTTGCATTTGTCGAGTTTAAAACCGTTGAGGAGGCGAGACATTGGATGGATTTAAATCAGGTATCACAACAAACAACAAGAAACTTGAATCTTCTTGAATCAGCCAAAAGAGAAATGACGGCAAAACATGGCATCATCTTTACAGAAGGCCTTGAGTTCAGTTCCTCCAAGGCTCTTCTTTCTCGTTCGTTTTATATCAGTATATCGTGGTCCTTTAGTCTAAATTTCTTTGGGCCGTGTAGGAGGAACCGAACTCAAAGCCGGACTTTCTCACACAAAGGATAACCATCTGCATCGGCGACATCTGCGCGTTGCCCAAAACACAGAAGCAACATGGTGACTGTGTAGTCTGTGAAAGTTATGATTAGTTTTTAAGCGATTGCAGTTTCTGATCCGTATTTTCCGTCTTCTCTTCCCTTTCTTTCTAAAGGGGATGCTCCAGCTGGGCGACCATCGTGTGTCCATGCAGTATAGCCACACTCGCATCTCCGATTGGACCTGTGTTAAGGTGAGTTTCCATGAAATATAGACCAATAAGCGATTCCTAAAATGTGTTTTATCCTCTAGTGTGGTGCCAGCAACTTCAAGCGCCGCTTTCAGTGCTTCATGTGCAGCTCCTCGCGGACGGAGAGTGAGAATGCTCTGTCAGGAGCCGGCGAAGGGATCGACGAGATCAGCCGGATCCTCACAAAAAGTATATCCACCAATGAGCAATATCTTTCAATGCCGTTCTCTCCAGCTAATCAGCTTAATTCCCCACTAACCCGCACCACGCTTTCCCAATGCAGAGATCATGCTTCGCGGCCTGGACGCGCTGACAAACGAGGAGGGCGTGCTCACTGCCCTCCAGAAGCACCTGCCCGAGCTGGCCAAAACAGTCAGCAAAGTGCTGGTCAGTCGCGATGCCCTAACCCAGGCATCTCGGGGAATTTGTTACCTTAACTTTGACACTCTCATCGATTCGATGAACGTATTCAACGGGTTGACGGCGTTGGACCCGCCACTAACACTGGACGAGAAGACTGGTAATTGCCCGCTTTCCACGTTGCAAGTCCAATGTATCTATAATATTAACAATTTCCTTCCATTTCAGTTATCGTTACCTACTGCATAGATTCCGAAAATCTTCAAGTGGGCAAAACCGATTTAAATCCATCTAAATCCAGCGGAGGCGCGATGCCACCCTCCGGACTGAGTGGAGGCTACTCTCTGGCGGATGTCCCTCGTCTCGCCGAGTACAGTGCCTCCGTGTATGCCTCCAATCCTGTGGAGCACGCCCACTACGTCCAGTACTATACGGATTATTATACGACTGAACTAAGCAAGAACAGCGGGGATCCTCATGTGACGGAGGCCAATTCTGGAGCAGCTGTGGCCATGTCAGCCATGATGCGCAAGCAGAGGAAGGTTGGTCAGATGGAGACCACGACTACTGTGGCCGAGGCGAAGGCCGCCTTCCTTGCCAGAGGAGCAAGTGCTCCCAGGGGAAATGATGGAAAGAAATACGGTAAGTAGTCGCATAATAACCTATATTAGTACTTGATATGATGTATCTTACATTTTTAATTTATCTAGCTACTCCCGATGTGTCGAAGTACCAGTATGATGAGACTTCCGGCTACTATTATGACCACATTACGGGCCTCTACTACGATGCACACTCGCAGTACTACTACAACAACGAGACGGGTGCGTATCTCTACTGGGATCAGCGGAGGAGCACGTACGTCCTGGCCACGCCTGCTTCCACTCAGGCAGCCCTTCAGGAAGTTCTAGCTGAGGCTGAGAAGAAGGAGGAGGAGGCCAAAAAGGCCAAGGAGAAGGAGAAGGAAAAAGAAGAAGGCAACAAGCCCGACAAAGTAAAGGTGGCCAAGAAGATTGTCAAGGACATGGAGAAGTGGGCCAAGCACTTGAACCAGAGGAAGGACTACACGGCGGTGGCCACACCGCAGCCCATTCTGTCGGGGAATGAAGCCCCAAGCACCTCACGTGGACCTCAAGGAGCCTACGCTGATGTGGGATTCTCGATTCTCGAGAAAAAAGAGCGAGGAAAGCTCAACGACTATGTACCACAGGCAGGGCCACCCGCCATAAACAAACTGGTCAACGCCTATGGAGGAGCTTCGGACTCCGAAGAGGACAATGCTGGTTCCTCCCAGAACTTGCAGAAGACGGCGGAACCAAGTGGTTCTGGTAGAGGCATTGCCGATGAATCGGAATACGTGGACTTGCAGAAGCTTACCTGCCTGCTTTGCAAGCGTGCCTTCCAATCGCTGGACATTTTGCAGAAGCACTTGAAGATGTCCAATCTGCACAAGGAGAATCTGGCCAAGCTTAACCAAAATTCTAAAGGAAACAGCATTGACGAGGCACTATCGTAAGTGCAATTGGGTTATTAAAGATGGTGTATAGTGAATTGATTAATTATATTTCCTTAGTTATCGTGACCGTGCCAAGGAGCGCAGGCTAAAATACGGCGAGAGCGATCCACCTCCACCGAATCGCAGCAGGGAGCGATTCGAGCACGAGATAAAGACTCTGCAAGCGCGGCAGAAGGATTCCTCTGGGAGTGCACCAGCCCTGCCCATCAGTTCGAGCAACGTGGGCAGTCGTCTGATGCAGAAGATGGGCTGGTCGGAGGGCCAGGGGTTGGGCAGGAAGAACCAGGGACGCACCCAGATCATAGAGGTGAAAGAAATACTTTAAACTGAATATTCCTAATTTAATAATTTCTTTTTATCAGGCTGATGGTCGTACCAACAACGTGGGACTGGGCAGCAAGGCTGGAAACTTGCCACCTGGTAACGACTACAAATCGTACATCAAGAAGATGATGAAGCAGCGCTATGAGAACGCTTGAGACTTCGTTTAGATATGTATGACTTAATTCCGCTTAAACATAGAAGCATTTAGGCATTGTTTACCTCAGTACACATCCACCACATTACTGCGCTCATTTAGCATTACTTTCGAAGTTAACATGTAAATAGGACGTAAATAATAAAATGTCTCAAATTAGATTTGATCTGTAATTATATAGCAACCATAAGATAAGATTTTAAATCTCGTCCATGTAGCCGTGCTCGTAGGCGTGTCGCACTATTTTGAAGATCTCCAGGTTCGCCTCATCACCTGCAATGTCCAAGGACAACTGGTGGAAGGCAGCACCGTGCATGTCCGTATCAAACAGTCGGGACAACTCGGCGCAATCCGTTTCACTACCCAAAAGCCAGGGCAAGAAGTGCATGCAGACCATTGCGCCGTAGAAAGCATAGCGCTTAAAGTGCGCCTCAAAATGATCAAAGCTGTATTCCTTTAGCAGCTGATCCACCCGATCCTCGGTCAACTCATCCTGGTTGCGCCGCAGCACCAACTCCAGCATCTCAATCATTTTTGAATGGTATTTGCGCAACAGATCGGCATAGATCTCCTCCCTTCCTTCGGATGCAGTGGTCATGTACATGAAGAAACTAAGATCGATGGCCGTGGTACTGAAACGCAGCTCCTGGAAATCTATGGCTTTGATGCCATCTACCTTGTCATCGGCTCCGTAGTGGAAGAGCACATTGTTCCGATTGTAATCTCCATGCAGGAATGTCGCAAAGTGGCTTTCCGGTTGGTCCTCCGCATAGGATGCGGTGCGAATCCACTCCAGCAATTGTGTAGGCCGCTTGAAGTACTTTTCGCGGAGACGTTCGATGGCGGCGCCAAATCCCGCATCTGAATCCTTGAGGAGCTGCTCCTTTTGCCGGTCGTAGAACTCGTAGAACCTATCGAAGGCTACGCGATAGAGGACATCAAAGATGGCCTTTCCAGAATCGGAAACAAAGGGCATGTCCACCACGCCGGCGCGTAAACGGGCATGAACATTCGGCTGGAGGATTCGAGTGGCATAGCCAAGAGCATGGAATGGTCCAATCAGACCCACCATGGCCTCGAGTTGATCCCGACGAAGGGTTAGTCTTGGACCCAACTGGAAGCCATCGCCCTTGAGGTGCTTTAGAGCTAGTACGGATTCACGACCGTTGCTAAGATCTAGAAGGATTTTCAGATATGGCTGATTAAGCCGTTTCATAGCCACTAACCATTTAATGACCCACCTTCAACTTGACCAAACTTGGCGAAATAGCAGCGGGGAACCCAGTTCCCCACCACATCGCTGACCAGGTGACTTGTCCTCAGGAGACTTTCATAGGCGGGCAGGATCTCGGCATAGGCGAAGATCTCGTTGGCAAACTGGATGTACGAGTTGCTGCTCTCCCGGAACGCCTCCGTGCCCTTCATGAACTTGACCAGGACCACCTCCGTTTGCTTGCGATCCGCAATCTTCAGATCCAGCTGGACAGTGTACAAGGCGGACATGAAGCCATCTAGACCATTGGAGCACTCCACTTTGTGGGATTCCAGCGAAGCACCAGCTCCAAAGTCCTTAAAAATATCGAACACCAGGTGGCGTTCGATAAAGTTTAATTGCTCCTGCTGCGTTGACATTTTCACCTTCTCTGATAATAATCCTAGTAATCTATACTTGTAATCAAGATACACGTAAGCCCGCCCTCCAAAAGTTTCCGGACAAATAATAACCTAGTTAGTATCGATAGCTCCGATTCACCAATTTGGTATATTCCCGATTATAACCAAGTGGTCACACAGAATTGTGATTAAAAACGTGCACCGGCTTTTTCCGCGTAAACATTACATATAATTTAGAATAATTCATTAATTAATGAGTCCCAGCAAGATTCCTCCGCTGACCTACAAGGTCGTGGCGGAGTGCTCCGTCTCCAAAGCCAGGGCAGGATTGATGACCCTAAGGTGAGTGTTGCCATAAGATATACCCTTGAGAACTCTGACTAACCCATATGATTTATCTATATAACAGGCACAGTGAAGTGAACACTCCAGTTTTCATGCCTGTTGGAACTCAGGGAACCTTGAAGGGCATCCTGCCTGACCAACTCATCGAGCTGAACTGCCAAATCCTGCTGGGAAATACCTACCATCTGGGCTTGCGACCAGGAATTGAGACTCTCAAGAAAGCTGGCGGTCTCCACAAGTTTATGGGCTGGCCAAGGGCTATCCTGACCGACTCCGGTGGCTTTCAGATGGTTTCCCTGCTGCAGCTGGCCGAGATCGATGAGCATGGAGTGAATTTCCGCTCGCCCTTCGACAACAGCCAGTGTATGTTGACCCCAGAGCATTCAATTCAAATACAAAATGCCATCGGGGCGGATATAATGATGCAGTTGGATGACGTGGTCAAGACGACGACCATAGGTCCCCGGGTGGAGGAAGCCATGGAGAGGACTATTCGCTGGGTGGATCGCTGCATCGAGGCACATGCTCGAGATGATGATCAGTCGCTGTTTCCCATTGTCCAAGGAGGATTGGATGTGCCGCTGCGACAACGTTGCGTATCCGCCCTGATGGAGCGTCAAGTTCGAGGATTTGCCGTCGGAGGATTGAGTGGTGGCGAGAGTAAACACGACTTCTGGCGAATGGTAGACGTGTGCACCGGCTATCTGCCCAGGGACAAGCCCCGCTACCTGATGGGCGTGGGATTTGCGGCGGATTTGGTGGTCTGTGTGGCCCTTGGGATCGATATGTTCGATTGTGTCTTCCCCACTCGCACAGCTAGATTTGGTTGTGCCTTGGTGGGCAGTGGACAACTGAACCTCAAGCAGCCAAAGTACAAACTGGACATGGAACCCATCGACAAGGATTGCGAGTGCAGCACCTGCAAGCGATATACTCGATCGTATCTGCACCACATTGCCACCAATGAGAGTGTCTCCTGCTCGTTGTTGAGCATCCACAATGTGGCCTATCAGTTGCGATTGATGAGGAGCATGCGTGAGGCCATTCAGCGGGATGAGTTCCCGCAATTCGTCAGGGATTTCATGGCCAGCCACTTCCAATCCGACCCCATTCCGGCTTGGATACGGGAAGCTCTGGCGGCTGTGAATATTCAACTGCCGGCGGATCCGGAGAAGAATGATGAACAGGAACAGAAGCCAAAGACAGAGAAGCGCCAGGAGACCGAGGATCTGGATAAGGAGCAGGTGGCCACCAGCTAATACAATAATGCAAAAAAACCTAAGCTTGACTATACACAGTTTTGATACCCTTAAAGAGGCATTCGTATTTAGTTACTAATGGTTTAATAATACCCTTAATACCCTTAAATACCTTGAAGACATTTTATATTCATGAACGAAATCATGTACATATTTAGTATAAGAAAAACACAACATAAAATTAAGGACAACAATTTATAAGATACATTTGTACTTATATAACTTAAGAATTATAGAGTGTATCTATATTTATTGGAAATAAACTCTATAAATTTTATTTTTTAAGTTCAAGGGGCTAAATAAACTAATTTACTACTATCTACAAAAATATATGGAAAAGTATTTTTTTAATAATTTAAGCTCGATAATTATAGGTGGCTATAATAATTTAGATTATTTAGGTATTTTCGGTCATAAAAAATATCGAAAACTCGTTATATATTCACTTGTTAAAGTTTAAGCTATATAAATTTATGTTTGGGGATTTAAGTTGTGGGACAAATTTTGTTATTTTTATTATGGCAACAAAACCTTCCCTAGTAGTCAGCTATACCCCAATTCAGGGTATAAGAATACTGGTTTTTGTCTCTGCTTTGCCCACGTTTTCGCTTTTACCTATGGGAAAAAGCTCTATCCGCCAGTATGCGTCATAGCGCAAATCGGTGGCGATCGTGAATCTCGAGTGGAACGGCCGACCAGACCAATTCATTGCCCGTTTTCGATTTTGTACTTTATTTTCGCCTTTTTCCTCGGCTTCTTTCTTGATCGCACGTAGAGTACATGTGTGGTAAATAAGAAAAATAAATAAAAAACCTCTCACTTTTAATTCGAATCTCTCGCGAGCTCTCTTTTCCGCTGAGGGATAACTTTTTGTTGGACTCTCTGTGGAACGCTGCGATCTGAGATCTCACAGAGAGCGCGAGAGAGAGAACGGGAGCACAAGATTGGGGCAAGTGGTGGTGGATCCAGTCGGTGGTGTTGGATCGTTCAGTGAGTCCCCAAGTGTTGTCGCATCCACTTTATCGCGTTGTTCGCGGATTCTTTCGCCGTGGTCGGTACTTTACTAACGGTATTGCTGCACGCATCTGGCGGCAAATTGGCAAATTGGAAAATTGGCAGCGAGAAGCCCGCGCTAATAATAAATATTTTTGAAAGTCGCAAAATCGGAGGATCGCAAATCCATATCAAGCATACGCCCCATTCACCCCGTCAATTGTAAGGAGTCCCCCAAATTTATTGGTTTGCAATGACAATTAATCACGGACTTGCAGTGCGTGAGTGTGTGACTGCTGGATTGACTCTGAGTGTGTGCGTGTGTGTGTGATTTTACCTCGTATGGCTTGCCAAATGTGGTAAAAGCGAAATAACAAAAAAAAATATATAAAAATATACATGCACCCAAATAATCGTGCCTTGTAATCGTGCTTTTTATGGCTCTGTCGCCTTTGTTTATGCCCAGGATTTCGTTAGAGTGTCAAAAAGAACAAGAACCCTTATATAAAGTATACGCCAAGTATATCTGCAAAGTCCAAAAGTGATTTTTCCGCTCGTTTTATTATTTATATTTTTGTATTTGCCATCGTTTTTGGCTTTGGCCTGTGTGTTTTTGAATTTTCATGGTTTCATTTCTTTAAATAAGTTTTATTTTTAGCATTTTTAGTTATTTTTGTGTATATGTTTTTTTTTTGTTCTCACCATTTTCGCTGCTGCCCAGTTCGCCTGATTATTTTTCGAAATGTTCATGCCGATTCTTTGGAATATTCATGGGCTTTCTACTCTGTGTACACACAATGTGTGAAAAGATTTGTGTTTGAAATTCGGTAAAGTTAAAGGTGCACATGGGGTGGGCCAAAAATAAAGGGAAATTAACGGGAAAGTGGGATAAAACTGCATTTGTTTTTAAGACAATTTACTTTGATTGCAATGAATTCTGTTTTTTTACTCGACCAAAAAATTTACTTTCTTATTTACTGGACGGAATTTTCCGAAGTCTATTCTCAGTGGAAGAGAAATTTGTAAAAAAATGTATATTTATTTTAACTCGTTAATAGACCACAGACCTTTATTAATATACATTAATCCAAGGATAAACACCATAAAGAAGCTCTCTTTATTTCTTGTGGTCATGTCAGCTTTTTATGGCCATTTTTTGAGGGGCTACTATTGCCTCATTTTTCAAACACTCAAATTTTGTTGGCCACAATTCATAAATAAAAAGTAAACACACAAGTCAGACGAATATGATTGAAGGCATATAGCGAAAAAAGATTTTTTCGGCTTTGATTGTTGGCCTCCAAATGCAAAGTCTCAGACAAATGGTCAATAGCACAATAAAGGCGAAAAGCCAAATGGCAACAAATTACCACCAAAGAGTGGTGAAAAAAATGTAAAAAAATAAAAGAAAATTTTAATGATTGCTGCTAATCATAATCACACCAGAATTTGTCAGTTCGTACCGTTAGTAGACTCTGGGCTCTTTGGTTTTGCCTAGTATTTATAAATTATGACACATTCGAGAGCCGAAGAGAAACCGAGAGAGTGGTCTTTATTTTTTCTGGGGAGTGGAGCTATGGGTAATACTCTTTGAACAGCTGCTGGGTGGGCGGCAGACGAAAGGGGGCATGGTCCCAGTATTGTTTTGATGGTCGTTGTGTCGCAAAACATGCAAAATTCGTCATTTTCCCGAGAGTGTTAGAGAAAAATGAAGAAGAGCCGAGGGCAATTAAGCAAAGTAATTATGGGGAAAAGAAAACACAAGGAAATACACTTTCGCGCCTTTGTTTTTGCAATTGATTAATTTAATTCTTCTCTGTCGTGGGCTAAAAAAAGCTTGCTTTAATTATATAAATTAATGAATACTTTTTATATATGCGGAAATTAAAATACAGCCAATTAAAAACGTTTAACAAAGTTCATTTGCGAACGAAACTCCAAATTAAGTATTTCCTGTCTTCAGAATTTCCATTTATTTTTAACATGTTATTCGAATATCAATCTTAATTTTGATTTATCAAAATCACTATGGTGTTGATAAGAAACTTTTTATTTTAATGAAATTAAGCAATCTATATTTTGTTCTAAAACTGCATAATATAAAAAAGCTTGGTAACAAATTTAAAAGTAAATTTGGAACCTATAAAATAAACTAAATGGATTTGCTTCTATCTTAATTATTATGTATTTGCTTTTAACATAATCTGAGTATTTTGCAAACAATTCATTTTAAAGCTTTCCATTTATTCGTTTAATTAAATATCATTTGCAACAACATTTTAATCAATACATCAAACAAAATCAACAACAATTTCCGCACAAACAACATTTGTTCTAACCAGCTGAAACAAGTTTTTCATTTTCACCGTCGCATGCAAATTTCTGTGAGACAAAAATTCAAATCCAAAAATCTTCGTATACAATATGTTCGCTTTAATAGTTATTCTATGCAAATCGATGTTTGCCTTTTTGCATTTGCTTTTGTTACGCTGAAACCAAAATAAACGGAAATGGAATATTTGCGTGCATATTTTGTTGCTTAGAAATCAATGCTCTTAGCAAATTAGTATAAAATTCCTGGATAAACAGAGGGTCAATTTGCAAAGATAAACCATGTCGGAAAGTATTACCCAACCTCATGCAAATCAATGTCAAAATTGCTGAATGCTGATTCATTTATCCAAAACCAACAAAAAATTTCTCCAAAATCGAAAATGTTTGGCTGATGATTGTGTGGGAGATTTCACTGTTCGGCCAAAAGGTAAAGACGCTTAGTCATTGGAACTATTTTTGCAGCAGATATGCGGCTTAGAAACACCCACCCCAAATACTGATAATTTGCCGGAATCTATCCGCCTTTTTTTTTGGTCATCTAATGTTGCTTTGCCTAAACGATTTGCCTTCGATTCTTGTCGTACTCGTTTTTCTCCATTTTTATTTGCGATTTTCGTCGAGTGTGGGTGAATAAACTTCATGGTGCTTGATCAGTTTTTGGCTGGTTTCGAATAGCAAAAAAAAAAACCATTGGGTTGACAATGAATGGGTTTCGTTGTTGACTTTGAAAAAGAGAAATAACAATAAAAGATTTGTGTTCCCCCTTTAAGAGCGAGAGTGAATGGCTGAAGTTGAATGAGAGTCAGGGGATCAAATGTTTTGACAGCCTTGAAACACTAAACATAATAAAATTGACTGGACATTGAACATGGAACGAAATGAGTAATGACACATTAATATTTAATTTTCTAAAAAATTAAAAATTATTTTTAAGCGATGTTTACTTATTTTCTAATATTAGAAAAAGTTTTAAGCAAATTTTAATAGACTTCAAAAAATTATGAGAAAATGTTTGGGAAAAATGACATTCAAAAAATAATTATATGCAGCTTAGCGAAGTAATAGTGAATTTGATTTCACTTTATTTATTTTTTCAATAATCGTGCACCAATTAGCTCTGGTTTAAATATTTGATCTGGGCATCGAGTTAATTTATCCAAGGAGACAAATGTTGACCGTCGCATTAGTAACCGATTTTATCAGCAATTTGAGGCCCCAAGCAATAAATAACAAATGTGAATAGCCCAACATAAATCACACAACAATTTGATATTCGTTTATTATTAAATTTCGTTTCTTTTAATTTCGATTCTCCACCTCTCACTTGGACATGTGAGCATTAGCTGGAAATATTTACGAGCGGAGGCAAAAACGAGACACAAAATGGGAATTAAAGCTGCCGAGTCGAGGCATTAATAAATCAAGTTCAATTCAATTAGTGCAATCCGGGGACAACACAAACAATTTTCATTTCCCCCAACGCTTTGGCCTCTCATAACCTACGACAATTTATAATGTTGCGCCGAAATGGAAAGAAATTCAAATGCAAAAATGACAATGAAAACGTTGAAAAAGCAATACACTAATAATGCCGTATGCGAGTATCCAATAAATTGTTAAACAAATGTTATTCTGTAATCAATAAATGAGTTGCCGCCAGTGTCTGGTGAATAATATATGCGGAAGTCGCCCCACGAACCACCCACTCGGGAACGGGAACCACGGCAAAACATGTTGTAACTGTCAATTGGGCGGGGCCATAAAAATCCTCTTTATATGGCCGGCCATAATTTCGATTTCAGCATGATTTTATTTTCCACCTTAAGCCGGTAATTTTACACGGAAACAATGCATGTACTGCCAATAATTCAATAAAAAACCATAAAAAGAATTATTAAAACGCGTGCGAAAATCTCTGCAATATAAAAATAATCAATTTAATCGGTGGAATGAACAAAACATATAAAACACATAACATAATCGCCTTGCGTAACATATTTCCCATTTTATTTATTTTTTTTTTGCCAGCGCAAATGAGAGAAAAACTTTCTTTGAATGAAAGAAAAATGTTGTCAATGTGTTGAAAAGAAAATTCGGAAAAAATAGAATATCTATATTTTTGCGACCTTGTCCCCGGCTCGCTCAATCTGGCACACATTTGGCACGAATCGATGAACCGATCCGGAATAGATTTCACGATCCGCTGGCAAATTATATGCAAACTGCAGCTGACTAATTTCTGGAATGGAATGGCGCTGATCGCATCAATCGTCTGCTGTCAATAGCCAACGAATCTTGTGCCCCAAAGTGTCTCTCCGAGAATCGAAATTCAAGGCAGACATTTCACATATTTTTTCCCCGTTCAAAATCGTCAACGCAACCAGTCTGTATATATTCTCAACTATATATACGACATGATGTTCCAAGATGAAATCAGTTAAGCCCAAGGCTATAAGCTGTTTTGAGTATGGATTGCCGGTCTGAGTGTTGACATCTTGAATGTTAATGAATTTTCGGGATGCGATCTTGAACTTGAGCAATGACAGACCTTCAGTGCAATTAAAGGTCTTGGCGATGATCGTGTTTACTAGGGATTATAAAAATGTTGAATTGCTATAACAAAACATAAGACTTTCTGAACAATGCGTGAATGAATGGGGAAATAAGATAAATTGTCAAATAATAATTTTTATTTATGTTGGCAGTCTTATAATTCAATGTGTTTGGTAGTTTTTAAAACGATTATTATAACTAAGACCTGTTTATTTTATAACCTATAAAAGGTATTATATATTGTGTTTGAAGAAAGTCAGTTTATTTAATATTTTTTTTTAAATTTCTAAAGTTACCTTTAATCTGATTTCAGTCATTAATTTCCTTCCCGTTTAAAATCTCATTTAAGTGTCTAAGTTTTATTCGATAAATGCTGCTTGATTGTTGTGGTTAACATCACATAATGTTATCAAAGCCCCAACTTGATTAACTTTTCACTATGAAATGTCTGGTGATCTTCTATAGATTGATTGTTTGGGGAAACCGCAGTCAAGCAGGAACAGTTTTATATTACAGACTTGATAGACATGTCAACTAATCAAGTTCTAATGTTCTTCATGCCATCCCGATGGGGGTATTCCAACCCCCAGTGATCTCAGGCTGTCGCCGAAATATTCATAAATGTCATCGTCAATTCTAATTCAAATGGCTCATGTTAAACTCAATTGGACACCCAGATCTTCAGATCTTTCAGAAATGTTAAGGTCAATGCAAATTGGCTCGGGAACAATTTTCATTTATGAATTCAACAAACTTGGCGATGTATATGTAAACAAATTTGAATATTTAAAAGACTTTCCTTGTTTATTGATGTTTGCTTGTCGAATGCTTATGAATATCAAATAAATGGATAAATACATAAAGCGTTAATTGAACTTGCATTTGCGCTAAAGTCTGGCAAATACTTAATTTTTGAGTGTCCATCATTGGATGGACAGGCATAATAAGACAGAAAGGGCGAGAAGTGCGCATAGAAATTTCCAATGTTCCGCAAAAAAATAAAAAATATTGCTAGCCAGCCGAGCTAAATTTAGTGAAAGGCGTGGGCCGTTCAGCATTGAACATGACCAGGGTCTGTGACGCGTCTTAAGATCCCAACCCGACCAACCGAATGGAAATTTCTATACGCGGCCAAATAAATATATACATTTTTTCTGTCTTTTGCAGATCTTAGCTGATAATAGAGCAAGCGAACATTTAAGAGAGAAAACACAAGATGCATGTGCCATTATAAAGATAAAAAGGAAGGATATTATTGGAGCAGTATCATAGCAACTAAGGAGGTCCTTTGTTATATATGGAAAACCGATAACTGATATAATTGTAGGTGCTTGTATTACTGCATTATTCAGATCTCTAATTAAACCTTTTATTTTAATTGCAGATACTAGAGTACAGCCAATTATTGAGAGTTAACTTTTTACCTACATATATAGAACCCGCTCACATACACAGATATAACCTGCAATGGGAAAAGATTACTATAAAACCCTAGGGCTGCCAAAAACTGCCACCGACGAGGAGATAAAAAAGGCCTACAGGAAACTGGCCCTGCGCTATCATCCGGACAAAAACAAAGCCGCCAATGCCGAGGAAAAATTCAAGGAGGTCGCCGAGGCCTACGAGGTCCTTTCAGACAAGAAAAAGCGGGAGACATACGACAAATTCGGCGAGGATGGTCTGAAGAATGGAGGTATGTTTTTAAAAAAGAAATGCTGGTTTATAAATTAAGGAGTAGTATGTTTACATTTCTATAATCAGTATACACCAACTCTCATTTCATAAAATAAATTCTAAGTGATGAAGCTTTAACTAATATTTTAATCAAATATTTTAGGCACTCGGAATGGCGGTCCCTCTAGCAACTCGTTTACATATCAGTTCCATGGAGATCCGCGAGCCACCTTCGCCCAGTTCTTTGGCAACAGCAACCCGTTCGCCTCGTTCTTCGACATGGGCGACAACATATTCGATAAGAACGTCTTCGATCTGGACACGGAACCCGACTTCTTTTCATCGCCCTTCGGAGGCATTGGTTCGCGGCATGGTCTTGGTAGTGCCTTCAGGTTGGTCCATCCCTTTGGAGATTCCCAGTGCTTCCTTGCTAATCTTCCGTAGGCCCTCTTTCAGATCACACTCCTTCAACGTGCATACTCCGTTCAAGAAGGAGCAGAAGCAGGATCCGCCCGTCGAACACGATCTCTACGTGACGCTGGAGGAGATCTACCACGGCTGTGTTAAGAAAATGAAAATCTCCCGACGCGTCGTCCAGGCGGATGGCAGTTCCCGCAAGGAGGACAAGGTCCTGCAGATATCCATTAAGCCCGGCTGGAAGTCCGGCACCAAGGTCACCTTCCAGAAAGAGGGCGATATTGCGCCCGGAAAAATCCCCGCCGACATTGTGTTCATCATCAGGGACAAGCCGCATGCCATGTTCAAACGCGAGGGCAGCGATCTCCGCTACACGGCGAGACTGACGCTCAAGCAGGTGAGTCCTTGATTTTGGATAGGTTTAAATAGTAAGGAATTAGTTGGCTAAATAGCTGTGTTTTAGAAAAATGGTTAGAGAACTCAACAATACATACCTTTCATATGTGGGGTAATTGAAGTACAAATAGTATATATGTATAAACTGATAAACATAAGTAGACCAGATATTGGAGCAAAAATATTTACATATTACATACATCTGTTTCTTAAGGGACTTGTAATAGAAATCACATCAAGTTGATATTTAATAATATTATTTTATGTGGTTTTAAGACAGTTTTGAAGTGAATTCTGCTCCATTATTTTTTCATTTTGTAATCATAAGAAATATTATATATACGAATAGTATTTGAAAAAATGAATATGGAATATCAAAATGTATACCAAGTATCATTTTTTTTTATGTTTAGGAACATAGATATCTTTGGTCTTTAACAGAAAGTCAAATTTTTTACAAATTAGTAAACCATCAATGTAATAATTTTTATTTTTTTTAAGTTTATTACTTGAAACTAAAATGAAAAGCAAACCTTATAATTGAAACTGTTTTCTTCGTAGCTTAGTAGCTAAACGTTCATGCCAGCTTTTAATCAATAGAACTGGGTTAAGTTTTTACTCATAGATAGGTTATCATATACTTGACCCTCTGCAATCAACTAGAGACCTCGCTTCAGAACATTCTTTTCACGATATGATATTCACTCGAGAGACCTGCGGTTGGGTTCTCACAGTATGGCGCCCAATTAGAGGCGCAGCCAGTGCCTAAATAAAATTGTAATGAAATCAGGCAGGCATAATGGTTATGGCAAATTTACCATATACGCGGTGAGCAGCAAAGCACCCCGCCAAATTGGTGAACATGGTCAAGTTTCAATTAACGGAGACAGAGATTGGGATTGTGGCCAGCAATCTGCTCTGTAGCGGCTCCCACAGAGGTGTTAGATTTTTACACAGTCGCCAAAGCGCAAAACTTCGCACAACATTTTTTTCGTTTGTTCACTTAATTCCAATATGGTCAGATCCAAAAAAAAAACAAAAGCAGACAGACAGAAAAAATATCAAATATTTTGAAATACTCAAAACTAACCGACGAACAAACTGAAATGACACGCCACTGAGTTTGCAGTCATGTTAAAATTGTTAATTGCATTAAGTAGATTAAATAGTTGACTTGGCTCCGTCGGAGATTTTTAACATTTTATTGCTTGTTAGTGCGACAAATTTAGTAAATGTTTTTGGGCTTCTCTCTCGGTCCGCAGCCACTTATGGCATAGTTGGCCAAATATTTTTGCTGCCTCTATTTTGAATTTATGAATTCCATTTTGGTTTCGGTTTTGAGCTAAAAGTGTCATGTTGTTCTTTCTATATAGAAATATTTGACACGGTTATTTGGCTCTGAGTGGATAATGGGAATGGGTTTAATTGAAATATTTTTCAGCTTGAAGTGATTATTATGTGTTTGTTATGGCTATAAGTTGATCTGAAGGATTGGCTTTATATCCATCAGATAACAAGCTGTAAAGGTTTCATTAAAAACATATTTCTATAATATACCAAAATTTTATTTTGTTTTTATTTGTTAACTTAACAAAATATATGCAAATATTATTTCGCAGTATAGCTTCGCCAATCTGGTTAATAAAAACCAATAAATCTTGGCTTTTACAATCACAAGCCCATTTCAACGTTCGTAAGATTCTGGTCGAATCAATAAAGCAGCCATAAGGCAATTGGAGCTCCATATATGTTCATCCACATAATTGCCAACAGCGATTTTAATTCTTTTTTCTGTCATAATTTTCTGTTGCTTTTGTTGTCGCTGCAGCAGTAAATTTAATGCCACTCATAAATTACATCATCGTTTACGATAAAATTGAAGTCAATGAGTTTCGAATTAATTTTTTGCTTTACGTTTTTGGTCTTATATTATTTTTATGCATATGGCGGATGATATATAGACTTAGCACGTTTCAGTTTGAATTTTAAATTCTCTTTACTTCACCCCACTGCTTTTGTCTGGCTGTACATATATTTTCGAAATGGAAATCAAGTTTAACAATGGTTTTGTTTTCAAGTGCCTGCGTCAGAATTCTCGCAAATGCAGCAAACTAAAATTGATGAACAATTCAAGGATGTACGAGTGTAACCAGGACCCACTGGTTGTAACTGATGGCCAGACGTTGTTGTCGATGTCTGTCCAATGGCATTGTCATTCGATTTGGTGGCCCAAATGATTTGGTCCTATCTTTTTTTTGTTAGAAAAAAAAAATTGGAAGCTCCATGCAAAACCATTTGGTAGACGAAAACTTCGTTTGCATTTTGATGACAGTTGTCAACTGGGCTGAGCAAAAGAGTTTGGTTGGGGACACACAAAAAAAGAGGCAGAAGAATAATGCTTTATGACATGCGATTGAATGCTGTTGATTTGTTTTTCAGCCAAAAAAGAACTCCCACCTAAACCTTCACTTCTTTCACCGAGAGTAATTGTCTAGAGCAGTTCGGAAAAAATGGAAAAAAGCGAGTATAAAGCGGCAAAATATATAGGGGAATTTATGTTTACTGCCAAGAACTTTCCGTTTAACTGAGCCTGACATTCAGATTTATCATCTAGTCTAAGCTAGTTCCTACCATGATTTTTTCTGCACTAAGAAAAATACAGGTTAATTTCATTTAAAATGGAGTAAAAATTAAAAAACTTTAGCTAGTAGGATTTTAATTCAGAATGTTGTGTGATATATGAGTATAAGTTTATATAAGTTTATCACCAAAAAATATTGTATTTTCAAAACATAGTCTACAGATAGATCGTACTAGATTTTCATATCACATCATTTTTTTCTGACTGTTTAGTTCATAGTTATAGCTTTGAAACTGGTTTCCATATATTTTTTCTAAATTCCTTTTAGGCCTTGTGCCTGATCCAGATAAAGATTCATCGGTGGGAAGTGCTCGCAAAATTTTATCGATGCCCCCATTCACATTTTTATTCCCTTTAGTTTCGGTTCCCTCTGTTTTGCTTTTTTTTATGCCTCGGCTTCCGTAAAAGGTAGCAAAGTATTTAAGCGTTACAGATTTATATATATGTACGCTATGTTTTTTTTGGTGCGACAACATTTTCAACATTTCCATTAAAAAATATTGATGCTGGTTGGTCGTCATCATGGGGACAGGTTGTTATCGTTGTGATTGTTGCTGTTTTCTGGGTCTGTCGTCATCAGTTTATGTTGTCATCGCTTAAAATTCGCCAGTCGGCAAATACTCAATACCCGATCAGCGATATAAAAGTACGCACATATATATTTAAATATTCAAAAGGTGTGCACTTTGATTTTGTCGCAATTTATTTATGTTTGAAGTGATTTCTTGTTGAACTTATAACTTATTTGTATTTTATAGGGTGAGGCCCGGGGCACATTGACAACTATTTAACACATGTCCGGCAAGTTCTTTGGTTACAAATCACTTGTGACAAGTTATGGAAAGGCATATAAAATATTATACCATCCATTGATGGGCATCAAAGGGATTGTCTCAATGGCGGGCTTAGATCAAAAACCTTTTTCATTTCCTTCTCATAAATCACTGTTGAGAAAGGGATTGACATTCCAGTTATTGGTTGGTTGTTTATGGGTTTAGTCGAAAAATTTGAAAAATAAAGGCGTTACCAGTTTGAATTGTCGGAATTCGGCCCCAAAAGGATTACCAAAGATAATCTGTCATTTCTGGGGGTTCTCTAAAAATGATTTCAGATATGTTAACAAGCCATGTCGAAATGGAAATGGTTAAATGAGAAATTGGGACTATAAGTCAGTTATTTTATGCGATTTTTTTTGGAAGATAGATTTTTGCATTTGGAGAATGGTGTCTGTTATATGGATTTCTGATTACGGACTAATTTTAAAAGTTTATTTTGTTATCAATATTGTTTTTCCCTTTAAGACTCCGAATTTCTGTTGAAACACTTCAAAAAGCAATGAGCAAGATTTGTCACTTTTTATACAATTTCATAAAGTGATAAGATAAGTTGTTAGCTTTTAATGAATAAGGCGCAAATATAGTAGAAAACTTATATCTATTTAAGAATTGTATTGAATCGTATCTAACTTATTAAAGCATTTTCCTTTGGCGGCATGATTCAATCAGTAAAAGTTTCAGCCAAGTTCGACAGAAATTAATTGGGTAAGCCACATCAATGTCTGGGGGCGAAAACAAAACCTGATTGATGCCCATCTTTTAGTGGGCCAATTAAACAAGTCGTATGTCAAACGAACGGGCCGAAATAAGTATCAATGGAATTGTCTGGGCCAAGAAAGGGAAAGCAAACAGAAAAGGACATGGAAGCGTGTCAACAACATGTTTAAACACGAATTAGGCAACATAAAAAAGGATTTACAAATGTTATGTTCGATACGAAAGCAAACATGGAACTCGGAAAGAATGGGGAATAAAAGCTCGAAGGAGCTGGAAAAAATCCAGCATTGGGGTTGGGGCATCTAAACAGGATTACCCGGAGAAGATTGATAGATCCCACTCGTCAGTGAAACTCATGTGTTGTGTTTGCTCATTTCGGGTTTGGGTGAAATAGAAAACGAAATTGCGTTATTGTCCGGGGTATTTGCTGACCATTTTGATTGATAAGCCAAGAACTTAAATAAATAAAACGAAAAGTGTATACATAAATTGCATGATTGGCGAGGAAAGCCTTTAACAGATTTTAGAGTACCTAAAAAATACCGAAAAACATTCTCATAAATCTAGAAAAAATATATAAAATGTAATAATATTTTTAATGAAATTTGCAGGCTCTTTGCGGCGTTGTCTTCCAAGTTCCTACCATGTCCGGCGATAAGTTGCGCATCAGCACCATGCAGGAGATCATTAAGCCGAGCACGGTGAAGCGGATCCAGGACTATGGACTGCCATTCCCCAAGGACACCACTCGCAAGGGGGATCTCCTGGTGGCCTTCGACATCCAGTTCCCGGAGAAACTGACTGCCGCCCAGAAGGAGAAGCTCAGGGACACGTTATGAGGGACCAAATCCACCCAGTGACCACGGCTCAGACTCTCACACAGTCCGGCGGAAAACGAAGCGGACTTAGTCATCCAACACAAACACAACGCACTAAAACCAAACCGAATCCATCTTTCAATTCTATGTCCTATTCATCGTCTAACAATGCATCGATATCTTTCTCCATTTTGCTTGTTTTTTGTGTTCAGTGAAACATTTACTCATTTTCTACAGGAACTCCTTCTTAACAATCGGTTTTGCTCATCTGCGCCACGAACACGTTTGCATAATATATATGTTGACCATAGTTATTATATCATTAATTCTTAATTTATTTGTCTAAATTAAAGCTACATTTAATAAAATTACACAAACACACACAGAATACATGTGGAAGAAAAAACAAGCGAATCGTAAAAGTGTTTTATAATTTTTTGAAAGAGTTTTCCTGGGAAAAGAAATATTTTGGTACTTCTTCACCAATCTCTTATAAACTCAAAAACCATTTTAAAAGTTGTTTCCCAATTCATGAAAATATATTTAAAAGAGTACATGTCTACTCCATGCATTATCTGTGGAGTCTGTCCCAAGCCGAGAAAAAACAACGGAAAACAGTGAAAGGAAAAGTGAAATTTTCTTTTGGTAATCGCAAAGCGTTTGGCTAATTAGCTGCCGCTTCCAGTCGGTCGCCCCTTGTTCCCCAAAAAAAAAAACACTCTCATGTCAAACGGAATGCTGCTCGTTAAGTCATTAAAATTGCATGAAGTCAAAACTTTATGGTCTGCAAAGTTTCCGTCAAAGCCGAACTAACCCAAAAAAAGGAGGGAAGTCCTAGGCAAGCCGAAAAAAAATGAAAATGGCATAAAAGAATGGGAGGAAAGTTGGCGGAAGAGGCGAAGTACGAGACGAACATCAAAGCTGGCAAATGGTAATTCGTTTAAAAAGAAAGCCACGACAGACGAGGACATAGACATAGACATAGTCATAGACGCATTTCATTTGCAGACAATAAACAGGCAGCAGCAGCAGCAACAACAACTCGAGGGCAAAGTAAATAAATTAAATTTTGAACAACTCTTTGCATACAAAATAGCGAGCAGGAATGCCTTGGCTTGGCCGAAAAAGATTCAAAAGCTTGCTCAGATTTCAAACACATGCCAGTCGAGGAGCAGGAGCAGGACGAGAAAACAGGAGCAGGAGCAGGACATCAGGACGAGCTCTGTGCAATGGATACGATGGATACGGGACGCAGTCGAGTCGAGTGTTCGATCCGCACGTGCCAGGAACACTCCACAAACCTCTGGCGCTGACTCTGTAACAATTCGTTGCGATTTTCCACTTATTTGCTGGAAAACCAAAAAAAAAGACACAACACTAACAAAAAAATTTTTAAAAATTTGAAACAGAAACTTTTTAATAAACATACATTTTTAGCGAATGTATGTGCTGGTATTTATGGTAAAACAATTGAAAGAATTTGATATCAAAACATTTCAGTAAAATATGTACAATAAATATATAGAAGAAATAAGTCTAATATATAATAACTTTAAAAACTACCTTTATAATAAATATTTATTTTATTTTAAATTGGAATTGAAAACTTGACAACGCTATTATTTAATAAAAGTTAAAACGAATTTTATTTTGTGAAAATTTGAGTACAATGAAAACATAAACAGAACATTTTTTATTGATTGCTTACATTTTTCAGTCACTTGTTCCATAAGAAATCCATTAAGGAGCCAACTTAAAACTGATCACCCAGAAAATCTAATAATTCTTAAAACAGACTCTTAAATTTTTTTGGGTTACAATAACATATAAAAGCAATTTAAATTCTTTACGTTTTTTTTGAGTGTGTCTACCCAGAATAAGAAGAAAAACCTCAAAGTTGTAGGCCGTTGCTGAGGCTGTGGATGAGCCAGCAAGAAGTTGGCTGTGCCTTTTCCATTGGAGGACAGGAGGAGGCCCAGTCAAAATCACAGAAAATCATCGACAACTGGCAAATGTGTGAATTGAATTTTCAAACAATTTTCCCCCGTGCAGAGAGTGCAGTCCTCGTCATCGGGCTGCTATTTCCCGGTTTCAGTTTCTGTTCCTGGCGCTTTTCAATTCCGCTCGTCCTCCCATTTCCCGATTTCCCGCTGGCCAAAAGGAAACGTGCATGATTTGAGATTTGATTTGGGCGGCGGCCACATTACAGTCGCTAAGCCTCGGCTTCCGTCTCGTTGTCCTTTGCTCCTTTGAAACGGCCTTTAAACATTTCGCTCACGTCTCGGATGTTTATGCCATTAGCGTTTAAGTTGCCCATACAAAATGCGACTCGTAAATAAGCAAACGTTTCTTTGTTTTGGCTTCCGTTCTTGTTTTTCATTGTTGAGGCAGAGGTAATCGATGCTGTGGCTAGTTATTGAAAATTATCGAGGGGGAAAGATGCAATCCGATTAAATTATACGAGGCTTCGCTTCGTAAAATTTACAATATTTGTTGGATGACAAGATAATTCTCTTTTTGACTTCCAAAAGCATAAAAAATAATTCATAAAAAATCATAATATACAAGTGCTAAGAATACAAATAAATAGGTTTAGAAAGTGGGCAAATTTGAAACAGATTTATTTTGGGATCATCCTTAATTAAGTTAAGATTTAAAGACGCTTGTTTTCTTAATTTCCTATTTAATATATAAAAGAAGATTTATTAAAGCAACTACTGCTACTCAATATTAATTAATTTATTATCAACAATTTAAGTGCCCGTATAAAATTTTATATGAAAAAGCCCAAAAATATGCAAGACATACACAAATGCATGAAAGCTCAAACAAGTAATTTATCTGCACTCCAAACAGCAAGACGAGCATGAGCAGGCTAAGTTGGGAAATTCTGGATATATCTCCTGGTAATTCTCCTGGGGCAAAGTCTCCTCCTGCCGATTCTTGCGCCGAGCTGCCCGATAAAGTCTCCGGATGAGAGCCCCATATGGTTTTCGGGTTACCACATGGGTCGTTGTTTTGTGTATTTCATAGACACAATTAGTTTCCAGGCAGACAAAGGGTTCTTCAATTTTTAGGACATTTTCAGATGTTTGGATAGGTGGTAGAATGGGCCCTTTGGAAATTGCCTTGCCCTTCCTAACCCGCTTTTTGGTCACCATCGTGGTCTTATTTTTCTTCTTGACGATATTTTTTTTTGGCAGTTTGGTGATTTTGTTTTCAGTAATGGCCGCCTGGATCTCCGCTTCAAAGGATTCCTGACGCCTTTCATCCTTCTTCTTCAAAGCCGAGACCATTTTGTATCGGTTTTGGATACTTTTGATGTTTCTCAATGTTTTCTCAAAAGATACCTCTACTTTATCGACTTCCTGTAGCGTTTCCCAAAGATTATTTTTCATAATTTGTTCACGAGAAAATTTTACTCAATTTTACTATATGCAAACACACACTCACTGGAACAGATCGCAAGAATAAATGAATCCTGTTGGAAAGGAGAATCAGTGTATCTTGATTTTTATATTTTTCTCGTTGCTTTGTCATTGGGAAATTCCGATATGAAACGACAAGTCGTAAACCGACTTTATCGCGCCACCAACTGATAAACTGTTTTGATGGGAAAACCAACACTTCAAGTCCATTTTTTCCACTATATATAGGGTGGAAATTAAAGCAAAACACCAGTTCAGAATTGTACTAGCTATTGGAATAATGCCGCCACCACCTCAACATCCTCACAACCCACCCAAGGATCCTGGACATCCTGGAGATCACCATCCAGGTCCGCATCCACCACATCACGAGCCTCCAAAGCCCCACCATGGACATCATTAGGATTGGCTGGAAAACAAGTTGAGACTTACCGGATTTAAAAAAATTGGAATATATTTTAAAACTAAAATGTATAAACAACAATGTGTAGTCCTTAAATAATAACATGCCAAATAAAAACAAAAATTGAAAAAAACATATTCTTGTGATTTTGTATTATTTAAATAAATTTGTAATACAAATAAATTTAATTCATAACGATTTGCTGTGATCACAAAAATTTATGAACAAGCCATTTCCAATTCTAAAAACGGTTTTGCATTTTAAAAATAAAAACAAAGTCATCGATATTTTTCGAGTGTCTTTCTAATCTTTATGGATCCCCCACAAATACAAAGGAATCAACAAAACAATCATATTCTGAGTAATATTAGGGGAGTTCTTCGAATGAATTCATATTAGCAGTTATCGATAAGGTAAGCCAATCCAATTGGACAATGTGTACAGCTCAAGTTTTTGGTACTTGCTTATTATCATTAGTGTATGTTAAAAAACATCACATCTAAATAAATACTGCAGGTCAATCTGTTGACTTACTCATCGGTTAAATTTGTGATAAACAATATACGTAATAGTGAACCATTTGTTTATTTATAATGATTAATATTCAACAAACAATCGGTTGTTATTGCTGAAAAAAACTGTCAAACTTTATGATGGCTCTATTGGAAAGTCCGAAATACTTAAGAGCTTACAAGTGCCCACCTTATCTGGTACGCTGATAAGATTTTACCCTACTCGAAATATATAATTTTTGTATAAATGGTAAACAAAGAGTGGGAGTGTTTAGTACGCAAACGTAGTTAACCAAGTAAAGATGCCGCCGCCACCCCCGCACCACCAGCATAATCCGCCGCCCCCGCACCACCACCACAACCCACCGCCTCATGGACCACGCCCACCATTCCAGCAGGCGGTACCTCCCATTTATTACGAACCCACTCCACAGCCAGGAAATGGATCCGGATACCACCCACCGCCACCACATGGTCCATATCCGTATCCACCTGGTTCTGGATCCGGAGCGCCAGGATCTCTTATTCAACCTCGCTAGAAAATTAACCTGAAGTTGGACTTAAACATAATGATTATAACAATAAGTGCATTTTGTAAAACACCTTATATAAAATTAAACAAAAAAACTCTTTTAAAATTTTGTAATAAATTTAAAATCTTTATTTTCTGACGTGAAAGAAACTAATAGGGTGTTCTTTGTTATCCAAATAATTTTTTTTAACAGATATTGAGTGAATCTTTCAATATCTGGATTAAATTATCTGTGTATAGTGTATGTGTATAGTCACAATCTTTCTTCACTTACATCCAGAACACAAGATTTTTATTTACTCTATTTACCTCTAATTTGAAATGTGTTTGGGAAATCATTAAGTGTGTGTTCAAAGTGATATCCACGATGAGCTGAAAGTAAGTTGGCCCCTAGCAGTTATTGAATTGCAGTAGAATACTAAATGTGTGACTTAAGGCTTTTTATTTATGTAAAACAATATCATTTTTAAAGCATTTCCGATTTATATTTCTACAGCGAGAGTTCCTTTGTTGATGGGGAAGAACTCTTCAAAAAATCGTGGTTATATATATTTATTAGTCGACTTTAAAACAGAAGAGAATCGTTCAACTGGTAAATATCTTATCGCTCACATTTAACATTAAACATGAGTAAGAATCTATTAAGCTAATATCACCAAATGTTTTTTTGGGGAATAACACAACTTGTTTATATTTTATGATATTTTTATTTGATTTTTTTTACACTTTTAACTGAGCATAAACATTTTGTTCATAAGGTAGATTTTCTTCATATCTAATCAGACACTTCACCTCTAGTAAGCTTAACTTTTCAGTATCAAGAACAATTTTTATAAGTCTCTTAATTTTCTAAATCATTTTTGTTAATTCCTTTAAGTCCTTAGCGTGGGTGCATTGGAGGTCCGGGCGGGTGGTGATGATGGTCATGGTGGGGTGGACCATGATGCGGGGGTCCATGGTGGGGTGGACCGTGGTGGGGTGGTCCATGGTGGGGTGGTCCATGGTGGGGTGGACCGTGGTGCGGAGGTCCGTGGTGTGGCGGTCCGTGGTGGTGATCGTGGTGCGGCGGTGGAGGAGGCATCTTTGCTTGATGAACTACAGTCGAGTACTGAAATTAACTACTTCGGGCTTACCTTTTATATGAAAAACAAGAAAGGAAAGCTAACTTCGGGCGGAGCCGAAGTTGATATACCCTTGCAGAATACTCTGTAAATTATATTCTCCAAATATATTCATATGATGCATTCTTAATACTCATAAAAAATCCCAACTTCCTAACTTTAAAAACACCAAAGTTATGGCATTTCCAATCATTCAGTTATGTATATGGCAGCTATAGAATATAGTCGGCCGATCCTTATGAAATTTAATATGTCGGATTGATTGGGCAAAAATAAAACCCATAGAAAATCCCAACTTCCTAACTTAACAAACACCAAAGTTATGGCATTTCCGATCAATCAGTTATATGGCAGCTATAAGATATAGTCGGCCGATCCTTATGAAATTTGGTAGGTCGGATTAATTGGCCAAATATAAAACCCATAGAAAATCCCAACTTTCCAACTTTACAAACACCAAAGTTATGGCATTTCCGATCAATCAGTTATATAGCAGCTATAGGATATAGTCGGCCGATCCTTATGAAATTTGGTATGTCGGATTGATTGGCCAAATATAATACCCATAGAGAGTCCCAACTTCCTAACTAAACAAACAGCAGAGTTATGGCATTTCCGATCAATCAGTTATATGGCAGCTATAGGATATAGTCGGCCGATCCCGGCCGTTCCGACTTATATACTGCGTGCAAAGGAAAGAAGGGTGTGTGCAAAGTTTCAATTCGATATCTTTAAAACTGAGAGACTAGTTCGCGTAGAAACAGACAGACGGACAGACAGACGGACAGACGGACATGGCTATATCAACTCAGGAGGTGATCCTGATCAAGAATATATATACTTTATAGGGTCGGAGATGTCTCCTTCACTGCGTTGCACACTTTTGACCAAAATTATAATACCCTCTGCAAGGGTATAAAAATATATTATTTCAAGTACACCTAACCAGATAAGGTGGGCATTTAGGAATTCCCAATAGACCGCCATAAAGATAACCGACCTTCCCACTCGCAGAAAAGTTGTCATTCTCCTGGGAATAACTCTTCCAATGAGTGAGTTATGAATTTTATTTTTGTGTTATATCAAATATTCTTGATTTCTCGCATCGTAAAAGTAAATGTTTCACTGGTCACCTTTTACTAAGAGAACTATCAATCAATCACTTGGCTCGGTGTTGATAAATTGCTTATCGCATTAGTGTACTGTCATGTATGCTTAACTGAGCATATCTTTGATTTATTCGCCTTTGTCACATTACCCAAAGTTTCATTTATTTAGCAAAAATGTTCTTTATTTTTTCTGAACTATTAGTAATAATACGTAAATATCTGTTGTAAACGTTATCTATTAGGGTGTTTAGACTACGATAATACTTTGCAATCTGAAAAGCTTATCTAATCGATAGGAAATACGCATTTGGTCATAGAAGTTTCCTAACATTACTCAGACTTTAGCCATGAGTTAATTAGCCATTACGTTAATTGTGGGGACTATGTTTGGAATTGTGATTTTCTTTATTTTCAGGGGAAGCACTAAAGAGTTCGTAAAAATACAAAATTTTTAACCTGCTTACATACTCATACTTAATATTTCTTTTGAACCCAAAATATTGCTCATCCGCCATGTTGGCTTTGTATGAGTACGACTTCTTTGCAAGTTTAAATCTTTAATATATGCTTTTGTTCCGATATTCCGAACTCTTTTGTATCCGCAATCACTCAGGCGTTTAATAATTGACTGCATCTGCGGTTGAACCCCGATCGACTCGTCGGTGGGTAATAAAATAGACTGAGGGAAAAAATCAAGAAGCAAGCAGCAAATAAAATTTATAACAAATCTAACACACATACATCATTTTGATATGGTCACGGACACGTTCCGTCCGTCTATTTGCTTAAGGATGGATGCCTCATCGGGTGGATGTGGACCAGGTCCGGGGGATCCGGATCCGGATTCGGAGCTGAAGGCAACTTCAGCCGGGACAGACACATTAATTTTGCTGCTCGCTTTCCCAACCGCATGCAATTTTTCTTGGCTCGCCCTCCTCTCGGCTATCGCCTTTCAATGGCAGGAAGCGAGCCCCGGGGAGAAAGTGGTGCTGGGAACGGGGTTCAAGGATCCCGGGACGGGGATAGCCCACATCCTTCAGCCAGTCAGTTAGTCAGTCAGCCAGATAAGTGCGGTTTATGTGCAGCACGTAGACCGACTCAATACACTCGATAAATTGCGGCAGCGTTTGGCTGCTTAGAAACGGGCAACTTGACCGCATCCAAAAGGGGCAGTGGGAAATGGTACGAAGGTTTAACAGATGCAGTAGGATTATTAGTTCTTTTTTTTACCGGTTCACTAATTTAAGAATGAAAACTAAAATTTTGGAAAAACCGTAGAGTAGCAAATGGTAATTACAGGTTTTCTAAAACAATTAAAAAGTTGATTAGTTATATCATATTATGAATTTATGAAAAAACAAGAGGTTTCTTCTAACTCAGTATTTAAAATAAATTCACAAAATAAAATAAATTGTTAAGAAATCAACAAGATAGCGTTCTTTATTGTCTGATTGGCCTTGTTTTATTTAAGCTCAATTTTACCAATATAAAAATGAGCAAAACGGTTAAAATTAAACATTTTGTTTGTTCATTTATAAGCAAGTAAAACTGCTAGTACTTCAAACTCAACTGTTTGTAATAGAAATGGGGGAGTACTCGAGGTACCGAATTGATGTTGTGCAGTTTTTCTTTTAACGAAAACTACAAGTGCACTTTAACCCTCTGAGTCCAAACATGCCTGACTTTGACTCACCACCCCAAAGTTAACTCAATTTCCGTTCGCTGAGCAACACTTGATTAAATACTGTCCAAAGGCATTTGGAAGCCGAATTCCGATTGGAAATGCCAGCGAGCCTCTTCACAAACAAACCAAATTCCATTGCAAATTTACTCATATTAAAAGCTCATTAAAGATCAAATGCCCAAAGCCAAAACCCTTGGTTTGCTTATCCCGCCCACTTTTCCGCATCGTGGAAAAACTCATCATGGCAACAACATTCCATGGAACGAGGAAAAACGAAAAGCCCGGAACGGAAAATATGTTATTAATATAAATTAATAGAATCAAATTTTTTTCGCTTTTTCCTCCCATATTGCCCTGGAGTTTTCCCCGGGAAATGGAAACTACTTTCTCAGCGTAGCGCATTACGGAAAGATGTTTTCCCTTTCCGCTTTCGGGGTTCCACCGGATTTTCACGGGTGGGGTTGTTCTATGATGTATAGACATCGTCGTATCTGGGTTGGCATGAGAAATTGCCCGGTTTGGGTATTTGTGGGTGTGGTTTTTGCATTTGCCCTCGCTACTCGTGTATGCACGAATGTGGGTTAATAATGAGGCCATAGACAGCAGCAGACGAGCTTACATTTGAAAGACACTTGTCTTGGCTTCGCCATTACCTTTTATGCAAATTGTTATTTCTAGGTTTCCATATTATAGTTTAATGGGTTCATTTGTTAAAGGTTAATGGTGGCAAGTCTTAAAAAAGTCACAATTAGCTGAATTTCACAGTCCCAATTGAAGATTTGCTATCTTGCACGCCGTTTAATCAACTTAATGCACAGTTTGAACTTTCGATATGGAGCTGAAAAGTAGAAACAAACTCATCGAATGCGATTGCCTGGCAATCTATTGTCTTATTTAACCCACATTCAAAGCTCACTCGATGGCAAATCACACTCAGACGACTTCATTTCAAATGTTCCACAAGGGAGGCGGAGATATTCAATATGCACGGGGAAAAACATTCTGATTTTGTGATTAATACAAGTCTGAATAAAAAGAAGACTAGAAATAATGTTTGCTAATTTCCAGAATATTTTAAAAATGAGTGAGAATAAATCTCTGTTAATTAATGGGCTTAAATGTTGTATATTTAAAGAGAAAATTAAATGATGATCATTTTCTTTGTGGACTAACAACTTTCCGAGTATCGTTTCTTTCTGTGCTGTGCAAACCATTCCCATATGCAACAGTTGCCGATGTGTGTGCCACTTGCAACGTGCCATCTCGCAACCAATCCCTCAAGCCATTGTTAGCTTGTTGGTTCGATAAACTCCCTGCCAACAGCCAAACAAATCCCAATCCCAGCTGCACCTAGTCCTCGGCTTTTCCTTTTCCCCGCCAATCGAGTTCAGTTCCATGGCGAATGCCCGGCGGTGAGCAAGTAGGGAAATCTGGCATCTGGTAACTGGTATCTGGCTGAGTGCTCGGCATAAAACGGAAAACTTGTTGGGATGGATAAACTGCGGGGCAACAATGCGGCTGGCGAGAATCCCTTCAAGCGGCCAATGAATGCCCTGCAGAAGCAGTGGTATCGCGTTTTACTGGCCCGCAGAGTGGGATTCGGGCCACGTCCTGCGCCCGATGAAAAGGAGCTAACGTAGTAAGTCAGCCGCAGCGCTCTGTTCAAATCAAATTGTGTGAGAATTGCAATTTCCTGTTGATCTAATACGTTTCACCATTTCCCCAATGCCTCGGCGAAAAGCGCCGACATTTGTCGCAAGCGTTATGTGGCCTCGTTCCGGCGATACAATGAGCGTTTCCGCCGGGAAATGGCCAAGCACGAGGAGATGCAGCGATGCGCCATCGATGCCATGAGGGTTCACAGGTGAGTGGAGAAATCAGCTTTATCCTAGACTTAATTCACAGCTTAATTCATAAAAGTTGATAGCTAATATACCCATATGTTGAGGTGTATTATTATAACCAACCCTAAGATTTGCAAGCAAAAAAAAATAAAGTATTAAGCGAGGTTTTAAAAACTCATAGTCCAACTGTGTACAATTGTGTGAAAAAATTAGATAATAATTAAAATACAAAAGAAACTCATTTATAAAGAAAAAAATAATGAAAAATTATTATTGATTTATAATCTTTTTTAAAAGTGTGCTAATGTTGATCTGTAATTTGTATACCCTTGCAGAGGGTATTAAAATTTGCCGAAATTTGCTTATTTTCTTGTTTGGAATAAAATTAGTCAATAAACTGTCTCAAACTTTTTTATTCGTAATAGGCTATTAACAATGGATATTTTTTAAGTTGGAGTGATATGAAACCATATAAAATTATTGTAGTTTTTTTTTGTCTAAAGATTTGTGGTACTCCTTACAATGATTAAATTTTACAATGTGTCAAAAACTAGAGTCTCAGATGTTTCGAAATTTTTTTTATTTATTTCCAATTGCAATATTAATAATGGTATCGCGTATTTTGTTTATTTGAGAACTTAAGTAAAATATATACCTATTCATATTTTTTTCTGTCTAATTTCATTTAAATTAGAACCTTTGCCATAACCACACTTTGGCTACCTTTGCACTCCAAGCGGGAAATTAACTCCACGTTGGAGACCCTCGAACAGGTAAGAAACCTTAAAGATAAATCTCAGATTCCAGCGAGATAACAGGTATTTTCGAACAGGTCCTTACCGCCAAGGAAAGGCGACGCCTGCAAGAGATACTCAAGCAAGGACAGTCGTGGCACTCCCATCGCTAAGGAAAACATCCACTGAACCCAAGGACACTCTTCGGACTCAGATTCAGATTCCGACTCCGGCACTGACTCATCCTTAAACCCATCATCATCATCTGCCCCGGCTAAGTGAATTCCATTTAGCTTGGATTTCACTTTGCCAGGAAGGGCCTGATTTTTCTTCGCTCACTTAATTTTTCACTTTTCCTTCGTTTTGTTCTTGAAATTTCGCTGTCAGTGGCCAAAGCATTGTCGTAAATATTTAATACCAGTAAAAGTGCAAAGTTCACTTTGGCTAAAACCGAAACTGTGTTGGGACAAGATCATTTTTCAGGGAAGGGAATGCAAGGGCATTATCCAGAGGTTATTAGGAATTGCAGGCTCAAAGGGATTACTGCACTTTAGTTTCATTATTTTGCTGACTTTACTGCAGTGTAGAATAAATTCTGTAAATTGATACGAAATTATAAAAATCTTCAAAAAAAGATTGGGAGTTCTGTTATTTTTTTAAAGATTTTGGTATAGTTGCCCTCAGAAACTTATAATTTTAAACTTAAGAATAATCCTGAACCACATTAATCTAATGTTGTTTATATTCTATACTTATAAAATGCATTAAACTAGTTTTAAGTTATTGTTCCTTGCCATACCGTGTCCCATATTTTGAAGATATCCCTATTCAGATTTATTGTGTTTTCTTTGGCAATCGATTTAGCCTATTAAAAACTGCTGCCTAGGGCAAAGTTTTTCAATGTAAATATGTCACATGCCAAGAAGGGATTCCACCATAAAACACACTTGTTGGGGGAGGAATAAGGACCGGAAGAAAGGGGTGGATTTTCCCAAATCCCTGCAAAAGTGCAGAGACAAAAGCCGAAGTCAGCTTCAAGCTTAACCCACTCGCAGATCCCAGTGACATTTGCTGCCAGGACTGAGGCTCGATAGTAGGCCAAACAGCAAAAAGGGCTCAACCCAATATCCTTGCCAACAGCAAACGGCAAACAACAAACAACGGAAACAGAAGTTTTGGCCAGCAGAAAAACCGAAAGAAAACTCAACTCGTAGGCTCGAAGTGCCGCAGATGTTTCAGTTTGGCATATTGCCGACTTGACAGCAAAAACAGCAGAAAAAACGAGAACAAAACTATTGAACAAAGTGGCGCCTGTCGCACTTTATGACGAGCCTGCAGTGCCCTTTTTCCCTTTTCTTCTATTCTTGGCCCCCTCCAACATAATAGCAATCACAGAAATGTGTTCTAATTTAAAACCATATATAGGAAAGCAAACCGAGGAGGAAAAACAACAGACAGAAGAGACAAAGGGAACAGCTGCCAAGAAAAATAAGGAAATAAAACAGGAAAAAGAAGGAATATGGGAGCAACTTAGACTGGAAGAAAATAAGGATATACTGGATGTTATTAAAAAGCCATTGAATACTTTAAGAAATGTAAAATTAATTCTTTAGAACTAATTTTTAAAAGCATAGTATTGGGTAAATTATGTTAAACTTTCAATCAAATAAATTTAAAAAAATTTATATTTTTAAGTAAAGATTTATTATTTACTTATTTAGTTACACATATTTTTAATAGTGAATTAATATTATTAAGAGGCCGTTCTTATTTATTTAAAATATATTTTTAATCGAAGTTTATAGCCATACTCATATATTTCCTTATTGTTCCTGTAAAAATAAGAAATTGATATTTAAGTGACAACTAAAATTTAATTTAAGGGAGCATTTAATAATCTAAACCTGCTTAATTTCAGTGTAAAGTTTGAATTGCAGTTGGCCGAAATGATTTTTATATTTAATGTCTGTTTGAGCTGCTTGTGTCGTCGAAGTCGTGGAACTCACTGGTGAGGTCGTGCCCAGTATCAACATTAGTTCACGGTAATGTCGTGAACTTTTCCTGGCCTCAGCTGCTCGGCTGGCATTGGCTTTGTCAGCGTTTATTGATGGCATCAAAGTGTTTTTCAATTTATTTTATTTTTCCCCGGCAATTTATTGGCACGCTCTATGCGGGGTCGGCTTGCTTTTGGCCTTTTCCCTCAATGTTTGTCTTGGCCGTGGCCAGATGGGAACCCAGCGATATGATTGATGTTGCAACAATTTTGCAGCATAATTTTAGGCTAGCCAATACACAATGCAAAGGGCCACGGTGAAATGGTTGCTAACAAAACAGACACGTAGGAGCCGTTAAGTTTAAATGGCCAAGGAAGTTCAATTGATAAGGTGAGGGAAAGACATTCCATTAAAGGGATTTAAGGTTGTTACGGTGAAAAATGTTACAAAATATTAAAAACAGTACATCAATTCTTTAATTTATTTGAATCATACCAGCCATTATTGAAAGTACTCATTTTTAATTTTAATATTTTGCAGCCTAAGAGTACGCTTTAAAAAATAGCTGAAAAACTGATTTTTTATTACAGCTTATCAACGTTTTATTTCCCAACGATATCAGCGAAAGCTTATCAATAAATTAGAGCAACAAAAACATTTCACCCGTTTATGTAGTTCCTAAATATTATTCAATTGCAGAACAATTATAGCATCAGCAAATAATTTCGAGACCCGATTCGTTTGCAACCAAAAAAACTGCTAAATTGCCAAATGTCAGAAGCCAAGTTGGCCAACAAAATCGAATCGGAGGGGTCAACTGGGGGAAGCCTCTATAAGTACATGTATGAATGCATGCCCTGGTACAATGAGTTGATAATCCCCGGGGCAAATGCTCAAATAGAGGAGGGAAATGGGGGCGGGGCAGTGATATGTCAGTGGCACACACATGCAAACACACGGACATCTATCTATGCAAAGCCATAAAGCAACAATAATAAACGCACATCATCATCATCAACGGCGACGGCGCTTTTCCCGCTTTTCCCTCAGTTTTCCCTCCGTTTTCCCTCACTTTTCCCCACCCTCCCCTCACTCAACCACTGCTGCTGTCAGCAAAAAAGTATGAAATATCATCTAAAATAGGAAATGCGTAAATGCGAAATCCTACAGAACGGAAACTCAACTGAAAGCGATGCGCCGACGAACGTTGATGATTTCCCCCCACCGCTTTTCCACTCCCATTTTCCATGCTCTGTATGAAAGTCAATTTTTCATTTAGATAACTTTGACATACGCAAACGTCATGGAAAGGAAGGAGTTTCAAACAGTGGTTTGGTGATTACAATGGGTGATGTGATTTTTAGAAGTTATAACAAATTTATATTTATAAATTATTGCTAAAATACAAATTGCAATATGAGGCTACTAAGAGAGTGGGAATCAATGGGTGATGTAATTGCCAAGTATATAAAATGATATATATACTTTTTTAAAATTGTGTTTAAAATGTTTTATTTCAAGAAGTTATGTACAAATTACACACCCCTAATAATTAATGTTTAGTTTTATAATAATCGACTAAAATTGATTCGGTATACATCACTTAGAAATGCTATCTATGTATGTTAAAAATTTAAAACAAAATAATTTTTTTGAGAACGAAATATCTTTGTTATTCCTATCAGCTAACCTTGACACCACTGTGCCTTTGGGGCCTTGCCTTGGCCACCCCCTACTCCGCCCACCACCCCCTTTCGCTTTGCATGTGTGCGTCTGCATACAACGATTTAGATTTCGGGCTCAACCTCGGCTGCCATTCCTGCTGGCGCCAGTCAGTTTATCCTGAGGGGTTTCATCGCGGAAATGCGGGCAGCGTTTTGATAAATGAATTTTACCCCAGATCTAACATCAGCCGCCCTTCCCGCTTCCCCCTCCCCCGTGGGTTTATGTGTGTGCATGGCTTAAATGAAATGTTAACAATTAAACGGAGCCGGCGAAACGACAAACGAAGTAACACGAAAAGACTATCAGAAAGAGCAAGTTGCTGGCTTTGTTGGGTTAATACGCTGCGTATACTTAATAAAATAAATAATTCTTTTTTCGAGGGGTTGTGCGTTATGATATTTGTTTCTTGTTGATTTTTGCCGCTTTGTGTCCTTTTCCCTATCGTTGTTTTTGTGCGGTGGTTGTTTAGTGTAAACTTAAGAAAACAGCAAAACATAAGTGGCAAAAGGGATAAAGATTTCGGCAGTGTGGGTTGTTGGTTTCATTAAGGAGGGTAGTTCCTGTGGCAGAAGCGAAGTTGTTTTGTATTTACCGAGTCCTTCTGTTCACCTGCCCCCAACTAAGCAGACACTTACACATTGTTATAATCATAAAAAGTATTAAAAAGTAACGAGAAGAAGCTGCTGAGTTTTCCGGTGGGGGGGGTTGGGTGGGACAGGTGGGGCCATTCTGAAGTTGATTGCCCATTTTTTGGATGCTACACTTGTTTACCTTCTTGAGTCCTTTTTTGGGAGGAGTGCATTGTACATTGTCTGTTGTGCGAAGGAGAATCTGTCCGCGGCTTAGGTACAAAATTTGCGCTTACGTTAGCGTGAAATGATGTTCGGGTAATAAAGCGAACACATTCGGTTGCTCAAAGATGACAGACAGGTGCGCTATAATACCAAATTAATTTAAAATATGCTAGCTTATTTAAAACTAAGATAACATTTTTAAAATTTTTTTAAATAATTTTAAGGCAAATATTAAATATCTATCCAGCAAGTCTGACAAAAAAGAATTAAAATGAATTTGATATAAAAACAAATAGTTGTATGCTTAAACTTACTGATATATGGTAAAGGCCAAAATAAATACTTCATCAATAACATTGTGATATAAAGGGATGGGAATAAAAATTAATAATAATTTCTTTTATATTTTATGTAAGCCAATTAACTCTAAAAATCAACATGCCTCAAATCAACTTTTGTAGCGCAGCACAATCATATTTCACGCTTTGTTTCATCCGAACAGACAACGCAACAAGAGCGGGGAAAAGCGGGCATATAAAATTTTATATCTCCACCATAACGCGAAATCCCAGGGAATTACCTGAAAAGGTATCCACCCTCCCAAAAAAAAAACACCGGAATCGAGCCTACATTTTAATGAAATATGTTTAAAGTGCAGAGCCAGCTCGTAAATACAACTTTATAGTGATATACGGGCACGTATGCTTATGTGCAATACGATTTGGGCAGCTGGGAAAGTTCGCATGATATTTTATTAAAGCTCCAAGCTAACCTTCAATACGGTGGCACAACATAAAGTTGTGCAGCTGCCACCCACTTGGGTTTTTGCGATGGTCCATGGAGGTGGATGGTGGTTCTGTTGGCTTGGACGCAGGTGTTCGGCTACGTGGTCGAGGGCAAGGCAACAAAGACGGCAACCGACTTGGAAGCCA